ATCATATATATATATATATATATATATATATATATATATATATATAGGGGTCCATGGGAGGGGTTATAACCCCCCCCCCAAGTCTACGCCACTGCCTGCTGTAGGTGGAGATGACTGTAGGTGACTAGAAACAGGCGACCCAACTCCCATTTGTCGACACGAGTCATCAGATCAAATCACAGAGAGGATAGAAGAAAAGTGTCAATCACCAGACCACGGGTTTTCAAACTTGGGGTCACGAAGGGCTTTCTGGGAGGTTGCCGATTGGTACACTAAACCTTACTAATGAGAAACAAAACATAAATATTTAAACGAATATCTGAAATTTGGCTTTACTAACATCACTGGAAATGGAATAGAGAAGAAGCAATGCGTACTGTGCAAAGTTGTTCTCAGTCACGAGTTTATGAAATCTTCAAAACTAAAACGTCATTTAATACCAGTCATTCGGAACACACCAAAAAAGATATGTAGTTCTTTCGTCGGTATGAAGCTAGTTGCAAACGTCAGAGACTTGATAGAACAGAACGTTTTCACCAAGGAAACACAGCATTAGTGCAAGCATCATATGAAGTAGCGTTAGAAAATGCCAAGCGAAAAAAAAAAAACGAAAAAAAAAACACAATAGGAGAAAATCTCATCAAACGCTGCTTGTTGAAGATGGTGAAGTTAATTCTTGGAGATTCTAGTGCAGTAAAGATGCAACAAATATCTCTGCCTAATAATACTATTCAGCAGCTTATAGCAGACATGTCCGTAGATGTTAAATAACAAATTTTTATTGAAATCAAGCTTTCACCATTGTTTGCTTTTCAAGTTGATAAATCAACAGACGTGAGTTCGTGTTCGCAGTTGCTGGTCTGTGTCTATATTCATGCGGATGATAGCAAAGAAGAGTTGCTATTTTGTGAAATAGCATGGAGAAAATAAATACGTTTTTTTTTAAAAACTGGATGGTTAAAATGGGTTAAAACGGCTGTGAGGGATTGTACGTATGGTGCGCCATCTATGTTTATGTCAAAATCGGGCTTTCAGAAAACAGAAAAGATTTAGCTCCCTAACCACTGCATGATTTACCAGTATGCCCTCGCCATCAAGACTCCATTGCTAGTAACAGTCGTACTTTATATTTAATCTGGAGCCTTCAAAGAACTGAGCAAAGAAATTAATATAGATCACACAGTTTTGCTTTTCTACACTACAGTACGCTGGCTGTCAAACGAATTGTTGTGAATCGTGTTTTTTAATTGAAATCTTACATCAAATTGTTCTTGGAAAGTGCAAAGGAAACAAGACCTTTTGGTATAGGGCCTACTTAAAATGACATAGAGTGGGTGGAGAGAGTATCATACCAAGCAGATATATTCGAACATCCACATAAGTTTAATGAACGAATATTATCACTTTCCATGATAATCTCGGGGCATTTTTATCAAAGCTGAAAAATTGGCGAAGAAAATAAATCTTGGAAATATTGTACATTTGAGAAACTCTGCAGTGTGGTGGATGAATCTGATTGTGAGATAATTAAAATTTTGAAAGAAGCGATTTCTGGGCATCTTGAATCTCTTGAAAACGAACCGCGGCGCTTTATCTCTAAGCTGATGTTGCCAGCATTCCCGACGAATTACAAGATGAATTCTTTGATTTGCAGAATTAATCCGCGTAAGATGAAAAACTGCTCACACAATTTTGGTGTAGTATTCACCATCCTAATATATAATTCCCCATGTGCGCACTTCTCTCTCTCTCTCTCTCTCTCTCTCTCTCTCTCTGTCTGTCCGCAAAATATTTTCGCCGGACATCACGTCTGAAACGGCAGCGATATATGGAGAACTTTATACGGACTTTTGTTAAAAATAATATGTTAGATGTTTTTAATGTATAACCACAATTTTATTTAAAGAAGAAAAATAAAAATTAAAGGCGTATTCGAATGTAGAGAAACAGTATTATTTATGCAACCGGAAAAGCATTAATAGATGTGAAAAAGTACGCATAAAACTGTGACGTCACTATTGCTTATACATTAACTAATGACGTCATCTGCCGTGTTTAGAATAAAAAGAAGTGAACTATTTCATTCAAATTTGATTTAGATCTACGTACACTATGAAATGTATACAATACAATTTTTCCGGCCTAAACTCATAAAATTTATTTTATTTATTTGGATTCTAGATCTAGATATTCTAGATTCATCTATTCAAATAATACATTTCTATACTAAAGTATTTCAGGCCTTAATTACTTTATTGAAATCTTTGTTTATCTATGCAATTTGCTAATTTCTATAATATATAAAGCAAAGTTGTCGGGTGCCCGATAGGGCACTTCCCGGCGCCGTAGGCGCTTCAAATTTGGCAGGATCTTGCCTTGGGGCGACAGAACACGGAGGCCGGTTGGCCGAAAAGTCTACGATGATGGGGTCAAAACTGACCTCGACTGACCGGCGCCTTATATGAGCTATAAATCGAAAAAAAATGTCCACGGAGGAACCTCTTCATAACTCCTGAGGTCGTAGACCGACCCTCGGGCGAATTAATTAAGCATTCGAATTCTCAATGTTTTCGAAAGCCTAAGCACAGCTGGGCAGCATGCCTAGTTCATACCTAAACGTAAAATTGATTGACTTTTCGAGAATAGATATTTAACACTATTCTGCGATTTAAAAAAAATATTTAAGAAATAAATTATAAAGTGAATATTGATAATGGCATAGGTTGGCGTTAACAAAAACTTAACCGCGAATGTTGAGTAAATAGCATGCAATTTTACTTATCTTAATAAAACAGTTATCAAGAGTAGTTAATATTGAAAGTCTTATAGAAAAATCTTGTTTTAGTGCTTATTAATTTCCATACTAATTTCGGCTTTAATTTTATGGGGGTCGCGGGTCACTTACTTTTTATAAAAGGGGGTCGCCAATCGATAAAGTTTAGGAACCACTGCACTTGACAAAGATTGGTCCTAACAACTAGTCAAAGAAATGTTCCTGATAATTTGCTAAGTTTTAGGAACGAAAATCTCACAAAATCATTAAATCTTTTTTGGACTGTCGCACACACTCATTAGGTAGTCAAAACTGGCGAAAACGTGCGTTTTAGGGTCAGTTTTTGCGGCTTTCAAAAAAATAAAATAATTAATTACTTCTAGTTGTCCTATAAGAATAAAAATTATGTCAATAAAGTTTAAGTCTTTATCTGTCGTAATCTGGTATTTTTATTTCTGTAACACATGTTTGAATGTGTTTTATATTTGTTTGAAAAGTATCAGTTACGTCAACAAATTTCACTGTTTTGCGAGTACCGATCGACCCCACACTGTTTCACACCAGACAATCCTGGCTACTATGTGGACGAACTCAATTATTTACAGGGAACGAAGGTTAAATACTTATAAAATATTAATGAAACACAAAATAAATTTATAATTATTATAACTATACATTTTATCAATTTATTTAAAACAAAAGACACTAAATTTTAAGGACTAATGTGATTAATTTTTTTATTTTCTGTTGTGCACTCTTGATTCTGATTCCCCTGCTGATTAATGTGAAATGCTGCGCCAGTCTCCTTAATAAAATGTACCAGATCAATTTTTAGATGGTGGTGCAATTTATTAAGATAGTACATGTTGTGACTTAGTTTTAAATGTTATATTAGTTGTAAGTGTAAGTAGTACTAGTAGTATTTCTCATTATTTATTTATTTTATATACATATAGTAACAATGAAGGACAGTTAAGTTGTCCTATAGGATGTTGAGAACCACAGTTTGGCACCTTCATCATTGGATATCTCAACCATTGTGGCACAAGCAACGAATATTTCATTCAATAGAATTACTATTAAAAATATACTATCAAGTATAAATTACTTTTAACAAAAAGGTGTTTTCAGGCTTTTTCATGTTTCCAGTTATAGAACAAATAGTAGGCCTACACAATAGGCTAGTAGTAAATTTAATTATATTTTATTAATCACTAAATCAATTATTCCATAGCTGGAGACATTTATGGTGGCCTATCCAGAACTTTCCTTGAAAGCGAAGGGAAGAAGGCCAAGCCCCCCCCCCCCCCACCTACAGTTCCCAAAAAAAAATATCACTTACTCTTGATGCTCCACAAGATCAAGGTTGAGAGAAACAAGACATACAAAGATGTGGAGTTGTGGTTTTAAAAACTGTTCCCCCAAAGCAGTTATCAACCCGATAGGTTTGAATGTAGCATCAACTGCTGCATCACGTCTTTATTAAATTACATTACTCCACTAAATTTTGATTATTTTTCTTCTGCACTAAATAAATGTGGCATTTTTTAAAATCATATTTCAACTCATGTGATTTTTTAAAATAATGAACACATTCTTCCTGTTAATGTTACAAACACAATAGTTTTAGAATTATTCTATGTCCAAAGAAAAAAAAAATGATTTTTTAAAAAATGAAAATTGGGCATATATATTACAAACTTTGCAGTAACTTTACCAATTTCTACACTTCTATGTTATTTAGTTTAGAAAATATGGGTTCTCAAAAATGACACTTTTTGAAAATCAGTTTTTTTAGCAAATTTTGCTTTTTTAAAAATCGCATAACTTTTTTATTTATTGAGATATTTTTATAAAATTTGTGGCATAGAGCTTACAATTAAAAGTTCTTTCATGACATACTCACTCCAGAAGTCTGCAATCAATAGTTAATTTCAGTTTGGACTACCTACACTCATACATGTATATATGTGTGTGTATATATATACATATATGAGGAAGGGAGGGAGCCAAATTGAAAGTTCGCCCCAGGAGGGGTCGCTACGCCTCTGAGTGTCTGGAGACCAAAATGTTTTTTTGGTTCACCAAGTTATTCAATCAAATGTGAAATGGTCTAAATAAACCTTCACAGCTGACCTCATCAAAAGTGATCGCTTCATATAGGCTACACATTTATGATTTTGTGACCAAACTTTCTCGGGTTACAACTCAAGACAAATAATGCGCAGTGTTTCCAATTTTTATTGCACTCTATTTGATCTGTAACCTTTCCCTAGATCCTCTAGTAGATGTCCAACCAATCATTTGATCCACTAGTAGATGTCCAAGCAATCATTTGATCCACAGCAGTCAAACTCTGGTGTCTGTGGTGGTGTGTTAGGGGCCATCTGTGGTGTGTCAGGGGCTATCTGTGGTGGTGTGTTAGGGGCCATCTGTGGTGGTGTGTTAGGGGCCATCTGTGGTATGTCAGGGGCCATCTGTGGTGGTGTGTCAGGGGCCATCTGTGGTGTGTCAGGGGCCATCTGTGGTGTGTTAGGGGCCATCTGTGGTGGTGTGTTAGGGGCCATCTGTGGTGGTGTGTCAGGGGCCATCTGTGGTGGTGTGTCAGGGGCCATCTGTGGTGGTGTGTTAGGGGCCATCTGTGGTGGTGTGTCAGGGGCCATCTGTGGTGGTGTGTCAGGGGCCATCTGTGGTGGTGTGTCAGGGGCCATCTGTGGTGGTGTGTCAGGGGCCATCTGTGGTGGTGTGTCAGGGGCCATCTGTGGTGGTGTGTTAGGGGCCATCTGTGGTGGTGTGTTAGGGGCCATCTGTGGTGGTGTGTCAGGGGCCATCTGTGGTGTGTTAGGGGCCATCTGTGGTGTGTTAGGGGCCATCTGTGGTGTGTTAGAGGCCATCTGTGGAATTGTGTGTCAGGGGCCATCTGTGGTGTGTTAGGGGCCATCTGTGGTGGTGTGTTAGGGGCCATCTGTGGTGGTGTGTTAGGGGCCATCTGTGGTGGTGTGTTAGGGGCCATCTGTGGTGTGGTTTTTAAAGTTACCAAAACAAAAAACATTTTTAATGCAAATTGAGAAAAATGTCAGCTGTAGAAGAATATTGTAAATCACAACCCAATCATTTAGATTGCAAGTCAACATGTCATCTGAAGCACAAGTTAACATGTCATCTGAAGCATATGACATACAAAAAAGCACCAATCATGTGGTCAAGTTCCTGGCTGTTTCAAAAAGTCCTCTCCTAAAAAAAGGTTCAAAGTCCACCAGCACTTGCTTGGTCAGTTCTTTGTTTTGGGATGGGTGGAGTGGACACTCTGGTATTCTCATACACAGCTCCACAGCGTGACGAACGTACTGCTGCAAGGCAGACATTTGGTCAAATACTACAGGTGTTAGAGCAAGGCAGACATTTGGTCAAATACTACAGGTGCTAGAGCAAGACAGACATTTGGTCAAATACTACAGGTGCTAGAGCAAGACAGACATTTAGTCAAATACTACAGGTGCTAGAGCAAGGCAGACATTTGGTCAAATACTACAGGTGCTAGAGCAAGACAGACATTTGGTCAAATACTACAGGTGCTAGAGCAAGGCAGACATTTGGTCAAATACTACAGGTGCTAGAGCAAGGCAGACATTTGGTCAAATACTACAGGTGCTAGAGCAAGACAGACATTTGGTCAAATACTACAGGTGCTAGAGCAAGACAGAAATTTGGTCAAATACTACAGGTGCTAGAGCAAGGCAGACATTTGGTCAAATACTACAGGTGCTAGAGCAAGACAGACATTTGGTCAAATACTACAGGTGCTAGAGCAAGACAGACATTTGGTCAAATACTACAGGTGCTAGAGCAAGACAGACATTTGGTCAAATACTACAGGTGCTAGAGCAAGACAGACACTTGGTCAAATACTACAGGTGCTAGAGCAAGACAGACATTTGGTCAAATACTACAGGTGCTAGAGCAAGACAGACATTTGGTCAAATACTACAGGTGCTAGAGCAAGGCAGACATTTGGTCAAATACTACAGGTGCTAGAGCAAGACAGACATTTGGTCAAATACTACAGGTGCTAGAGCAAGACAGACATTTGGTCAAATACTACAGGTGCTAGAGCAAGGCAGACATTTGGTCAAATACTACAGGTGCTAGAGCAAGACAGACATTTGGTCAAATACTACAGGTGCTAGAGCAAGGCAGACATTTGGTCAAATACTACAGGTGCTAGAGCAAGGCAGACATTTGGTCAAATACTACAGGTGCTAGAGCAAGACAGACATTTGGTCAAATACTACAGGTGCTAGAGCAAGACAGACATTTGGTCAAATACTACAGGTGCTAGAGCAAGGCAGACATTTGGTCAAATACTACAGGTGCTAGAGCAAGGCAGACATTTGGTCAAATACTACAGATGCTAGAGCAAGGCAGACATTTGGTCAAATACTACAGGTGCTAGAGCAAGACAGACATTTGGTCAAATACTACAGGTGCTAGAGCAAGGCAGACATTTGGTCAAATACTACAGGTGCTAGAGCAAGACAGACACTCGGTCAAATACTACAGGTGCTAGAGCAAGACAGACATTTGGTCAAATACTACAGGTGCTAGAGCAAGACAGACATTTGGTCAAATACTACAGGTGCTAGAGCAAGGCAGACATTTGGTCAAATACTACAGGTGCTAGAGCAAGACAGACATTTGGTCAAATACTACAGGTGCTAGAGCAAGACAGACATTTGGTCAAATACTACAGGTGCTAGAGCAAGACAGACATTTGGTCAAATACTACAGGTGCTATGGCAAGACAGACATTTGGTCAAATACTACAGGTGCTAAGGCAAGGCAGATATTTGGTCAAATACTACAGGTGCTAGAGCAAGACAGACATTTGGTCAAATACTACAGGTGCTAGAGCAAGACAGACATTTGGTCAAATACTACAGGTGCTAGAGCAAGGCAGACATTTGGTCAAATACTACAGGTGCTAGAGCAAGGCAGACATTTGGTCAAATACTACAGGTGCTAGAGCAAAACAGACATTTGGTCAAATACTACAGGTGCTAGAGCAAGACAGACATTTGGTCAAATACTACAGGTGCTAGGGCAAGACAGACATTTGGTCAAATACTACAGGTGCTAGAGCAAGACAGACATTTGGTCAAATACTACAGGTGCTAGAGCAAGGCAGACATTTGGTCAAATACTACAGGTGCTATGGCAAGACAGAAATTTGGTCAAATACTACAGGTGCTAGAGCAAGACAGACATTTGGTCAAATACTACAGGTGCTATGGCAAGACAGAAATTTGGTCAAATACTACAGGTGCTAGAGCAAGACAGACATTTGGTCAAATACTACAGGTGCTAGAGCAAGGCAGACATTTGGTCAAATACTACAGGTGCTAGAGCAAGACAGACATTTGGTCAAATACTACAGGTGCTAGAGCAAGACAGACATTTGGTCAAATACTACAGGTGCTAGAGCAAGGCAGACATTTGGTCAAATACTACAGGTGCTAGAGCAAGGCAGACATTTGGTCAAATACTACAGGTGCTAGAGCAAGACAGACATTTGGTCAAATACTACAGGTGCTAGAGCAAGGCAGACATTTGGTCAAATACTACAGGTGCTAGAGCAAGACAGACATTTGGTCAAATACTACAGGTGCTAGAGCAAGACAGACATTTGGTCAAATACTACAGGTGCTAGAGCAAGACAGACATTTGGTCAAATACTACAGGTGCTAGAGCAAGGCAGACATTTGGTCAAATACTACAGGTGCTAGAGCAAGGCAGACATTTGGTCAAATACTACAGGTGCTAGAGCAAGACAGACATTTGGTCAAATACTACAGGTGCTAAGGCAAAACAGACAGACAGCAAGTTGGAAGTATAAATAATCTGCAGTTTTTATAAGAGCATCTACCCTCATTAACCTTAATCTATTCAAACAGCCTCTAACAACATAAACAGCCTCTAACCACATAAACCACCTCAAACCACATAAACCACCTCAAACCACATAAACCGCCTCTAACCACATAAACAGCCTCTAACAACATAAACAGCCTCTAACCACATAAACCACCTCAAACCACATAAACCGCCTCTAACCACATAAACCACCTCTAACCACATAAACAGCCTCTAACCACATAAACCACCTCTAACCACATAAACCACCTCTAACCACATAAACAGCCTCTAACCACATAAACCGCCTCTAACCACATAAACCACCTCTAACCACATAAACCACCTCTAACCACATAAACAGCCTCTAACCACATAAACCACCTCTAACCACATAAACCACCTCTAACCACATAAACCACCTCTAACCACATAAACCACCTCTAACCACATAAACAGCCTCTAACCACATAAACCGCCTCTAACCACATAAACCACCTCTAACCACATAAACCACCTCTAACCACATAAACCACCTCTAACCACATAAACAGCCTCTAACCACATAAACCGCCTGTAACAACATAAACCATCTCTAACCACCCAAACTGCATCTGACCACATAAACCACCTCTAACCACATAAACAGCCTCTAACCACATAAACCGCCTGTAACAACATAAACCATCTCTAACCACCCAAACTGCATCTGACCACATAAACCACCTCTAACCACATAAACCACCTCTAACCACATAAACCACATAAACAGCCTCTAACCACATAAACCACCTCTAACCACATAAACCACCTCTAACCACATAAACCACCTCTAACCACATAAACCACCTCTAACCACATAAACCACCTCTAACCACATAAACCGCCTCTAACCACATAAACCACCTCTAACCACATAAACAGCCTCTAACATTATAAACCACCTCTAACCACATAAACCGCTTCTAACCACCTACAGCTGAAAAGAAAAAACGCACTAACCTCCAGTAACGTCCGCCTCTCTAAAGCAACTTTTTTATTTTTGTGGAAAAATTTTCTGGGTGGAAAAATTAACTGGTTGACCTGAGTAAACAATGACATGTGTGAGTGACATCAGTAAGTGATATGGTTATGATATTAAACAAGTGGTACTTGTGGTTGATGGGTGCCCCCCCCCCACATATTTGATGGGGTGCCCCCCCCCCCCACCCATGTTTGATGTGGTGGCGTACTTACTGAAGGATATTTTTTCTTGAGAGCTGAATGCATCTCCCTGAATCTGCTGTAGCGGCGAAAAACATACCAGGCTTCATTTCCTACTGACACCTAGCGGATTCAAACGTTGCTTATGGGTTAGATGATCCAATCAGACGTGTCTGATATTTGTATCGATATATGTATCATACATGTCTAATATATGCATCGATATATGTATGATAAATGTCTGATGTATGTATCAATATATGTATGATACATGTCAGATATATGTATCAATATATGTATGATACTTGTCTGATATATGTATCCATATATGTATGATACATGTCTGATATATGTATTGATATGATACTTGTCTGATATATGTATCAATATATGTATGATACATGTCTGATATATGTATTGATATGATACTTGTCTGATATATGTATGATACATGTCTGATATATGTATCCATATATGTATGTTACATGTCTGATATATGTATCGATATATGTATGATACTTGTCTGATATATGTATCGATATATGTATGATACATGTCTGATATATGTATTGATATGATACTTGTCTGATATATGTATCAATATATGTATGTTACATGTCAGATATATGTATCCATATATGTATGTTACATGTCTGATATATGTATCAATATATGTATGATACATGTCTGATATATGTATCCATATATGTATGTTACATGTCTGATATATGTATCAATATATGTATGATACATGTCAGATATATGTATCAATATATGTATGATGCTTGTCTGATATATGTATCCATCTATGTATGTTACATGTCTGATATATGTATCCATATATGTATGATACATGTCTGATATATGTATCCATATATGTATGTTACATGTCTGATATATGTATCCATATATGTATGATACTTGTCTGATATATGTATCCATATATGTATGTACCTACCTTGACTAGATATTCATAATGTAGGTCACGGCCACTGCCACGTAGAACAAAGGTTGGGATCTCAATACTCAACATAGACTGCTTGTCTACAGCACAACTCATCTGTCTCACCTGCACAGGCAAGACAGCAGTCAGGCAAGACAGCAGTCAGACAAGACAGCAGTCAGGCAAGACAGCAGTCAGGCAAGACAGCAGTCAGGCAAGACAGCAGTCAGGCAAGACAGCAGTCAGTCAGACAAGACAGTCAGACAAGACAGCAGTCAGACAAGACAGCAGTCAGGCAAGACAGCAGTCAGTCAGACAAGACAGTCAGACAAGACAGCAGTCAGACAAGACAGTCAGACAAGACAGCAGTCAGACAAGACAGCAGTCAGACAAGACAGCAGTCAGACAAGACAGCAGTCAGACAAGACAGCAGTCAGACAAGACAGCAGTCAGACATGCCTACCACTGTCAGCCAAAAGTAGGAACAGTTATGCCTAAAAAGAGGAATTTGAAGCCAAAAAGAGGAACATACGCGCGGACGCAACTTTACTAAGTCAAAAATAAAAACAATTAATTAAAAATTATTCTAATGACATTAGTAGGCTTCTAGTCCTATATAACTAGTCTCTAGGATACATTTAAATACTGCTTAATGTCAGCTTACATTTTAAAAAAATAAATTAACCAGTAACCACCCCCCCCCCCCCCGAATAAGAATCATAGATTTGACATAACATTATTGATTTGAATATTTATGTCTTGCTATGTTCTAGGCTATATGAATAACAATTGCTAAAGGCTTCATCATATGTAATATATAATATAAGTTATGAGCAAAGACCCTTGATCTACCTAGTAAAACTCCTAGTTACTTCTTACTAAGTTCTTCATAATAGTAGTTACTGGTTAAGTTAAACTTACAAGATAGATCAGTATTCACTATTTCAGTATCTACTAGTAGATCTAGTTACAATTCTAAATCTATTAGATTTACTACTAACTAGATCTAGAATTAGATTATACTGGTAAAAATTGTAAGTAAATAAGGAAACAGAAACGTGTGCCAAAGGGAGATAATCGCTATTTCCTGACGTATTTTTCAATTTACTTGATTACCTTTCTTTATTCTTTTTTTTTTTAAATCGGAACCAACTGAGTCAATTTCGGAATGACGGAACAAATTACTTTTTAACGCAATTTCCATTCTGGAGAATTGCGATTATTAACTCGTCATTTCTGGGAATGGATGGATGGATGGATGGATGTCCGCAGCTTTAAGTCGTATCTCCTCCTCAACGAAGCAATATCGAGGACTAGTTCCAAAAGCAAATATGTTAAGCAAGTTCCAAGGATGATTGTGTGCCAAAAAAATTCCCGGAATTCCTTCCTAGATTTTCCGGAAAAGCCAAAAAACCTCGAACAAATGCAGTTTTTGCTCCATATCTCGGCAACCTGACCACTTAGCGATTTGAAACATTTACCAATCGATTCCTGCCATAATTTAGACCAATATTGCCGAAGAAAGTTTTCAAAAATATCCTTCCTTCTAAAAAATTAATTAAGAACATTTAAACTGAGCATCGTGTAGGTTTTTAGCGCAAAGCTGAGGTTCGAAAGGATTTTACCATAGCGAATGAGCGGAGGTTCGAAAGGATTTTTTTTTTAAATTTCGACTGATACGGGAGGCTAGCCTGTCGCGACGTGGGATCGTTCGCGTCACTGCGCGCGGCAAGAGAGAGAGAGGCGAGCTACGCGTCGCTCGTTTTTTTCCACGTGCTAATGTTTACAAACAAGAGGGCGAGTTTTAATCATAGTCAAATGCTGATATTAACGTTTTAATATTTGGGCACCGTTGCTGAATATATGATTTATCTCGATTTAAAATTGTTATGGATAACATAAGGAAATTGCGCTTAAACTGTCACTAGACTTTTTATTAACTTGTTTAGGTGAAAAAGCGGGACGGTTCCGATTTTGGCGGGACGGTAGGCATGTCTGGCAGTCAGACAAAACTGCTGCCCCTGGTGCTACTACTGCCACTAGTGCTACTGCCCCTGGTGCTACTGCTGCCCCTGATAATACTGCCCCTGGTGCTACTACTGCCCCTGTTGCTACTAATGCCCATGGTGCTGCTACTGCCCCTGGTGCTACTACTGCCACTAGTACTACTGCTCCTGGTGCTACTACTGCCCCTGATGCTACTAATGCCCATGCTGCTACTGCCCATGGTACTACTGCCCCTGGTGCTACTAGTGCCCTGACACAACTTACCAAAGTTTTTCTGTCATGTGTTGCCACAGTTTCACAAGACTAAAAGAAGAAATGATTCAGTTTGTTAGAGACCTACACATCATTCAGTGTGTTAGAGACCTACACATCATTCAGTGTGTTAGAGACCTACACATCATTCAGTGTGTTAAAGAACTACACATCATTCAGTGTGTTAGAGACCTACACATCATTCAGTGTGTTAGAGAACTACACATCAGTTGAAATTGACATTTAGACCTACAAGATTTAGACCTAAGACCTTTAGTTTTAGACTGATACGATATAGACTTAGATATATATCTTATATTATATAAAGACCTTAAACCTACAAGACTGTGACCTTAAACCTTCAAGATTGTGACCTTAAACCTTCAAGATTGAGACCTTAAACCTTTAAGATTGAGACCTACCTGACTCCTAGTTACACGCAGCTCAGCTGATTTTGTAGCACTGAAAATACGGAATATGTCCATGATGGATTGAAACAGACAGACATACAGACAAAAGCAGAAATACAAACTCATTAGTCTAGTCCATGTTTTCATTTCATCACTCATCAAAACATGTTTTCATTTCGTCACTCATCAAAACATGTTTTCATTTCGTCACTCATCAAAACATGTTTTCATTTCATCACTCATCAAAACAGGTTTTCATTTCATCACTCATCAAAACAGGTTTTCATTTCATCACTCATCAAAACATGTTTTCATTTCATCACTCATCAAAACATGTTTTCATTTCATCACTCATCAAAACATGTTTGGATCAATCAACTGAATTATTTATTTTTATTTTTTCTGTACTAAAATGAAGGCTACCATTTTCTTCCTGAGAGCTTTGTTCATTCACTGATTTACAAGATTTGTTGGCAAGGAAAATACAGTTGCATTTTAACTTTCTCGTATATACAAAGCATAGAGAAAGTCTTGTAATCGTGCAAAAAAATTAGATTTTTGCAAATCTTGACGTTATACACCTCTCCTTGAGTCGGAAAAACATAGTTTTGCAATCTTGTCCGTGCGTCTGTGTGTGTGTGTGTGTATGTGTGTGTGTATTTAGAATGGATTAAAAATCATGTCTATATCCCGAGTAGCCATCCCCTGTTGTTTTACATAAGAATATTCGAGATCATTCCCAGGAGATCACTCCCGGTTTATTCATAAATATACTTTAACTTAAATTAAACTTAATATTTATAAATTTGATGCTTAAAAATATTAAAATAAAATTGGCAAATCAAGATAACTTGATAAATAAACCGGCAGTGATCTCCCCTAAACTTTCTCGAATATTCTTATATAAAACAACAGGGGATGGGAACTCGGGATATAGATCTAGTTATGATTTTTAATCCATTTTAAATACTTAAACTTTTTAAAATAGAATAGAATCTCATAGAAAAAAAGAATTGCACACCAAGCGAACGCCAAATAAAGATGTTAATTATAATAGTGCGCAATATTATTAGTACTTTATAAATTTACATGCGTTTTTTCAGAATTCGGAAATAGCGTAAATTAGTACTTCCGGTCAAAATTTGAGAGAAGGTAGACAATTAGATCTTTAGCGCAATTTCCATTCTGGAGAATTGCGTTTATTAACTTGTCTTTTCTGGGAATGGATGAATGGATGGATGGATGGATGTGTGTCCGCAGCTTTAAGTCGTATCTCCTCCTCAACGAAGCAATATCGAGGACTAGTTCCAAAAGCAAATATGTTAAGCAAGTTACCAGGATGAACATAGGCCAAAAAAATTCCGGGTTTCTTTCATGGATTTCCCGGAAAAGCCAAAAAACCTCGAAAAAAATGCAGTTTTTGGCCCATATCTCGGCAACCAGACCACTTAGCGACTTGAAACATGTACCAATCGATTCCTGCCATAATTTAGAACAATATTGCCGAAGAAAGTTCTCAAAAATATCCTTTCGTTCGGTCACAATTTTTTTTTTAATTAATTAAAATTTGGACCGAATTAGTAGGCATTTTATCCAACCACACCACACGCGTCATCACGTTCAATAACTGCGCCATCACGTTCAATGGCTGCTACATCACGTTCGGTAGCTAGGCGCGCAATGGTTTTTAGTCATGTTACTCTATTGTAAATAAAACATGTAAAATACTGAAAAAAAATTAATAAAAAACGTTTTAATAACTAACCAATGGTTTTACTAATCCTGCTCTTGATTTACGCTACGACAGAGCTATTTTTAGATAACATAAGGAAATTGCGCTTAAATGTCACTAGACTTTTTAATTAACTTGTTTACTCTTACATGTGAAATTTCATTTATCTATCTGAAATAGTACTCAAGTTATAGGTTTTTGAAAAATTCAAAGTAGAAAAAGTACCACTTCCAGTTATCGGAAATCGCTCAAAAGTTTATACGGATCTACGATTTTGATATAATACTTATATATGAAATTTCATCAACCTAGCTGTAACGGTACTCAAGTTATCATGTTTACACACACACACAGGCAGACACACAGACATACAGACAAGATTGCAAAATTATGTTTTTCCGTATCAGTGAGGTGTAAAACGTCGAGATTTGCAAAAATCTCGATTTTTTTTTTGTTCGATTACATGACTTTCTATATACTTCGTATATACGAGAAAGTAAAAATCTTTCTACTGACATCCACCAAGCCAACAAACTGTGCCACACAAACAGGAAAAGTCTCAAAATTAAATTCTCTGGACACTCAACTCTTTCCCTCATTATAAAAATATTAAATTTCTCAATTATTTTCAGGATTAAGTTGTTTTTTTTAAGTCACCCTGATTCTAAAAATATTAAATAAATTTTTTTACACCTGTTTTGAAGGCAAAATCTTAACAAAAAACAAACAGATTTTTATCCATGCTGATGGAGGGATTGTAAAAAACTTGTATTGGCTAATATTTAAAAACAGGACCACCTATTCTAAAGCCCCCATTTTTCTTTTGGTAAACATTTTAATAATAGCATGACCTAGTTAAGGCTAGCTTGCTGACAGTGATGTTACTATGTGCCAGTCAGGCCAAATTGTTTAGGCTTTTTTTTTTCTCCAATATTGCTTAAGAAAAAATGTTGGAGGCTCTGTATTGGCAGAGAGCTATCACATGTTTTTTCAAACTGAATATTCTTCGCGGGACATTTTTGAATGATATTTCAGGACATCAGTAATCTGATAAAAGTTTCTGAACAGACACATACATACAGAAAATAGAAGCAGAAAATCAAATACAAGCAGATAAACACACATACAAACCCACAAACGAACACATAGAGAGCTGTACCTGAACTCCAACTGGGCTCTCAGTAAACTCATCTCCCTCTGATGTAAACTTTTGAGTCTCTCAATTTCTCTCTCCCTCTCCTGCTTGTCTCTCTCTCGCTCCAACTTGCGAAGTCTCTCTCTCTCTACCTTCTCCTCAAACAGCCTGCACTTGACTTCCTGCTCCACCAGGCTGTTCAACCTGCGCACGCAGCCAGACTTAGTGGTGCAGGGAGTGTCTATTGCTGTTGGTGCTATGTGGCTGATGTAGTGTGTGGTATGGTGTGTGGCTGATGTAGTGTGTGGTATGGTGTGTGGCTGATGTAGTGTGTGGTATGGTGTGTGGCTGCTGTAGTGTATGGCTGATGTAGTGTGTGGCTGCTGTAGTGTGTGGTATGGTGTGTGACTGATGTAGTGTGTGGCTGATGTTGTGTGTGGCTGATGTTGTGTGTGGTATGGTGTGTGGCTGCTGTAGTGTATGGCTGATGTAGTGTGTGGCTGATGTAGTGTGTGGTATGGTGTGTGGCTGCTGTAGTGTGTGGCTGATGTAGTGTGTGGCTGATGTTGTGTGTGGCTGATGTTGTGTGTGGTATGGTGTGTGGCTGCTGTAGTGTATGGCTGATGTAGTGTGTGGCTGATGTAGTGTGTGGTGGCTGATGTAGTGTGTGGTATGGTGTGTGGCTGCTGTAGTGTGTGGTATGGTGTGTGGCTGCTGAAGTGTGTGGCTGATGTAGTGTGTGGCTGATGTAGTGTGTGGTATGGTGTGTGGCTGCTGTAGTGTGTGGCTGATGTAGTGTGTGGCTGCTGTAGTGTGTGGTATGGTGTGTGGCTGCTGAAGTGTGTGGCTGCTGTAGTGTGTGGCTGATGTAGTGTGTGGTATGGTGTGTGGCTGCTGTAGTGTGTGGCTGCTGTAGTGTGGTATGGTATGTGGCTTCTGTAGTGTGCAGCTGATGTAGTGTGAGGCTGCTGTAGTGTGTGGCTGCTGTAGTGTGTGGCTGATGTAGTGTGTGGTATGGTGTGTGGCTGCTGTAGTGTGATGCTGATGTAGTGTGTGGTATGGTGTGTGGCTGATGTAGTGTGTGGCTGATGTAGTGTGTGGCTGCTGTAGTGTGTGGCTGCTGTAGTGTGTGGCTTCTGTAGTGTGTGGTATGGTGTGTGGCTGATGTAGTGTGTGGCTGATGTAGTGTGAGGCTGATGTAGTGTGTGGCTGATGTAGTGTGTGGCTGATGTAGTGTGTGGTATGGTGTGTGGCTGATGTAGTGTGTGGCTGATGTAGTGTGTGGTATGGTGTGTGGCTGCTGTAGTGTGTGGCTGATGTAGTGTGTGGTATAGTGTGTGGCTGCTGTAGTGTGTGGCTGCTTTAGTGTGTGGCTGCTGTAGTGTGTGGCTGATGTAGTGTGTGGCTGATGTAGTGTGTGGTATGGTGTGTGGCTGATGTAGTGTGTGGCTGATGTAGTGTGTGGTATGGTGTGTGGTTGATGTAGTGTGTGGCTGATGTAGTGTGTGGCTGCTGTAGTGTGTGGCTGCTGTAGTGTGTGGCTGCTGTAGTGTGTGGCTGATGTAGCGTGTGGCTGATGTAGTGTGTGGCTGCTGTAGTGTGTGGCTGCTGTAGTGTGTGGCTGATGTAGTGTGTGGCTGATGTAGCGTGTGGCTGCTGTAGTGTGTGGCTGCTGTAGTGTGTGGCTGATGTAGCGTGTGGCTGATGTAGTGTGTGGCTGATGTAGCGTGTGGTATGGTGTGTGGCTGATGTAGTGTGTGGCTGATGTAGTGTGAGACTGCTGTAGTGTGTGGCTGCTGTAGTGTGTGGCTGCTGTAGTGTGTGGCTGCTGTAGTGTGTGGCTGATGTAGCGTGTGGCTGATGTAGTGTGTGGCTGATGTAGTGTGTGGTATGGTGTGTGGCTGATGTAGTGTGTGGCTGATGTAGTGTGTGGTATGGTGTGTGGCTGCTGTAGTGTGTGGCTGATGTAGTGTGTGGCTGCTGTAGTGTGTGGCTGCTTTAGTGTGTGGCTGCTGTAGTGTGTGGCTGATGTAGTGTGTGGCTGATGTAGTGTGTGGTATGGTGTGTGGCTGATGTAGTGTGTGGCTGATGTAGTGTGTGGTATGGTGTGTGGTTGATGTAGTGTGTGGCTGATGTAGTGTGTGGCTGCTGTAGTGTGTGGCTGCTGTAGTGTGTGGCTGCTGTAGTGTGTGGCTGATGTAGCGTGTGGCTGATGTAGCGTGTGGCTGATGTAGTGTGTGGCTGCTGTAGTGTGTGGCTGCTGTAGTGTGTGGCTGATGTAGTGTGTGGCTGATGTAGCGTGTGGCTGATGTAGTGTGTGGCTGCTGTAGTGTGTGGCTGCTGTAGTGTGTGGCTGATGTAGCGTGTGGCTGATGTAGTGTGTGGCTGATGTAGCGTGTGGTATGGTGTGTGGCTGATGTAGTGTGTGGCTGATGTAGTGTGAGGCTGCTGTAGTGTGTGGCTGCTGTAGTGTGTGGCTGCTGTAGTGTGTGGCTGATGTAGCGTGTGGCTGATGTAGTGTGTGGCTGATGTAGCGTGTGGTATGGTGTGTGGCTGATGTAGTGTGTGGCTGCTGTAGTGTGTGGTATAGTGTGTGGCTGCTGTAGTGTGTGGCTGCTGTAGTGTGTGGTATAGTGTGTGGCTGCTGTAGTGTGTGGCTGCTGTAGTGTGTGGCTGCTGTAGTGTGTGGCTGCTGTAGTGTGTGGCTGCTGTAGTGTGTGGCTGATGTAGTGTGTGGTATAGCGTGTGGCACCAACCTGTCCTGTCTCTCCATCTCCAACAGCTTCAGCTTTTCAAACTCTATCTGGTCAAGCTGTGAGTCCCTCTCTTGGTGAAAAGCTTTGAGCTTCTCTTCCAAGACTTGCACTGTGCCCTCAAGCTCTTCCCTCATCATCTCCAGCTCCTGGGGGGGTAGGTCTAAACATCATTGTGTGGCTGACACACGTGGTCTACACATTATCATGTGACTGGCACACGTGGTCAACACATTATCACGTGGCTAGCACACGTGGTCTACACATTATCATGTGACTGGCACACGTGGTCTACACCAGTTGCGGATTAAGGGGGGGGGGGGGGGCTTAAAGGGCTGCATTCAGGGGCCCCCTAAAATGTACAGCTCTATTTTTAGTTTTCACTATAAAAAACTAAAGTTATAATTTTTACATCACAAGCTTCAATTGTTTTTTTTTTAAATATCCAACTTTTGCACACACCTAAGTATAAATATCAGCTGTCATCACCTTCTACCCAGACATTGTTTATATAAAGCCGACGTTCACTACAAATAACATTGTCCGGACCATGACAATAAAATTGTTTTAGCCTTAAAAACACAACCAGCAGCCCAATTGTGACAGATGATTGACTCATCTTTTAAAACAGCCAGCAATTAAAAGTCACTTTGTCAGATAGCTTCACTCGGCGGTAACAAAACTATATAAAATAATACTGTATAGGGTCTAGACAGTGAATTAGTTCTCACTCGCACGCATTCAGACAATCAGATTTATTGGCTAACCCTAGCCATCAACGGAAACAGTCCTAACCATCTTTAAATTGTATTAAAATGAAAAGCCATTTTATTTACCAAAGACCACAAAATGAGTTGTTTGCCATGAATAAACTTCAAAACGCCCCGCCTGTAATCAGGTGTCGTCGCTTTCTGCTCGCAAAATGTTTACATAAAGTGATGCTCTCTAAAATATTATACATTTTATTTCTGGCACACAATTCGGTTGATCAACTAGCTTCAACTGAATCTTAACAAAACAGACAAGAAAACCATGTTTTACTTCAGCATGTGATTGTATGAAAGATCCGTCTAATGTTTTTAACCCTTTCCCCGGCGATTGGGTGTATCCACCCGAACTCGCTATATTTTTGCTCATATCTCGAGTCTCGTTTTATAAATTTTTCTGGGCTTCTTTCCCATCTATAAGGTGGTTGGGATGAACACATTGGAGGTGGTAAATTTAAATAATATGCGTAAAAAAATGTATGAGGGTTTGAAAAAATTTTTATACGGTCCCTGGCAATTGGGTACTACACACCCGTACACAATTTTGAATGGAAAAAATAATTATCATTAAAAAAGTTTTAAAAAACCCACGTTTCCTGATTGAACTAAAAAGTAGAAAATAAATGCTATACATCACAATAATGCAAGCGATCACTCTACTATAAGCGATGAAAAACGTGGGGCGCCGAAGTAAAAGTTTTTTATCGGTCATTGTTAATATAAGATGTAAAATTTATATTACTATTGATTAGATAATACTATTGAGTTTTATTAGGGAGCTTGTAGAGAGTCAACAGTATTAGAAACTGTAAGAAAATCCAATAGATTATTTTTTCCTCTAAATTCTCATGAAAATATCAGTTGTCCCTTAGTCGGACATCAAAGTCCATGCTCTACAGTTTTAACTGTAGCTGTCATCGCTTCATGTCAAACAATGTTTATTTAACGTGAGCTCTCCCTAAAATAATAATGTGTTTCTGATTGATCTTGCTTAGCCTATAAAATACGACCAGTAAGTAGGCGATATTAGATGAGGCTAGGCTTACTTTGTAAGATCTGTAAATGTATCGGTCCTAGTGAGATGATCAGACATACTAAAATAATATAAAGTGGTATATCTATTTTTATAATCATATTGTGTCTCCCATTGGATCTACACAAGAAGCACTATAACTCTAACTTGTTTACAACAGTAGACCTATTTTAAAAAGTTATGGAGAGATGTTTTCAAATTTTGTTATCTGAATCAAATGTTCGTATAGTTACCATTTTTAAAACAGGCTAAATTATTACCAAGCACGATTTTAAAAGTACCGTAGTTGTAATATCAGCGTTGTAACACATGTATCCTGGATTTATACTCCTCAAGTAATGAAGTTGTAATTGAATATTATTATTCTGTTTGTTTGGCCATTTAAGCTTAATATTTTTATTTGCATTAAAAATAATTTTAAACAAACTTATACCTAAACATGTTAGACAAACGCCTAGCTAGACTATATATATATATATATATATATATATATATATATATATATATATATATTATATTATATATATATATATTATATTATATATATATATATATATATATATATAAATTCATCCAGGGCCCCGCTCAACCTAAATCCGCAACTGGTCTACACATCATCTGTACCCCCACACCCACACAAGAAAATGTACCTGCTGTCTGTTGTCCCCCCACACCCACACAAGAAAATGTACCTGCTGTCTGTTGTCCCCCCACACACCCACACCCACACAAGAAAATGTACCTGCTGTCTGTTGTCTGTAGCACATGAGCTGTCCTGCTGGTTGCCATAAAGAACAAGTCTGAAAAAAAATGGTGCAGGATAAACTCAGTGGCTACATTAGGTTTAGTGTGTGGCTACATTAGGTTCAGTGTGTGGCTACATTAGGTTCAGTGTGTGGCTACATTAGGTTCAGTGTGTGGCTACATTAGGTTCAGTGTGTGGCTACATTAGGTTCAGTGTGTGGCTACATTAGGTTCAATGTGTGGCTACATTAGGTTCAGTGTGTGGCTACATTAGGTTCAGTGTGTGGCTACATTAGGTTCAGTGTGTGGCTACATTAGGTTCAATGTGTGGCTACATTAGGTTCAGTGTGTGGCTACATTAGGTTCAGTGTGTGGCTACATTAGGTTCAGTGTGTGGCTACATTAGGTTCAGTGTGTGGCTACAGTGTGTGGCTACATTAGGTTTAGTGTGTGGCTACATTAGGTTCAGTGTGTGGCTACAGTGTGTGGCTACATTTGGTTCAGTGTGTGGCTACATTAGGTTCAATGTGTGGCTACATTAGGTTCAGTGTGTGGCTACATTAGGTTCAGTGTGTGGGTACATTAGGTTCAGTGTGTGGCTACATTAGGTTCAGTGTGTGGCTACATTAGGTTCAGTGTGTGGCTACATTAGGTTCAGTGTGTGGCTACATTAGGTTCAGTGTGTGGCTACATTAGGTTCAATGTGTGGCTACATTAGGTTCAGTGTGTGGCTACATTAGGTTCAGTGTGTGGCTACATTAGGTTCAGTGTGTGGCTACATTAGGTTCAGTGTGTGGCTACATTAGGTTCAGTGTGTGGCTACATTAGGTTCAGTGTGTGGCTGCATTATGTTCAGTGTGTGGCTACATTAGGTTCAGTGTGTGGCTACATTAGGTTCAGTGTGTGGCTACATTAGGTTCAGTGTGTGGCTACATTAGGTTCAGTGTGTGGCTACATTAGGTTCAGTGTGTGGCTACATTAGGTTCAGTGTGGGGCTACATTAGGTTCAGTGTGTGGCTACATTAGGTTCAGTGTGTGGCTACATTAGGTTCAGTGTGTGGCTACATTAGGTTCAGTGTGTGGCTACATTAGGTTCAGTGTGTGGCTACATTAGGTTCAGTGTGTGGCTACATTAGGTTCAGTGTGTGGCTACATTAGGTTCAGTGTGTGGCTACATTAGGTTCAGTGTGTGGCTACATTAGGTTCAGTGTGTGGCTACATTAGGTTCAGTGTGTGGCTACATTAGGTTCAGTGTGTGGCTACATTAGGTTCAGTGTGTGGCTACATTAGGTTCAGTGTGTGGCTACATTAGGTTCAATGTGTGGCTACATTAGGTTCAGTGTGTGGCTACATTAGGTTCAGTGTGTGGCTACATTAGGTTCAGTGTGTGGCTACATTAGGTTCAGTGTGTGGCTACATTAGGTTCAGTGTGTGGCTACATTAGGTTCAGTGTGTGGCTACATTAGGTTCAGTGTGTGGCTACATTAGGTTCAGTGTGTGGCTACATTAGGTTCAGTGTGTGGCTACATTAGGTTCAGTGTGCGGCTACATTAGGTTCAGTGTGTGGCTACACTAGGTTCAGTGTGTGGCTACATTAGGTTCAGTGTGTGGCTACATTAGGTTGAGTGTGTGGCTACATTAGGTTGAGTGTGTGGCTACATTAGGTTGAGTGTGTGGCTACATTAGGTTGAGTGTGTGGCTACATTAGGTTCAATGTGTGGCTACATTAGGTTCAGTGTGTGGCTACATTAGGTTCAGTGTGTGGCTACATTAGGTTCAGTGTGTGGCTACATTAGGTTCAGTGTGTGGCTACATTAGGTTCAATGTGTGGCTACATTAGGTTCAGTGTGTGGCTACATTTGGTTCAGTGTGTGGCTACATTAGGTTCAATGTGTGGCTACATTAGGTTCAGTGTGTGGCTACATTAGGTTCAGTGTGTGGCTACATTAGGTTCAGTGTGTGGCTACATTAGGTTCAGTGTGTGGCTACATTAGGTTCAATGTGTGGCTACATTAGGTTCAGTGTGTGGCTACATTAGGTTCAGTGTGTGGCTACATTAGGTTCAGTGTGTGGCTACATTAGGTTCAATGTGTGGCTACATTAGGTTCAGTGTGTGGCTACATTAGGTTCAGTGTGTGGCTACACTAGGTTCAGTGTGTGGCTACATTAGGTTCAATGTGTGGCTACATTAGGTTCAGTGTGTGGCTACACTAGGTTCAGTGTGTGGCTACATTAGGTTCAGTGTGGGGCTACATTAGGTTCAGTGTGTGGCTACATTAGGTTCAGTGTGTGGCTACATTAGGTTCAGTGTGTGGCTACATTAGGTTCAGTGTGTGGCTACATTAGGTTCAGTGTGTGGCTACATTAGGTTCAGTGTGTGGCTACATTAGGTTCAGTGTGTGGCTACATTAGGTTCAGTGTGTGGCTACATTAGGTTCAGTGTGTGGCTACATTAGGTTCAGTGTGTGGCTACATTAGGTTCAGTGTGTGGCTACATTAGGTTCAGTGTGTGGCTACATTAGGTTCAGTGTGTGGCTACATTAGGTTCAGTGTTTGGCTACATTAGGTTCAGTGTGTGGCTACATTAGGTTCAGTGTGTGGCTACATTAGGTTCAGTGTGTGGCTACATTAGGTTCAGTGTTTGGCTACATTAGGTTCAGTGTGTGGCTACATTAGGTTCAGTGTGTGGCTACATTAGGTTCAGTGTGTGGCTACATTAGGTTCAGTGTGTGGCTACATTAGGTTCAGTGTTAGATCTCACCACCCCGCCCCAAGAGAAAAACTATATAAACACATATGAATATGTATGTTCTAGAGAGAGAGATAGATCGATGTATTTAATGTTTTAATCTGAACTTTGACCTTTTTTTTAAATGTATAACCACATGAGTTCTCCAGCGACCAAAAAGATCGTTCAAAGTTTGCTCGAAGCTCTTTATCCTTTTAGAGACAATTTTGAATGAGTGAACGAATGTATTGCAACTGGTGTGACCCCTCCATATTTATCTAACCTTGTCAACTTGTGTAAACATTCTATTCATGCAACTAGAACAAGTATTCAACTCTATCACTTTCAATTACGAATTCGAATGGACAAAGCATTTTCATCCTAAATTTTAAAATGTGGTGTCACCCCCATCCTGGTCATTAAATGATGTTTCACTTATTAAAAATACTCAACAAAACTGTAAATTGTGCAAAGTTTACATTTGGTGTTGTTTGTGTCCCCACCCCACATGTAGTTACCAAGTTTCTATGCACACCCCCCCCCCCCACCCATTTTGGGATTTGCCAAATTGCATTAAAAGACTAATTAACACCTAACTGATTCATTAAACTGGAAAAATATTTTTCTTCTGTCAATCGTGTCTTTTTCTTACATACCTAAATGCCCATGACTTATAAGAAGTACGTGGGATTGTTCAAGCATGACTTACTTTCTCTTTTCTTCCTTTATCTCCTCCAAATTTTTATGGTACATTTCTTCCAGGGTCTCTATCTCCACTTCCAGCTCTTGCATCTAGAAAGAAACATCAGACAACATCAGACAACTTCAGACAACATCAGTCACAGTGTTTCTTCCAGACTTTTTTCTCCGGGGGGCACTTGAAATTTTCGGGGGGGGGGGGGCAGTAAACTTTCTTCGGGGGGGGCGGACACTGCTAAAAGTATATATTTTCGATATAAATTATATAAATTTCATTTCTTTTGGGGGGGGGGGGGGCGGTAATAAAGAGATGCCTGGAAGAAACTCTGATCGGTCAACAACATCAGACAACTCCAGAAATCATCAGTTAACAACAGACAACATCAGACAAAACCAGACAACATCACAACATCAGACAACATCAGACAACATCAGACAACATCAGACAACATCAGACAACATCAGACAACATCAGACAACATCACAACATCAGACAACATCAGACAACATCAGACAACATCAGACAACATCAGACAACATCAGACAACATCAGACAACATCAGACAACATCAGACAAAACCAGACAACATCAGACAACATCAGACAACATTAGACAACATCACAACATCAGACAACATCAGACAACATCAGACAACATCAGACAACATCAGACAACATCAGACAACATTAGACAACATTAGACAACATCAGACAACATCAGACAACATTAGACAACATCAGACAACATCAGACAAAACCAGACAACATCAGACAACATCAGACAACATTAGACAACATCAGACAACATCAGACAAAACCAGACAACATCAGACAACATTAGACAACATCAGAAAACATCAGACAACATCAGACAACATCAGAAAACATCACAACATCAGAAAACATCACAACATCAGACAACATCAGACAACATCAGACAACATCAGACAACATCAGACAACATCAGACAAAACCAGACAACATCAGACAACATTAGACAACATCAGAAAACATCACAACATCAGAAAACATCACAACATCAGACAACATTAGACAACATCAGAAAACATCAGACAACATCAGACAACATCAGAAAACATCACAACATCAGAAAACATCACAACATCAGACAACATCAGACAACATCACAACATCAGACAACATCAGACAACATCACAACATCAGACAACATCAGACAAAACCAGACAACATCAGACAACATCACAACATCAGACAACATCAGACAACATCAGAAAACATCACAACATCAGACAACATCAGACAACATCACAACATCACAACATCAGACCATGATTTACTTTTTCTTTGCGATTCAACTTTTTCTCATCACATCTTTTTTCCATGATGACTTTCTCCTCAAGTAACCTTGACCTTTGTTCTGAGAGATCTTTTAGGTGAAGGTCGACATCTCCCTCAAGTGTACCTGGCGTGCTCAACTGAGGTCAAATGAACAAATGTCACAACATGTCAACAGACTTGTCACTCCATGTCAACAGACTTGTCAACAGACTTGTCACTCCATGTCAACAGACTTGTCAACAGACTTGTCACTCCATGTCAACAGACTTGTCACTCCATGTCAACAGACTTGTCACTCCATGTCAACAGACTTGTCACTCCATGTCAACAGACTTGTCAACAGACTTGTCACTCCATGTCAACAGACTTGTCAACAGACTTGTCACTCCATGTCAACAGACTGGTCAACAGACTTGTCACTCCATGTCAACAGACTGGTCAACACACTTGTCACTCCATGTCAACAGACTGGTCAACAGACTTGTCACTCCATGTCAACAGACTTGTCACTCCATGTCAACAGACTTGCTGCTGCCTGAGGTCTGAGCTTACCTGAGCTAAAGCTTGCTGGAGCTGCTGCTGTCTGAGGTCTGAGCTTACCTGAGCTAAAGCTTGCTGGAGCTGCTGCTGTCTGAGGTCTGAGCTTACCTGAGCTAAAGCTAGCTGGAGCTATTGCTGCCTGAGGTCTGAGCTTACCTGAGCTAAAGCTAGCTGGAGCTATTGCTGTCTGAGGTCTGAGCTTACCTGAGCTAAAGCTAGCTGGAGCTATTGCTGTCTGAGGTCTGAGCTTACCTGAGCTAAAGCTTGCTGGAGCTGCTGCTGTCTGAGGTCTGAGCTTACCTGAGCTAAAGCTAGCTGGAGCTATTGCTGCCTGAGGTCTGAGCTTACCTGAGCTAAAGCTAGCTGGAGCTATTGCTGTCTGAGGTCTGAGCTTACCTGAGCTAAAGCTAGCTGGAGCTATTGCTGTCTGAGGTCTGAGCTTACCTGAGCTAAAGCTTGCTGGAGCTGCTGCTGTCTGAGGTCTGAGCTTACCTGAGCTAAAGCTAGCTGGAGCTATTGCTGCCTGAGGTCTGAGCTTACCTGAGCTAAAGCTAGCTGGAGCTATTGCTGCCTGAGGTCTGAGCTTACCTGAGCTAAAGCTTGCTGGAGCTGCTGCTGCCTTAGGTCAGCTGCCTTCAAGTCCTGAGCTAGACACCTGAGTTGGTGGCTCTGGTCCAGCAGGAACTTTTCCTCCTCTGCTTGGAGCTGCCCCAGTTGTCTGACCTTGACCTGCTCCCAGGCCTCGACCTCCTGCTCTACTGCAGCCATCTCCTGCTGCTGCAGCTCCACAAATGACTTCTCCTCCAGCTCCAGGAGCTGTCTGGCCTCCCTCAACTGCTGCAGCTCCCCAAACATCTCCAGCTTCTCCTCAGCTGAGGAAAAGTTCCTGGCCAAAAGTAAACAACAGATGCCATGTTGTGTTGGGGGGGGGGGGGGACTAAAGTGACACCTGGGATGACCTACCCAAGCTGACACCTGGGATGACCTACCCAAGCTGACACCTGGGATGACCTACCCAAGCTGACACCTGGGATGACCTACCCAAGCTGACACCTGGGATGACCTACCCAAGCTGACACCTGGGATGACCTACCCAAGCTGACACCTGGGATGACCTACCCAAGCTGACACCTGGGATGACCTACCCAAGCTGACACCTGGGATGACCTACCCAAGCTGACACCTGGGATGACCTACCCAAGCTGACACCTGGGATGACCTACCCAAGCTGTAGGGCCATATGACACCTGGTCTCCTGTTCTGTGAGGTCGGCCCAAGCCTCCTCGATGTGTCTGTTCTGTTCTTGCAGGTTCTCCAGCACCTCCTGCCACTTGCTGCTAGCCTCCACCTGCGCCTGCTGGGCTGCCAGTTCAGCCTTCTCCCTCTCAAACCTCTCCAGCTCCTGACTGACCAGTGGGCAGCTGCTAGCTAGAGAACGCCTCTCTGTGTCCCACCTGGCTGCCAGCTGCTGCCTGTGGTCCATCACCTGCCCCAGCTCCTGGCTCAGCTGCAAACACGGCAGACCTAGACATTCATGTGCTCAACACAATCATTCTAGACATTCATGGGCTCAACACAATCATTCTAGACATTCATGGGCTCAACACAATCATTCTAGACATTCATGGGCTCAACACAATCATTCTAGACATTCATGGGCTCAACACAATCATTCTAGACATTCATGGGCTCAACACAATCATTCTAGACATTCATGGGCTCAACACAATCATTCTAGACATTCATGGGCTCAACACAATCATTCTAGACATTCATTGGCTCATCACAATCATTCTAGACATTCATTGGCTCAACACAATCATTCTAGACATTCATGGGCTCAACACAATCATTCTAGACATTCATGGGCTCAACACAATCATTCTAGACATTCATGGGCTCAACACAATCATTCTAGACATTCATTGGCTCATCACAATCATTCTAGACATTCATTGGCTCATCACAATCATTCTAGACATTCATGGGCTCAACACAATCATTCTAGACATTTATGGGCTCAACACAATCATTCTAGACATTCATGGGGTCAACAGAATATGTGTATCTGTGTGATCCAACATTTGGAGTGTGTGTGTGATCCAACATTTGGAGTGTGTGTGTGATCCAACATTTGGAGTGTGTGTGTGATCCAACATTTGGAGTGTCTGTGTGATCCAACATTTGGAGTGTGTGTGTATGTGTGTGATCCAACATTTGGAGTGTCTGTGTGATCCAACATTTGGAGTGTCTGTGTGATCCAACATTTGGAGTGTGTGTGTGTGTGTGTGTGTGATCCAACATTTGGAGTGTCTGTGTGATCCAACATTTGGAGTTTCTGTGTGATCCAACATTTGGAGTGTTTGTGTGATCCAACATTTGGAGTGTGTCTGTGTGATCCAACATTTGGAGTGTCTGTGTGATCCAACATTTGGAGTGTCTGTGTGATCCAACATTTGGAGTGTGTGTGTGTGTGTGTGTGATCCAACATTTGGAGTGTCTGTGTGATCCAACATTTGGAGTTTCTGTGTGATCCAACATTTGGAGTGTTTGTGTGATCCAACATTTGGAGTGTCTGTGTGATCCAACATTTGGAGTGTGTGTGTGTGTGTGTGTGTGATCCAACATTTGGAGTGTCTGTGTGATCCAACATTTGGAGTTTCTGTGTGATCCAACATTTGGAGTGTTTGTGTGATCCAACATTTGGAGTGTGTCTGTGTGATCCAACATTTGGAGTGTCTGTGTGATCCAACATTTGGAGTGTCTGTGTGATCCAACATTTGGAGTGTGTGTGTGTGTGTGTGTGATCCAACATTTGGAGTGTCTGTGTGATCCAACATTTGGAGTTTCTGTGTGATCCAACATTTGGAGTGTTTGTGTGATCCAACATTTGGAGTGTCTGTGTGATCCAACATTTGGAGTGTGTGTGTGTGTGTGTGATTCAACATTTGGAGTGTCTGTGTGATCCAACATTTGGAGTGTGTGTGTGATCCAACATTTGGAGTGTGTGTGTGTGTGTGTGTGATCCAACATTTGGAGTTTCTGTGTGATCCAACATTTGGAGTGTGTGTGTGATCCAACATTTGGAGTGTGTGTGTGTGTGTGATCCAACATTTGGAGTGTGTGTGTGATCCAACATTTGGAGTGTGTGTGTGATCCAACAACTGACCTGATCTTTGTCCTGATGTAGTTTAGACTTGCGCTGCTCCGCCAGTGCCATGGCCTGGTCTGTCTGGGCCAGCTGACGCTCCAGGTCCCTGACCACCTGGCTGATGGAATCTTCTTCAGTCAACTGGTCTGGGTACCAGCTAACTGATTCCAGCTCCTGCAAGATAGGTAGGTCCTACATGAGACAGGTCCTACATGAGACAGGTCCTACATGAGACAGGTCCTACATGAGACAGGTCCTACAACAGGCAGGTCCTACTTGAGACAGGTCCTACATGAGACAGGTCCTACATGAGAGAGGTCCTACTTGAGACAGACAGGTCCTACATGAGACAGGTCCTACATGAGAGGTCCTACACAAGACAGGTCCTACATGAGACAGGTCCTACAACAGACAGGTCCTACTTGAGACAGGTCCTACTTGAGAGAGGTCCTACATGAGACAGGTCCTACATGAGACAGGTCCTACATGAGACAGGTCCTACATGAGACAGGTCCTACAGCAGGCAGGTCCATTCCCACAACTGACCTTGAGTAAATTGTCCTTAGAGATTTTCAAATCCTCAAGCAACTCATCTTCCTGCTGGTCCAACTGGGCTAGTCTCTCCTCGATGTTAACACAGGGTTTACTCTGTGAGAGAAAAATGTTAACACAAGGTTTACTCTGTGAGAGAAAAATGTTAACACAGGGTTTAAAAATGTTAACACAGGGTTTACTCTGAGAGAATAAAATGTTAACACATGGTTTAAAAATGTTAACACAAGGTTTACTCTGTGAGAAAAATGTTAACACAGGGTTTACTCTGTGAGGATAAAATGTTAACACATGATTTACTCTGTGAGAGAAAAATGTTAACACAAGGTTTACTCTGTGAGAGAAAAATGTTAACACGTGGTTTAAAAATGTTAACACAGGGTTTACTCTGTGAGAGAAAAATGTTAACACAGGGTTTAGTCTGTGAGAAAAATGTTAACACAAGGTTTAAAAATGTTAACACAGGGTTTTAAAAATGTTAACCCAGGGTTTACTCTGTGAGAGAAAAATGTTAACATAGGGTTTAAAAAATGTTAACACAGGGTTTAAAAAATGTTAACACATGGTTTAAAAAATGTTAACATAGGGTTTAAAAAATGTTAACACAGGGTTTAAAAAATGTTAACACAGGGTTTAAAAAATGTTAACACAGGGTTTAAAAAATGTTAACACAGGGTTTAAAAAATGTTAACACAGGGTTTACTCTGTGAGAGAAAAATGTTAACACAGGGTTTAAAAAATGTTAACACAGGGTTTACTCTGTGAGAGTGTTGCCATGGGTAATGAAAGGCTGACCTGGGACTGGCAAAGTTCTCCCTGTATCTCCTCAAGTCTCCTCCTCTTCTCCTCCAACTCCTCCTGTACCTGCCTCTCATCCTCCCTTCTCTCATCCTCACGTCTGACATACTGCTGCTCTAGATGTTCAATCTCTGTTCTGTTAACACAGGGCAAAGGTCATGGGCCTCAAAAGGTAAACTAGGTCATGGTCATGGAGAATTACTAAACTTACCAGGTCATGACCTACTTACCTCTTCTGCTCAATTTCCTCCTGGTCCTCTCTGCAAGCTGTGATGTCATTCCTGAAATGGAGGGGTGGGGAGGGGGAGGGGCATAGCTTGCCATGGTCAGTTTCTTGAAATAAGAATGTACACAGGTAGTGGGGATTGTGTACAGGTAGTGGTGATTGATTGTGTACAGGTAGTGGTGATTGATTGTGTACAGGTAGTGGGGATTGTATACAGGTAGTAGGGATTGATTGTGTACAGGTAGTGGGGATTGATGTGTACAGGTAGTGGGGATTGATTGTGTACAGGTAGTGGGGATTGATGTGTACAGGTAGTGGGGATTGATTGTGTACATGTAGTGGGGATTGTGTACAGGTAGTGGGGATTGTGTACAGGTAGTGGGGATTGCTTGTGTACATGTAGTGGGGATTGCTTGTGTACATGTAGTGGGGATTGTGTACAGGTAGTGGGAATTGATTGTGTACAGGTAGTGGGGATTGATTGTGTACATTTAGTGGGGATTGTGTACAGGTAGTGTGGATTGTGTACAGGTAGTGGGGATTGATTGTGTACATGTAGTGGGGATTGCTTGTGTACATGTAGTGGGGATTGTGTACAGGTAGTGGGAATTGATTGTGTACAGGTAGTGGGGATTGTGTACAGGTAGTGGGAATTGATTGTGTACATGTAGTGGGGATTGCTTGTGTACATGTAGTGGGGATTGTGTACAGGTAGTGGGAATTGATTGTGTACATATAGTGGGGATTGCTTGTGTACATGTAGTGGGGATTGTGTACAGGTAGTGGGGATTGATTGTGTACTTGATGTACTGACCCACTCAGAGCGAGACTTTCATTAGACCTGTAGAGGTCAGTCATGGACTGGCTGAGTAGGGTGAGTCTGGCTGACAACTTTCTGTCTTCTGTCAAGCTTGAGCAGGACAACTTCCTGTCTTCCACTAGACTTGTGCTAGATAGAGACTGATCAAAAGAAATAAATTATTGGGCTGCATGCTCTAGTGCTACCTGGTCTAGTGCTACATCATCTAGTGCTATAGTGCTACATGGTCTAGTGCTATAGTGCTACATGGTCTAGTGCTACATGCTCTAGTGCTACATGATCTAGTGCTACATGGTCTAGTGCTATAGTGCTACATGGTCTAGTGCTATAGTGCTACATGGTCTAGTGCTACATGGTCTAGTGCTATAGTGCTACATGGTCTAGTGCTACATGGTCTAGTGCTATAGTGCTACATGGTCTAGTGCTACATGGTCTAGTGCTACATGGTCTAGTGCTACATGGTCTAGTGCTATAGTGCTACATGGTCTAGTGCTTTGTGGACTAGTGGTCTAATGCTATATGGTCTAGTGCTGCATCATCTAGTACTTTAGTGCTACATTGTCTAGTGCTATAGTGCTACATAGTCTAGTGCTACATGGTCTAGTACTACATGGTCTAGTGCTATATGGTCTAGTGCTGCATCATCTAGTACTTTAGTGTCACATGGTCTAGTGCTATAGTGCTACATGGTCTAGTGCTACATGATCTAGTGCTATATGGTCTAGTGTTACATGTTCTAGTGCTACATGATCTAGTGCTATAGTGCTACATAGTCTAGTGCTACATGGTCTAGTGCTATATGGTCTAGTGCTGCATCATCTAGTACTTTAGTGCCACATGGTCTAGTGCTATAGTGCTACATGGTCTAGTGCTACATGATCTAGTGCTACAAACATTGTCTAGTGCTATAGTGCTACCAGGTCTAGTGCTACATGGTCTAGTACTACATGGTCTAGTGCTACATGGTCTAGTTCTACATGGTCTAGTACTACATGGTCTAGTGCTACATGGTCTACTGATACATGATCTAGTGCTATAGTGCTACATGGTCTAGTGCTATAGAGCTATATGGTCTAGTGCTATAGTGCTACATGGTCTAGTGCTACATGGTCTACTGATACATATAGTGCTATAGTGCTACATGGTCGAGTGCTGTAGAGCTATATGGTCTAGTGCTACCAGGTCTATAAGCTACATATGTGGTAGGGTTGTAGTGCTATTGAGCTACCAAGTGATTAAGGATTCAAACCTTTTGTATTTGCAGATTTTTCTTCATCAATTTAGCTTGTTCTGGGTGGTTGAACCTGAAGATGGTCTTCTCCCCCAAGGTGATCACCATACCTGTCATACACACGTATAACATGACCAGCACATGACATCACATGACCAGCACACATGACATCACATGACATCACATGACATCACATGACCAGCACACATGACCAGCACATGACATCACATGACCAGCACATGACATCACATGACATCACATGACCAGCACACATGACATCACATGACCAGCACACATGACCAGCACACATGACATCACATGACATCACATGACATCACATGACCAGCACACATGACCAGCACACATGACATCACATGACCAGCACACATGACATCACATGACATCACATGACCAGCACACATGACATCACATGACATCACATGACATCACATGACATCACATGACATCACATGACCAGCACACATGACCAGCACACATGACATCACATGACATTACATGACATCACATGACCAGCACATGACATCACATGACATCACATGACATCACATGACATCACATGACCAGCACACATGACCAGCACACATGACATCACATGACATCACATGACCAGCACACATGACCAGCACATGACATCACATGACCAGCACACATGACATCACATGACCAGCACACATGACATCACATGACATCACATGACCAGCACACATGACATCACATGACCAGCACACATGACATCACATGACATCACATGACATCACATGACATCACATGACCAGCACACATGACATCACATGACCAGCACACATGACATCACATGACATCACATGACATCACATGACATCACATGACATCACATGACATCACATGACATCACATGACATCACATGACCAGCACACATGACATCACATGACATCACATGACCAGCACACATGACATCACATGACATCACATGACCAGCACACATGACATCACATGACCAGCACACATGACATCACATGACATCACATGACATCACATGACATCACATGACATCACATGACATCACATGACATCACATGACCAGCACACATGACCAGCACACATGACATCACATGACCAGCACACATGACATCACATGACATCACATGACATCACATGAACAGCACACATGACCAGCACATGACCAGCACACATGACATCACATGACCAGCACATGACATCACATGACCAGCACATGACATCACATGACCAGCACATGACATCACATGACCAGCACATGACATCACATGACCAGCACACATGACATCACATGACCAGCACATGACATCACACATGCAGACATGCCTACCGTCCCGCCAAAATCGGAACCGTCCCGCTTTTTCATTAATAAAGAAAGGTAATCAAGTAAATTGAAAAAAATGTCAGGAAAAAGCGATTATCTCCCTTTGGCACACGTTTCTGTTTCCTAGTTTACTTACAATATTTACCAGTATCATCTAAAAAAAATTTCATAAAAAACGTTTTAATAACAAGCTTTTATGTAATGATGCACTAAAAAGTTGAAAATAAATTATAGACTACTATTTAAATAACTATAAAGAAAAGCGTGGGTCACTTTAGTTTCTATTGGATACCTTTACTAATGTTAAGGAAGACACCCACGCTTTTCTTTATAGTTATTTAAATAGTAGTCTATAATTTATTTTCTACTTTTTAGTGCATCATTACATAAAAGCTTGTTATTAAAACGTTTTTTATGAAATTTTTTTCAGTACTTTACATGTTTTATCTACAATAGAGTTACATGACTAAAAACCATTGCGCGCCTACTGAATATCACGTTCAGTAGGCGCGCAATGGTTTTTGAACGCAGCCATTACGTGGTCGTGATGGCGCAGCTATTGATGACGCGTGTGGTGTGGTTGGCTAGACATGCCTACTAATTCGGTCCAAATTTTAATTAATTCATAAAAAATCAATTAGGCATCCAATTAAGTCAAATTTAGTTTCAGATTGCATTGTCTTCATGTCTTGACCCACGTGCCAACTGTGAATCGTGTCGGTCAAGTAGAACTGTCCGAATTTTCACTCCTGCGTTTCCGTCAAGACAGACTTACGACAGACAGAGGAAGTGAGTTAAATAAAAGCTTGTAATAAATAGATCTTGTTAGTAGTATATCTACTACTACTAGATCTAGAATTGTAACTAGATCTATTAGTAGATACTGAAATAGTGAATACTGATCTATCTTGTAAGTTTAACTTAACTAGTAACTACTATTATGAAGAACTTAGCAAGAAGTAACTAGGAATTTTACTAGGTAGATCAAGGGTCTTTGCTCGTAACTTATATATTACATATGATGAAGGCTTCAGCATTTGTTATTCACATAGCCTAGAACATAGCAAGACATAAATAATCAAATCAATAATGTTATGTCAAAGCTATGATTTTTATTCAAAGTGGGGGGGGGGGGGGGGGGGGGTCTCAGGTTACTGGTTAATTTATTTTTTAAAATATAAGCTGACATTAAGCAGTATTTAAATGTATCATAGAGACTAGTTATATAGGACTAGAAGCCTACTAATGTCATAAGAGTAATTTTTAATTAATTATTTTTATTTTTTATTTAGTAAAGTTGCGTCCGCATGTATGTTCCTCTTTTTGGCTACAAATTCCTCTTTTTAGGCATAGCTGTTCCTACTTTTGGCTGACAGGGGTAGGCATGTCTTAACATGACATCACATGACATCACATGACATCACATGACCAGCACACATGACATCACATGACCAGCACACATGACATCACATGACATCACATGACATCACATGACATCACATGACATCACATGACCAGCACACATGACATCACATGACATCACATGACATCACATGACCAGCACACATGACATCACATGACATCACATGACCAGCACACATGACATCACATGACCAGCACACATGACATCACATGACCAGCACATGACATCACATGACATCACATGACCAGCACACATGACATCACATGACATCACATGACATCACATGACATCACATGACCAGCACACATGACATCACATGACATCACATGACATCACATGACATCACATGACATCACATGACCAGCACACATGACATCACATGACATCACATGACATCACATGACATCACATGACATCACATGACCAGCACACATGACATCACATGACCAGCACACATGACATCACATGACCAGCACACATGACCAGCACATGACATCACATGACCAGCACACATGACATCACATGACCAGCACACATGACATCACATGACCAGCACACATGACATCACATGACCAGCACACATGACATCACATGACCAGCACATGACATCACATGACCAGCACACATGACATCACATGACCAGCACATGACATCACATGACCAGCACATGACATCACATGACCAGCACACATGACATCACATGACCAGCACACATGACATCACATGACCAGCACACATGACATCACATGACATCACATGACATCACATGACATCACATGACATCACATGACCAGCACACATGACATCACATGACATTTACATATTTTTTTAATTGAGCTGTAAAAAAGACTTGAGAGAATTGAGCCATAAAAAAGACTTGAGAGAATTGAGCCATAAAAAAGACTTGAGAGAATTGAGCCATAAAAAAGAATTGAGCCATAAAAAAGACTTGAGAGAATTGAGCCGTAAAAATAGTTTTTAGAGAATTGAGCCTTACCTTGTTGAAGGCGGGTTGGCTGTGTCAGAAGGTGGTTGTTGATGGCACAGCGAGCGCCCTCTATGGGGTGCAGCACCACCTCCTGATCCCGGTGCTCAATGACACAGTGCTCAGCTTCTATGCCTTCATCACTCAGAGCTGCAAGTCAGGGGCAGAGGTCAAAGGTCATAGGTCAAGCAGTACAGAGGTCAGGGATAAAAGAGGTGAGAAAACTTACTGATATCTTGAGGCTCGTCTGACTGGCAGGATCCAAGCTTGGTTAGTCCCTCCTGTCATAGATAGTAGTTACACAATGTCATAGACAGTAGTTACACAATGACATGTTCTAGACAAGTAGACAGTAGCTAGACAATGTCTAGACAAGTAGACAGAAGCTAGACAATGTCTAGACAAGTAGACAGTAGCTAGACAATGTCTAGACAAGTAGACAGTAGCTAGACAATGTCTAGACAAGTAGACAGTAGCTAGACAATGTCTAGACAAGTAGACAGTAGCTAGACAATGTCTAGACAAGTAGACAGTAGCTAGACAATGTCTAGACAAGTAGACAGTAGCTAGACAATGTCTAGACAAGTAGACAGTAGCTACACGATGACATGTTCTAGACAAGTAGACAGTAGCTAGACAATGTCTAGACAAGTAGACAGTAGATAGACAATGTCTAGACAAGTAGACAGTAGCTAGACAATGTCTAGACTAGTAGACAGTAGCTAGACAATGTCTAGACAAGTAGACAGTAGCTAGACAATGTCTAGACAAGTAGACAGTAGCTACACGATGTCTAGACAAGTAGACAGGATGACATGTTCTAGACACTGACCCTGACCTTCACCAGAGTAGAAGTTGAACCTGTGACCAACCTTGACCCTGACTGACCTTGAGATGGTAGAGCTTGACCCCTGTGCTGAGGAGATCCTCATCAATGGCCACCAGATGAGGCAGCTTGGAGTCCAGGATGACGCCCACCCCTGTCTGACGCAGGGCCAACTTTTGTTCTCTCATCAAACTGGCCGATTCATTCCACTTCTCTGCCCACTCTTCTGTCAACACTTTCACCTGAATCAACGTGTCACACTATATCAACATTCCTTGCTACCCAATGTGTAATCAAAGTAACCTTGCTACCAGATGTGTAATCAAAGTAACCTGCTACCAGATGTGTAATCAAAGTAACCTTGCTACCTGCTGTGTAATCAAAGTAACCTGCTACCCCATGTGTAATCAAAGTAACCTGCTACCCCATGTGTAATCAAAGTCACCTGCTACCAGATGTGTAATCAAAGTAACCTGCTACCAGATGTGTAATCAAAGTCACCTGCTACCAGATGTGTAATCAAAGTCACCTGCTACCAGATGTGTAATCAAAGTCACCTGCTACCAGATGTGTAATCAAAGTCACCTGCTACCAGATGTGTAATCAAAGTCACCTGCCACCAGATGTGTAATCAAAGCCACCTGCTACCAGATGTGTAATCAAAGTAACCTGGTACCAGATGTGTAATCAAAGTCACCTGCTACCAGATGTGTAATCAAAGTCACCTGCTACCAGATGTGTAATCAAAGTCACCTGCTACCAGATGTGTAATCAAAGTCACCTGCTACCAGATGTGTAATCAAAGTAACCTGGTACCAGATGTGTAATCAAAGTCACCTGCTACCAGATGTGTAATCAAAGTCACCTGCTACCAGATGTGTAATCAAAGTAACCTGGTACCAGATGTGTAATCAAAGTCACCTGCTACCAGATGTGTAATCAAAGTCACCTGCTACCAGATGTGTAATCAAAGTGACCTGGTACCAGATGTGTAATCAAAGTAACCTGCTGTGTATGCTTACCCTGGCTTCATTCTCATGGAGTTTTTCTTGGACACGAGGTGATGAATCCTAAAGATTTAAAAAATGGACTGGATGAATCCTAAAGATTTAAAATATGGACTGGATGAATCCTAAAGATTTAAAATATGGACTGGATGAATCCTAAAGATTTAAAATATGGACTGGATGAATCCTAAAGATTTAAAAAATGGACTGGATGAATCCTAAAGATTTAAAAAATGGACTGGATGAATCCTAAAGATTTAAAAAATGGACTGGATGAATCCTAAAGATTTAAAAAATGGACTGGATGAATCCTAAAGATTTAAAATATGGACTGGATGAATCCTAAAGATTTAAAATATGGACTGGATGAATCCTAAAGATTTAAAATATGGACTGGATGAATCCTAAAGATTTAAAAAATGGACTGGATGAATCCTAAAGATTTAAAAAATGGACTGGATGAATCCTAAAGATTTAAAATATGGACTGGATGAATCCTAAAGATTTAAAATATGGACTGGATGAATCCTAAAGATTTAAAATATGGACTGGATGAATCCTAAAGATTTAAAATATGGACTGGATGAATCCTAAAGATTTAAAATATGGACTGGATGAATCCTAAAGATTTAAAATATGGACTGGATGAATCCTAAAGATTTAAAATATGGACTGGATGAATCCTAAAGATTTAAAAAATGGACTGGATGAATCCTAAAGATTTAAAAAATGGACTGGATGAATCCTAAAGATTTAAAATATGGACTGGATGAATCCTAAAGATTTAAAATATGGACTGGATGAATCCTAAAGATTTAAAATATGGACTGGATGAATCCTAAAGATTTAAAATATGGACTGGATGAATCCTAAAGATTTAAAAAATGGACTGGATGAATCCTAAAGATTTAAAATATGGACTGGATGAATCCTAAAGATTTAAAATATGGACTGGATGAATCCTAAAGATTTAAAATATGGACTGGATGAATCCTAAAGATTTAAAATATGGACTGGATGAATCCTAAAGATTTAAAAAATGGACTGGATGAATCCTAAAGATTTAAAATATGGACTGGATGAATCCTAAAGATTTAAAAAATGGACTGGATGAATCCTAGAGATTTAAAATATGGACTGGATGAATCCTAAAGATTTAAAAAATGGACTGGATGAATCCTAAAGATTTAAAATATGGACTGGATGAATCCTAAAGATTTAAAAAATGGACTGGATGAACCCTAAAGATTTAAAAAATGGACTGGATGAATCCTAAAGATTTAAAAAATGGACTGGATGAATCCTAAAGATTTAAAAAATGGACTGGATGAATCCTAAAGATTTAAAATATGGACTGGATGAATCCTAAAGATTTAAAAAATGGACTGGATGAATCCTAAAGATTTAAAAAATGGACTGGATGAATCCTAAAGATTTAAAAAATGGACTGGATGAATCCTAAAGATTTAAAATATGGACTGGATGAATCCTAAAGATTTAAAATATGGACTGGATGAATCCTAAAGATTTAAAATATGGACTGGATGAATCCTAAAGATTTAAAAAATAAACTGGATGAATCCTAAAGATTTAAAAAATGGACTGGATGAATCCTAAAGATTTAAAAAATGGACTGGATGAATCCTAAAGATTTAAAAAATGGACTGGATGAATCCTAAAGATTTAAAATATGGACTGGATGAATCCTAAAGATTTAAAATATGGACTGGATGAATCCTAAAGATTTAAAATATGGACTGGATGAATCCTAAAGATTTAAAAAATGGACTGGATGAATCCTAAAGATTTAAAAAATGGACTGGATGAATCCTAAAGATTTAAAATATGGACTGGATGAATCCTAAAGATTTAAAATATGGACTGGATGAATCCTAAAGATTTAAAATATGGACTGGATGAATCCTAAAGATTTAAAATATGGACTGGATGAATCCTAAAGATTTAAAATATGGACTGGATGAATCCTAAAGATTTAAAATATGGACTGGATGAATCCTAAAGATTTAAAATATGGACTGGATGAATCCTAAAGATTTAAAAAATGGACTGGATGAATCCTAAAGATTTAAAAAATGGACTGGATGAATCCTAAAGATTTAAAATATGGACTGGATGAATCCTAAAGATTTAAAATATGGACTGGATGAATCCTAAAGATTTAAAATATGGACTGGATGAATCCTAAAGATTTAAAATATGGACTGGATGAATCCTAAAGATTTAAAAAATGGACTGGATGAATCCTAAAGATTTAAAATATGGACTGGATGAATCCTAAAGATTTAAAATATGGACTGGATGAATCCTAAAGATTTAAAATATGGACTGGATGAATCCTAAAGATTTAAAATATGGACTGGATGAATCCTAAAGATTTAAAAAATGGACTGGATGAATCCTAAAGATTTAAAATATGGACTGGATGAATCCTAAAGATTTAAAAAATGGACTGGATGAATCCTAGAGATTTAAAATATGGACTGGATGAATCCTAAAGATTTAAAAAATGGACTGGATGAATCCTAAAGATTTAAAATATGGACTGGATGAATCCTAAAGATTTAAAAAATGGACTGGATGAATCCTAAAGATTTAAAAAATGGACTGGATGAATCCTAAAGATTTAAAAAATGGACTGGATGAATCCTAAAGATTTAAAAAATGGACTGGATGAATCCTAAAGATTTAAAATATGGACTGGATGAATCCTAAAGATTTAAAAAATGGACTGGATGAATCCTAAAGATTTAAAAAATGGACTGGATGAATCCTAAAGATTTAAAAAATGGACTGGATGAATCCTAAAGATTTAAAATATGGACTGGATGAATCCTAAAGATTTAAAATATGGACTGGATGAATCCTAAAGATTTAAAAAATGGACTGGATGAATCCTAAAGATTTAAAAAATGGACTGGATGAATCCTAAAGATTTAAAAAATGGACTGGATGAATCCTAAAGATTTAAAAAATGGACTGGATGAATCCTAAAGATTTAAAAAATGGACTGGATGAATCCTAAAGATTTAAAAAATGGACTGGATGAATCCTAAAGATTTAAAAAATGGACTGGATGAATCCTAAAGATTTAAAAAATGGACTGGATGAATCCTAAAGATTTAAAAAATGGACTGGATGAATCCTAAAGATTTATAAAATGGACTGGATGAATCCTAAAGATTTAAAAAATGGACTGGATGAATCCTAAAGATTTAAAATATGGACTGGATGAATCCTAAAGATTTAAAATATGGACTGGATGAATCCTAAAGATTTAAAAAATGGACTGGATGAATCCTAAAGATTTAAAATATGGACTGGATGAATCCTAAAGATTTAAAAAATGGACTGGATGAATCCTAAAGATTTAAAAAATGGACTGGATGAATCCTAAAGATTTAAAAAATGGACTGGATGAATCCTAAAGATTTAAAAAATGGACTGGATGAATCCTAAAGATTTAAAAAATGGACTGGATGAATCCTAAAGATTTAAAATATGGACTGGATGAATCCTAAAGATTTAAAATATGGACTGGATGAATCCTAAAGATTTAAAAAATGGACTGGATGAATCCTAAAGATTTAAAAAATGGACTGGATGAATCCTAAAGATTTAAAAAATGGACTGGATGAATCCTAAAGATTTAAAATATGGACTGGATGAATCCTAAAGATTTAAAATATGGACTGGATGAATCCTAAAGATTTAAAAAATGGACTGGATGAATCCTAAAGATTTAAAAAATGGACTGGATGAATCCTAAAGATTTAAAAAATGGACTGGATGAATCCTAAAGATTTAAAAAATGGACTGGATGAATCCTAAAGATTTAAAATATGGACTGGATGAATCCTAAAGATTTAAAATATGGACTGGATGAATCCTAAAGATTTAAAATATGGACTGGATGAATCCTAAAGATTTAAAAAATGGACTGGATGAATCCTAAAGATTTAAAAAATGGACTGGATGAATCCTAAAGATTTAAAAAATGGAGTGGATGAATCCTAAAGATTTAAAATATGGACTGGATGAATCCTAAAGATTTAAAATATGGACTGGATGAATCCTAAAGATTTAAAATATGGACTGGATGAATCCTAAAGATTTAAAAAATGGACTGGATGAATCCTAAAGATTTAAAAAATGGACTGGATGAATCCTAAAGATTTAAAATATGGACTGGATGAATCCTAAAGATTTAAAATATGGACTGGATGAATCCTAAAGATTTAAAATATGGACTGGATGAATCCTAAAGATTTAAAATATGGACTGGATGAATCCTAAAGATTTAAAATATGGACTGGATGAATCCTAAAGATTTAAAATATGGACTGGATGAATCCTAAAGATTTAAAATATGGACTGGATGAATCCTAAAGATTTAAAAAATGGACTGGATGAATCCTAAAGATTTAAAATATGGACTGGATGAATCCTAAAGATTTAAAAAATGGACTGGATGAATCTTAAAGATTTAAAATATGGACTGGATGAATCCTAAAGATTTAAAATATGGACTGGATGAATCCTAAAGATTTAAAATATGGACTGGATGAATCCTAAAGATTTAAAATATGGACTGGATGAATCCTAAAGATTTAAAATATGGACTGGATGAATCCTAAAGATTTAAAAAATGGACTGGATGAATCCTAAAGATTTAAAATATGGACTGGATGAATCCTAAAGATTTAAAAAATGGACTGGATGAATCCTAGAGATTTAAAATATGGACTGGATGAATCCTAAAGATTTAAAAAATGGACTGGTTGAATACTAAAGATTTAAAATATGGACTGGATGAATCCTAAAGATTTAAAAAATGGACTGGATGAATCCTAAAGATTTAAAAAATGGACTGGATGAATCCTAAAGATTTAAAAAATGGACTGGATGAATCCTAAAGATTTAAAAAATGGACTGGATGAATCCTAAAGATTTAAAATATGGACTGGATGAATCCTAAAGATTTAAAAAATGGACTGGATGAATCCTAAAGATTTAAAAAATGGACTGGATGAATCCTAAAGATTTAAAAAATGGACTGGATGAATCCTAAAGATTTAAAATATGGACTGGATGAATCCTAAAGATTTAAAATGTGGACTGGATGAATCCTAAAGATTTAAAAAATGGACTGGATGAATCCTAAAGATTTAAAAAATGGACTGGATGAATCCTAAAGATTTAAAAAATGGACTGGATGAATCCTAAAGATTTAAAATATGGACTGGATGAATCCTAAAGATTTAAAATATGGACTGGATGAATCCTAAAGATTTAAAATATGGACTGGATGAATCCTAAAGATTTAAAATATGGACTGGATGAATCCTAAAGATTTAAAAAATGGACTGGATGAATCCTAAAGATTTAAAATATGGACTGGATGAATCCTAAAGATTTAAAATATGGACTGGATGAATCCTAAAGATTTAAAATATGGACTGGATGAATCCTAAAGATTTAAAATATGGACTGGATGAATCCTAAAGATTTAAAATATGGACTGGATGAATCCTAAAGATTTAAAATATGGACTGGATGAATCCTAAAGATTTAAAATATGGACTGGATGAATCCTAAAGATTTAAAAAATGGACTGGATGAATCCTAAAGATTTAAAATATGGACTGGATGAATCCTAAAGATTTAAAAAATGGACTGGATGAATCCTAGAGATTTAAAATATGGACTGGATGAATCCTAAAGATTTAAAAAATGGACTGGTTGAATACTAAAGATTTAAAAAATGGACTGGATGAATCCTAAAGATTTAAAAAATGGACTGGATGAATCCTAAAGATTTAAAAAATGGACTGGATGAATCCTAAAGATTTAAAAAATGGACTGGATGAATCCTAAAGATTTAAAATATGGACTGGATGAATCCTAAAGATTTAAAAAATGGACTGGATGAATCCTAAAGATTTAAAAAATGGACTGGATGAATCCTAAAGATTTAAAAAATGGACTGGATGAATCCTAAAGATTTAAAATATGGACTGGATGAATCCTAAAGATTTAAAATATGGACTGGATGAATCCTAAAGATTTAAAAAATGGACTGGATGAATCCTAAAGATTTAAAAAATGGACTGGATGAATCCTAAAGATTTAAAAAATGGACTGGATGAATCCTAAAGATTTAAAAAATGGACTGGATGAATCCTAAAGATTTAAAAAATGGACTGGATGAATCCTAAAGATTTAAAAAATGGACTGGATGAATCCTAAAGATTTAAAATATGGACTGGATGAATCCTAAAGATTTAAAATATGGACTGGATGAATCCTAAAGATTTAAAAAATGGACTGGATGAATCCTAAAGATTTAAAAAATGGACTGGATGAATCCTAAAGATTTAAAAAATGGACTGGATGAATCCTAAAGATTTAAAAAATGGACTGGATGAATCCTAAAGATTTAAAATATGGACTGGATGAATCCTAAAGATTTAAAATATGGACTGGATGAATCCTAAAGATTTAAAAAATGGACTGGATGAATCCTAAAGATTTAAAAAATGGACTGGATGAATCCTAAAGATTTAAAAAATGGACTGGATGAATCCTAAAGATTTAAAAAATGGACTGGATGAATCCTAAAGATTTAAAATATGGACTGGATGAATCCTAAAGATTTAAAAAATGGACTGGATGAATCCTAAAGATTTAAAATATGGACTGGATGAATCCTAAAGATTTAAAAAATGGACTGGATGAATCCTAAAGATTTAAAAAATGGACTGGATGAATCCTAAAGATTTAAAAAATGGACTGGATGAATCCTAAAGATTTAAAAAATGGACTGGATGAATCCTAAAGATTTAAAATATGGACTGGATGAATCCTAAAGATTTAAAATATGGACTGGATGAATCCTAAAGATTTAAAATATGGACTGGATGAATCCTAAAGATTTAAAATATGGACTGGATGAATCCTAAAGATTTAAAAAATGGACTGGATGAATCCTAAAGATTTAAAATATGGACTGGATGAATCCTAAAGATTTAAAATATGGACTGGATGAATCCTAAAGATTTAAAATATGGACTGGATGAATCCTAAAGATTTAAAATATGGACTGGATGAATCCTAAAGATTTAAAAAATGGACTGGATGAATCCTAAAGATTTAAAATATGGACTGGATGAATCCTAAAGATTTAAAAAATGGACTGGATGAATCCTAGAGATTTAAAATATGGACTGGATGAATCCTAAAGATTTAAAAAATGGACTGGATGAATCCTAAAGATTTAAAATATGGACTGGATGAATCCTAAAGATTTAAAAAATGGACTGGATGAATCCTAAAGATTTAAAAAATGGACTGGATGAATCCTAAAGATTTAAAAAATGGACTGGATGAATCCTAAAGATTTAAAAAAAATGGACTGGATGAATCCTAAAGATTTAAAATATGGACTGGATGAATCCTAAAGATTTAAAAAATGGACTGGATGAATCCTAAAGATTTAAAAAATGGACTGGATGAATCCTAAAGATTTAAAAAATGGACTGGATGAATCCTAAAGATTTAAAATATGGACTGGATGAATCCTAAAGATTTAAAATATGGACTGGATGAATCCTAAAGATTTAAAAAATGGACTGGATGAATCCTAAAGATTTAAAAAATGGACTGGATGAATCCTAAAGATTTAAAAAATGGACTGGATGAATCCTAAAGATTTAAAAAATGGACTGGATGAATCCTAAAGATTTAAAAAATGGACTGGATGAATCCTAAAGATTTAAAAAATGGACTGGATGAATCCTAAAGATTTAAAATATGGACTGGATGAATCCTAAAGATTTAAAATATGGACTGGATGAATCCTAAAGATTTAAAAAATGGACTGGATGAATCCTAAAGATTTAAAAAATGGACTGGATGAATCCTAAAGATTTAAAAAATGGACTGGATGAATCCTAAAGATTTAAAAAATGGACTGGATGAATCCTAAAGATTTAAAAAATGGACTGGATGAATCCTAAAGATTTAAAAAATGGACTGGATGAATCCTAAAGATTTAAAATATGGACTGGATGAATCCTAAAGATTTAAAATATGGACTGGATGAATCCTAAAGATTTAAAAAATGGACTGGATGAATCCTAAAGATTTAAAATATGGACTGGATGAATCCTAAAGATTTAAAAAATGGACTGGATGAATCCTAAAGATTTAAAAAATGGACTGGATGAATCCTAAAGATTTAAAAAATGGACTGGATGAATCCTAAAGATTTAAAAAATGGACTGGATGAATCCTAAAGATTTAAAAAATGGACTGGATGAATTCTTAAGATTTAAAATATGGACTGGATGAATCCTAAAGATTTAAAATATGGACTGGATGAATCCTAAAGATTTAAAAAATGGACTGGATGAATCCTAAAGATTTAAAATATGGACTGGATGAATCCTAAAGATTTAAAAAATGGACTGGATGAATCCTAAAGATTTAAAATATGGACTGGATGAATCCTAAAGATTTAAAATATGGACTGGATGAATCCTAAAGATTTAAAAAATGGACTGGATGAATCCTAAAGATTTAAAAAATGGACTGGATGAATCCTAAAGATTTAAAAAATGGACTGGATGAATCCTAAAGATTTAAAAAATGGACTGGATGAATCCTAAAGATTTAAAATATGGACTGGATGAATCCTAAAGATTTAAAATATGGACTGGATGAATCCTAAAGATTTAAAATATGGACTGGATGAATCCTAAAGATTTAAAAAATGGACTGGATGAATCCTAAAGATTTAAAAAATGGACTGGATGAATCCTAAAGATTTAAAATATGGACTGGATGAATCCTAAAGATTTAAAATATGGACTGGATGAATCCTAAAGATTTAAAATATGGACTGGATGAATCCTAAAGATTTAAAATATGGACTGGATGAATCCTAAAGATTTAAAATATGGACTGGATGAATCCTAAAGATTTAAAATATGGACTGGATGAATCCTAAAGATTTAAAATATGGACTGGATGAATCCTAAAGATTTAAAATATGGACTGGATGAATCCTAAAGATTTAAAAAATGGACTGGATGAATCCTAAAGATTTAAAAAATGGACTGGATGAATCCTAAAGATTTAAAATATGGACTGGATGAATCCTAAAGATTTAAAATATGGACTGGATGAATCCTAAAGATTTAAAATATGGACTGGATGAATCCTAAAGATTTAAAATATGGACTGGATGAATCCTAAAGATTTAAAAAATGGACTGGATGAATCCTAAAGATTTAAAATATGGACTGGATGAATCCTAAAGATTTAAAATATGGACTGGATGAATCCTAAAGATTTAAAATATGGACTGGATGAATCCTAAAGATTTAAAATATGGACTGGATGAATCCTAAAGATTTAAAATATGGACTGGATGAATCCTAAAGATTTAAAAAATGGACTGGATGAATCCTAAAGATTTAAAAAATGGACTGGATGAATCCTAAAGATTTAAAAAATGGACTGGATGAATCCTAAAGATTTAAAAAATGGACTGGATGAATCCTAAAGATTTAAAATATGGACTGGATGAATCCTAAAGATTTAAAAAATGGACTGGATGAATCCTAAAGATTTAAAAAATGGACTGGATGAATCCTAAAGATTTAAAAAATGGACTGGATGAATCCTAAAGATTTAAAATATGGACTGGATGAATCCTAAAGATTTAAAATATGGACTGGATGAATCCTAAAGATTTAAAATATGGACTGGATGAATCCTAAAGATTTAAAAAATGGACTGGATGAATCCTAAAGATTTAAAAAATGGACTGGATGAATCCTAAAGATTTAAAAAAATGGACTGGATGAATCCTAAAGTTTAAAATTCCTCAGGTTTATAAAACATAAAAAACTGATAATTAATTAAGCATAGAAATGTAAAAAAAAAATCAAACTAATGGAGGTGCTGACTTACCCCACTACCTTCCAACAAAGCTCTGAGGCGTGCAATCTCTTCCCTCAACTCTCTGATCAGCTTAACATTGGGATCCTTCAAAAGATTTCAAAGAGTAAAATGTGCTCATCACTGCCACAATCATTGGTGAGACTACTCAATCATTCCCACAATCATTGGTGTGACCGCTCAATCACTGCCACAATCATTGGTGTGCACATTTGTTGACTACCTACCTCATTAACAGTTGGCCTATTGATAATGTTTTTGTGTGCACATTTGTTGACTACCTACCTCATTAACAGTTGGCCTATTGATAATGTTTTTGTGTGCACATTTGTTGACTACCTACCTCATTAACAGTTGGCCTATTGATAATGTTTTTGTGTCCACATTTGTTGACTACCTACCTCATTAACAGTTGGCCTATTGATAATGTTTTTGTGTGCACATTTGTTGACTACCTACCTCATTAACAGTTGGCCTATTGATAATGTTTTTGTGTGCACATTTGTTGACTACCTACCTCATTAACAGTTGGCCTATTGATAATGTTTTTGTGTGCACATTTGTTGACTACCTACCTCATTAACAGTTGGCCTATTGATAATGTTTTTGTGTGCACATTTGTTGACTACCTACCTCATTAACAGTTGGCCTATTGATAATGTTTTTGTGTCCACATTTGTTGACTACCTACCTCATTAACAGTTGGCCTATTGATAATGTTTTTGTGTGCACATTTGTTGACTACCTACCTCATTAACAGTTGGCCTATTGATAATGTTTTTGTGTGCACATTTGTTGACTACCTACCTCATTAACAGTTGGCCTATTGATAATGTTTTTGTGTCCACATTTGTTGACTACCTACCTCATTAACAGTTGGCCTATTGATAATGTTTTTGTGTGCACATTTGTTGACTACCTACCTCATTAACAGTTGGCCTATTGATAATGTTTTTGTGTCCACATTTGTTGACTACCTACCTCATTAACAGTTGGCCTATTGATAATGTTTTTGTGTGCACATTTGTTGACTACCTACCTCATTAACAGTTGGCCTATTGATAATGTTTTTGTGTCCACATTTGTTGACTACCTACCTCATTAACAGTTGGCCTATTGATAATGTTTTTGTGTGCACATTTGTTGACTACCTACCTCATTAACAGTTGGCCTATTGATAATGTTTTTGTGTGCACATTTGTTGACTACCTACCTCATTAACAGTTGGCCTATTGATAATGTTTTTGTGTCCACATTTGTTGACTACCTACCTCATTAACAGTTGGCCTATTGATAATGTTTTTGTGTGCACATTTGTTGACTACCTACCTCATTAACAGTTGGCCTATTGATAATGTTTTTGTGTCCACATTTGTTGACTACCTACCTCATTAACAGTTGGCCTATTGATAATGTTTTTGTGTGCACATTTGTTGACTACCTACCTCATTAACAGTTGGCCTATTGATAATGTTTTTGTGTCCACACTTGTTGACTACCTACCTCATTAACAGTTGGCCTATTGATAATGTTTTTGTGTGCACATTTGTTGACTACCTACCTCATTAACAGTTGGCCTATTGATAATGTTTTTGGCCCTATTGGCATAGCGCAGGGTGCTCAGTGTCTCTCCATAGTTGACATCAGCTGGGGACACCGCTGTAACAAGGGTGACAATCATGGAACAATGGTGACAATCATGGAACAATGGTGACAATCATGGAACAATGGTGACAATCATGGAACAATGGTGACAATCATGGAACAATGGTGACAATCATGGAACAATGGTGACAATCATGGAACAATGGTGACAATCATGGAACAATGGTGACAATCATGGAACAATGGTGACAATCATGGAACAATGGTGACAATCATGGAACAATGGTGACAATCATGGAACAATGGTGACAATCATGGAACAATGGTGACAATCATGGAACAATGGTGACAATCATGGAACAATGGTGACAATCATGGAACAATGGTGACAATCATGGAACAATGGTGACAATCATGGAACAATGGTGACAATCATGGAACAATGGTGACAATCATGGAACAATGGTGACAATCATGGAACAATGGTGACAATCATGGAACAATGGTGACAATCATGGAACAATGGTGACAATCATGGAACAATGGTGACAATCATGTAACAATGGTGACAATCATGGAACAATGGTGACAATCATGGAACAATGGTGACAATCATGGAACAATGGTGACAATCATGGAACAATGGTGACAATCATGGAACAATGGTGACAATCATGGAAACAATGGTGACAATCATGGAACAATGGTGACAATCATGGAACAATGGTGACAATCATGGAACAATGGTGACAATCATGGAACAATGGTGACAATCATGGAACAATGGTGACAATCATGGAACAATGGTGACAATCATGGAACAATGGTGACAATCATGGAACAATAGTGACAATCATGGAACAATGGTGACAATCATAGAACAATGGTGACAATCATAGAACAATGGTGACAATCATAGAACAATGGTGACAATCATAGAACAATGGTGACAATCATGGAACAATGGTGACAATCATAGAACAATGGTGACAATCATGGAACAATGGTGACAATCATGGAACAATGGTGACAATCATAGAACAATGGTGACAATCATGGAACAATGGTGACAATCATAGAACAATGGTGACAATCATGGAACAATGGTGACAATCATGGAACAATGGTGACAATCATAGAACAATGGTGACAATCATGGAACAATGGTGACAATCATAGAACAATGGTGACAATCATGGAACAATGGTGACAATCATAGAACAAGTGACAACAATCATGGAACAAGAGACAACAATCATGGAACAAAAGACACACTTGCGATCATGACTGTCTTGGCGTTGCCACCGAGACTGTCCTTTAAAAGCCAAGTTAGGACTGAGTCCCTGTAGGGGATGAACATTGGTTTACTCTTCACCCCATTTTCTGAGCGCTCCGCTGGAACAGAGAGGGAAAAGTTGTGTCATTAGCTCACCTGTAACTAGATCCCATTACTCCCTCACACAATAATGAGATGACATTTACTCACCCAATAATGAGATGACATTTACTCACCCAATAATGAGATGACATTTACTCACCCAATAATGAGATGACATTAACTCACCTAATAATGAGATGACATTAACTCACCTAATAATGAGATGACATTTACTCACCCAATAATGAGATGACATTAACTCACCTAATAATGAGATGACATTAACTCACCTAATAATGAGATGACATTAACTCACCCAATAATGAGATGACATTTACTCACCCAATAATGAGATGACATTAACTCACCTAATAATGAGATGACATTTACTCACCCAATAATGAGATGACATTAACTCACCTAATAATGAGATGACATTAACTCACCTAATAATGAGATGACATTTACTCACCCAATAATGAGATGACATTAACTCACCTAATAATGAGATGACATTTACTCACCCAATAATGAGATGACATTTACTCACCCAATAATGAGATGACATTAACTCACCTAATAGTGAGATGACATTTACTCACCCAATAATGAGATGACTTTAACTCACCCAATAATGAGATGACATTAACTCACCTAATAGTGAGATGACATTTACTCACCCAATAATGAGATGACTTTAACTCACCCAATAATGAGATGACATTGCCTAAGCTAACAAGTGACTTGTTGATGCTTCCTCCTTCTTTCAGTCTAAGACCAGTGGCACCAGAGCTGTCGGCTCTTTCACTGAAACATACATCCTGTCATCTGACATACATCCTGACATCTGGCAGTGTGCTATGACATCTAACATACAGCCTGACATCTGACATACATCCTGTCATCTGACATACATCCTGTCATCTGACATACAGCCTGACATCTGACATACAGCCTGACATTTGACAAACAGCCTGACATCTGGCAGTAGGCTATGACATCTGACATTCAGCATGACACCTGATATTTAGTATGACATCTGATATTTAGTATGACATCTGACATACAGTCTGACATCTGACATTCAGCATGATATACAGCATGACATCTGACATTCAGCATAACATCTGACATACAGCCTGACATCTGACATACAGCCTGACATTTGACAAACAACCTGACATCTGGCAGTGTGCTATGACATCTAACATACAGCCTGACATCTGACATACATCCTGTCATCTGACATACATCCAGTCATCTGACATACAGCCTGACATCTGACATACAGCCTGACATCTGACATACAGCCTGACATCTGACATACAGCCTGACATCTGACATACAGCCTGACATCTGACATACAGCCTGACATTTGACATACAGCCTGACATCTAATATACAGCCTGACATCTGGCAGTAGGGCATGACATATGACATTCAGCCTGACATCTGACATACAGCCTGACATCTAATATACAGCCTGACATCTGACATACAGCCTGACATCTGACATACAGCCTGACATCTGGCAGTAGGGCATGACATATGACATTCAGCCTGACATCTGACATACAGTCTGACATCTGACATACAGCCTGACATCTGACATACAGCCTGACATCTGACATACAGCCTGACATCTGACATACAGCCTGACATCTGACATACAGCCTGACATCTGGCAGTAGGGCATGACATATGACATTCAGCCTGACATCTGACATACAGCCTGACATCTAATATACAGCCTGACATCTGACATACAGCCTGACATCTGACATACAGCCTGACATCTGGCAGTAGGGCATGACATATGACATTCAGCCTGACATCTGACATACAGCCTGACATCTGACATACAGCCTGACATCTGACATACAGCCTGACATCTGACATACAGCCTGACATCTGACATACAGCCTGACATCTGACATACAGCCTGACATCTGGCAGTAGGGCATGACATATGACATTCAGCCTGACATCTGACATACAGCCTGACATCTAATATACAGCCTGACATCTTATATACAGCCTGACATCTGACATACAGCATGACATCTGACATATAGCCTGACATCTGACATACAGCCTGACATCTGACATACAGCTTGCCATAAAATCAAGAGCCCACTATTTAGCTTTGATTAGACAAGAGGAACTAACCTTCCAGCCAGGTCGACCAAGTTGATTTTACTTTGTCTCTCACTGGGCAACCCATCCAGGAATCTGGCCTAGAACAACAGAAATATTCACATTACAAGCCTAGACCAACAGAAATATTCACATTACAAGCCTAGACCAACAGAAATATTCACATTACAAGCCTAGAACAACAGAAATATTCACATTACAAGCCTAAACCAACAGAAATATTCACATTACAAGCCTAGAACAACAGAAATATTCACATTACAAGCCTAAACCAACAGAAATATTCACATTACAACAAGCCTAGACCAACAGAAATATTCACATTACAAGCCTAGACCAACAGAAATATTCACATTACAAGCCTAGACCAACAGAAATATTCACATTACAAGCCTAGACCAACAGAAATATTCACATTACAAGCCTAGACCAACAGAAATATTCACATTACAAGACTAGACCAACAGAAATATTCACATTACAAGCCTAGACCAACAGAAATATTCACATTACAAGCCTAGACCAACAGAAATATTCACATTACAAGCCTAAACCAACAGAAATATTCACATTACAAGCCTAGACCAACAGAAATATTCACATTACAAGCCTAAACCAACAGAAATATTCACATTACAAGCCTAGAACAACAGAAATATTCACATAGTGTTGTGTTGCTTTGAGGTGTGACTGTGTTGTGTGGCTGTGTTGTGTTGTGTGGCTGTGTTGTGTGGCTGTGTTGTGTGGCTGTGTTGTGTGGCTGTGTTGTGTTGTGTGGCTGTGTTGTGTGGCTGTGTTGTGTGGCTGTGTTGTGTTGTGTGGCTGTGTTGTGTGGCTGTGTTGTGTTGTGTGGCTGTGTTGTGTGGCTGTGTTGTGTGGCTGTGTTGTGTGGCTGTGTTGTGTGGCTGTGTTGTGTGGCTGTGTTGTGTGGCTGTGTTGTGTGGCTGTGTTGTGTTGTGTGGCTGTGTTGTGTGGCTGTGTTGTGTGGCTGTGTTGTGTGGCTGTGTTGTGTTGTGTGGCTGTGTTGTGTGGCTGTGTTGTGTGGCTGTGTTGTGTGGCTGTGTTGTGTGGCTGTGTTGTGTGGCTGTGTTGTGTGGCTGTGTTGTGTGGCTGTGTTGTGTGGCTGTGTTGTGTGGCTGTGTTGTGTGGCTGTGTTGTGTGGCTGTGTTGTGTGGCTGTGTTGTGTGGCTGTGTTGTGTGGCTGTGTTGTGTGGCTGTGTTGTGTGGCTGTGTTGTGTGGCTGTGTTGTGTGGCTGTGTTGTGTGGCTGTGTTGTGTGACTGACCTGAGTGAATGTGATGGTAAAAATGGCATGAGATCTGCTGCTGACATCATTCATGTTGGTTGATGCTGTTGTTCTGTTCAAGTTCCCTCTCTTCATTAAGTTCATTAGAACGTCATATGATGCCACAGAATGTTTGGATAAGTCTAGGATAGATAGGGATAATGATGCCACAGAATGTTTGGATAAGTCTAGGATAGATAGGGATAATCATATGATGCCACAGAATGTTTGGATAAGTCTAGGATAGATAGGGATAATGATGCCACAGAATGTTTGGATAAGTCTAGGATAGATAGGGATAATGATGCCACAGAATGTTTGGATAAGTCTAGGATAGATAGGGATAATGATGCCACAGAATGTTTGGATAAGTCTAGGATAGATAGGGATAATCATATGATGCCACAGAATGTTTGGATAAGTCTAGGATAGATAGGGATAATGATGCCACAGAATGTTTGGATAAGTCTAGGATAGATAGGGATAATGATGCCACAGAATGTTTGGATAAGTCTAGGATAGATAGGGATAATGATGCCAAAGAATGTTTGGATAAGTCTAAGATATATAGGGATAATGATGCCACAGAATGTTTGGATAAGTCTAGGATAGATAGGGATAATCACATGATGCCACAGAATGTTTGGATAAGTCTAGGATAGATAAGGATAATCATATGATGCCACAGAATGTTTGGATAAGTCTAGGATAGATAGGGATAATCATATGATGCCACAGAATGTTTGGATAAGTCTAGGATAGATAGGGATAATCATATGATGCCACAGAATGTTTGGATAAGTCTAAGATATATAGGGATAATGATGCCACAGAATGTTTGGATAAGTCTAGGATAGATAGGGATAATCATATGATGCCACAGAATGTTTGGATAAGTCTAGGATAGATAGGGATAATCATATGATGCCACAGAATGTTTGGATAAGTCTAGGATAGATAGGGATAATGATGCCAAAGAATGTTTGGATAAGTCTAGGATAGATAGGGATAATCATATGATGCCACAGAATGTTTGGATAAGTCTAGGATAGATAGGGATAATCATATGATGCCACAGAATGTTTGGATAAGTCTAGGATAGATAGGGATAATGATGCCAAAGAATGTTTGGATAAGTCTAAGATATATAGGGATAATGATGCCACAGAATGTTTGGATAAGTCTAGGATAGATAGGGATAATCATATGATGCCACAGAATGTTTGGATAAGTCTAGGATAGATAGGGATAATGATGCCACAGAATGTTTGGATAAGTCTAGGATAGATAGGGATAATCATATGATGCCACAGAATGTTTGGATAAGTCTAGGATAGATAGGGATAATCATATGATGCCACAGAATGTTTGGATAAGTCTAGGATAGATAGGGATAATCATATGATGCCACAGAATGTTTGGATAAGTCTAGGATAGATAGGGATAATGATGCCACAGAATGTTTGGATAAGTCTAAGATATATAGGGATAATGATGCCACAGAATGTTTGGATAAGTCTAGGATAGATAGGGATAATCATATGATGCCACAGAATGTTTGGTTAAGTCTAGGATAGATAGGGATAATGATGCCACAGAATGTTTGGATAAGTCTAAGATATATAGGGATAATGATGCCACAGAATGTTTGGATAAGTCTAGGATAGATAGGGATAATCATATGATGCCACAGAATGTTTGGATAAGTCTAGGATAGATAGGGATAATCATATGATGCCACAGAATGTTTGGATAAGTCTAGGATAGATAGGGATAATCATATGATGCCACAGAATGTTTGGATAAGTCTAGGATAGATAGGGATAATCATATGATGCCACAGAATGTTTGGATAAGTCTAGGATAGATAGGGATAATCATATGATGCCACAGAATGTTTGGATAAGTCTAGGATAGATAGGGATAATCATATGATGCCACATAATGTTTGGATAAGTCTAGGATAGATAGGGATAATGATGCCACAGAATGTTTGGATAAGTCTAGGATAGATAGGGATAATCATATGATGCCACAGAATGTTTGGATAAGTCTAGGATAGATAGGGATAATCATATGATGCCACAGAATGTTTGGATAAGTCTAGGATAGATAGGGATAATCATATGATGCCACAGAATGTTTGGATAAGTCTAGGATAGATAGGGATAATGATGCCACAGAATGTTTGGATAAGTCTAAGATATATAGGGATAATGATGCCACAGAATGTTTGGATAAGTCTAGGATAGATAGGGATAATGATGCCACAGAATGTTTGGATAAGTCTAAGATATATAGGGATAATGATGCCACAGAATGTTTGGATAAGTCTAGGATAGATAGGGATAATCATATGATGCCAAAGAATGTTTGGATAAGTCTAGGATAGATAGGGATAATGATGCCACAGAATGTTTGGGGGGGGGGGGGCAGTGTGCTGTGACTGATCACAAATTGTGGGGGGGGGGGGGGGGTAGTGTGTTGTGACTGATCACAAATTGTGGAGGGGGGCAGTGTGCTGTGACTGATCACAAATTGTGGAGGGGGGCAGTGTGCTGTGACTGATCACAAATTGTGGGGGGGGGGGCAGTGTGCTGTGACTGATCACAAATTGTGGGGGGGGCAGTGTGCTGTGACTGATCATAAATTGTGGGGGGGCAGTGTGCTGTGACTGATCACAAATTGTGGGTGGTGGTGGGGGGGGGGGCCATGCAGTGTGCTGTGACTGATCACAAATTGGGGGGGGGGGGCAGTGTGTTGTGACTGATCACAAAATGTGGAGCGGGGGGGGGGGGGCAGTGTGCTGTGACTGATCACAAATTGTTGAAGGGGGGGGGGGGGGGGCAGGGAGTGTGTTGTGACTGATCACAAATTGTGGGGGGGGGGGCAGTGTGCTGTGACTGATCACAAATTGTGGAGGGGGGCAGGCAGTGTGCTGTGACTGATCACAAATTGTGGGGGGGGGGGCAGTGTGTTGTGACTGATCACAAATTGTGGAGGGGGGCAGGCAGTGTGCTGTGACTGATCACAAATTGTGGGGGGGGGCAGTGTGTTGTGACTGATCACAAATTGTGGGGGGGGGGAGTGTGCTATGACTGATCACAAATTGTGGGGGCAGTGTGCTGTCACTGATCACAAATTGTGGGGGGGGGGGGGGGGGGGCAGTGTGCTGTGACTGATCACAAATTGTGGAGGGGGGCAGTGTGCTGTGACTGATCACAAATTGTGGGGGGGGGGGGGGGAGTGTGCTATGACTGATCACAAATTGTGGGGGCAGTGTGCTGTCACTGATCACAAATTGTGGGGGGGGGGGGGGCAGTGTGCTGTGACTGATCACAAATTGTGGAGGGGGGCAGTGTGCTGTGACTGATCACAAATTGTGGAGGGGGGCAGTGTGCTGTGACTGATCACAAATTGTGGAGGGGGGCAGTGTGCTGTGACTGATCACAAATTGTGGGGGGGGGCAGTGTGCTGTGACTGATCATAAATTGTGGGGGGGCAGTGTGCTGTGACTGATCACAAATTGTGGGGGGGGGCAGTGTGCTGTGACTGACCTTGTACATAAGGTCCATCTCGTGGGTGCTCCCTGACCCGTAGGTTGTGCTTGCTGGAGCTGGCACTTTTCAGCAGGTCCCGCACTTTTTCATTGTAGATTTCTAGATAGCTGGAGGTACAAATAGATGGATCATGTATTCTAGATAGCTGGAGGTACAAATAGACGGATCATGTATTCTAGATATCTGGAGGTACAAATAGACGGATCATGTATTCTAGATAGCTGGAGGTACAAATAGACAGATCATGTATTCTAGATAGCTGGAGGTACAAATAGACAGATCATGTATTCTAGATATCTGGAGGTACAAATAGATGGATCATGTATTCTAGATATCTGGAGGTACAAATAGACAGATCATGTATTCTAGATATCTGGAGGTACAAATAGATGGATCATGTATTCTAGATAGCTGGAGGTACAAATAGATGGATCATGTATTCTAGATATCTGGAGGTACAAATAGATGGATCATGTATTCTAGATATCTGGAGGTACAAATAGACGGATCATGTATTCTAGATATCTGGAGGTACAAATAGACGGATCATGTATTCTAGATATCTGGAGGTACAAATAGACAGATCATGTCTACACCTGATGCATCCAAATGTTTTTTTTAATTAGAGACTCACCTGGTATGTGTGACACTCAACTGCCCAATGAATCACCTGGTATGTGTGACTCACTCAACTGCCCAATGAATCACCTGGTATGTGTGACTCACTCAACTGCCCAATGAATCACCTGGTATGTGTGACTCACTCAACTGCCCAATGAATCACCTGGTATGTGTGACTCACTCAACTGCCCAATGACTCACCTGGTATGTGTGACTCACTCAACTGCCCAATGACTCACCTGGTATGTGTGACTCACCTGGTATGTGTGACTCACCTGACATAGATCTGGAAGGAATCTGAATGGTTATCTCTAAGGCGGGAAAACAAGGCCTGTGAAAGAAAACAAGAGAATCAGTGGCTTATTGTAGTAGTACATTCAGAGGTGGACAGGCAGGTGGACAGGCAAGTGGACAGGCAGGCGGACAGGCAAGTGGACAGGCAGGCGGACAGGCAGATGGACAGGCAGGTGGACAGGCAGGTGGACAGGTGTGGACAGGCAGGTGAACAGGCAAGTGGACAGGCAGATGGACAGGCAGATGGACAGGCAGGTGGACAGGCAGGTGGACAGGCAGGTGGACAGGCAGGTGGACAGGCAGGTGGACAGGCAAGTGGACAGGCAGGTGGACAGGCAAGTGGACAGGCAAGTGGACAGGCAGGTGGACAGGCAGGTGGACAGGCAGGTGGACAGGCAAGTGGACAGGCAAGTGGACAGGCAAGTGGACAGGCAGGTGGACAGGCAAGTGGACAGGCAAGTGGACAGGCAAGTGGACAGGCAGGTGGACAGGCAAGTGGACAGGCAAGTGGACAGGCAAGTGGACAGGCAGGTGGACAGGCAGGTGGACAGGCAGGTGGACAGGCAGGTGGACAGGCAAGTGGACAGGCAGGTGGACAGGCAAGTGGACAGGCAAGTGGACAGGCAAGTGGACAGGCAGGTGGACAGGCAGGTGGACAGGCAGGTGGACAGGCAAGTGGACAGGCAGGTGGACAGGCAAATGGACAGGCAGATGGACAGGCAGGTGGACAGGCAGGTGGACAGGCAGGTGGACAGGCAAGTGGACAGGCAGGTGGACAGGCAGGTAGACAGGCAAGTGGACAGGCAGATGGACAGGCAGGTGGACAGGCAGGTGGACAGGCAGGTGGACAGGCAAGTGGACAGGCAGGTGGACAGGCAAGTGGACAGGCAGATGGACAGGCAGGTGGACAGGCAGGTGGACAGGTGTGGACAGGCAAGTGGACAGGCAAGTGGACAGGCAAGTGGACAGGCAGGTGGACAGGCAGGTGGACAGACAAGTGGACAGGCAAGTGGACAGGCAAGTGGACAGGCAAGTGGACAGGCAAGTGGACAGGCAGGTGGACAGGCAGGTGGACAGGCAAGTGGACAGGCAAGTGGACAGGCAAGTGGACAGGCAAGTGGACAGGCAGGTGGACAGGCAGGTGGACAGGCAGGTGGACAGGCAAGTGGACAGGCAGGTGGACAGGTGTGGACAGGCAGGTGGACAAGCAGGTGGACAGGCAGGTGGACAGGCAGGTGGACAGGCAGGTGGACAGGCAGATGGACAGGCAGGTGGACAGGCAAGTGGACAGGCAGGTGGACAGGCAGGTGGACAGGCAGGTGGACAGGCAAGTGGACAGGCAAGTGGACAGGCAAGTGGACAGGCAGGCAGACACTGACATACAGACAGATGGTGCCTTACATTGCAATATCTGGGTACCAAACCTGGATCTTCCTGGAAGAAAAAAAATAGAACATTTACTAGGACATAAAAGATAGGAGATAAAAATATTGAACTCCATGAAAGAATAGCTAGCATTGATATTTACAGAGCACTGACCTCTGAACCCATCATGGTGTAGGTTTTGCCTGAGCCCGTCTGACCATAGGCAAAGATACAAACATTATAGCCATCAAATGCTGACTGGACCACATCCTCTCCAATGCTTGAAAACACCTGGAATAACAGGGAGATGACAGCTTATGTGTGGACAGGGAGATGACAGCTCATGTGTGTAAGGCTCATTATGTGGACAGGGAGATGACAGCTTATGTGTGTAAGGCTCATTATGTGGACAGGGAGATGACAGCTCATGTGTGTAAGGCTCATTATGTGGACAGGGAGATGACAGCTCATGTGTGGACAGGGAGATGACAGCTCATGTGTGTAAGGCTCATTATGTGGACAGGGAGATGACAGCTCATTATGTGGACAGGGAGATGACAGCTCATGTGTGTAAGGCTCATTATGTGGACAGGGAGATGACAGCTCATGTGTGGACAGGGAGATGACAGCTCAGGTGTGGACAGGGAGATGACAGCTCATGTGTGGACAGGGAGATGACAGCTCATGTGTGGACAGGGAGATGACAGCTCATGTGTGGACAGGGAGATGACAGCTCAGGTGTGGACAGGGAGATGACAGCTCATGTGTGTAAGGCTCATTATGTGGACAGGGAGATGACAGCTCATGTGTGGACAGGGAGATGACAGCTCATGTGTGGACAGGGAGATGACAGCTCATGTGTGGACAGGGAGATGACAGCTCATGTGTGGACAGGGAGATGACAGCTCATGTGTGGACAGGGAGATGACAGCTCATGTGTGGACAGGGAGATGACAGCTCAGGTGTGGACAGGGAGATGACAGCTCATGTGTGGACAGGGAGATGACAGCTCATGTGTGTAAGGCTCATTATGTGGACAGGGAGATGACAGCTCATGTGTGTAAGGCTCTTTATGTGGACAGGGAGATGACAGCTCATTATGTGGACAGGGAGATGACAGCTCATGTGTGTAAGGCTCATTATGTGGACAGGGAGATGACAGCTCAGGTGTGTAAGGCTCTTTATGTGGACAGGGAGATGACAGCTCAAGTGTGTAAGGCTCTTTATGTGGACAGGGAGATGACAGCTCATTATGTGGACAGGGAGATGACAGCTCAAGTGTGTAAGGCTCTTTATGTGGACAGGGAGATGACAGCTCATGTGTGGACAGGGAGATGACAGCTCATGTGTGGACAGGGAGATGACAGCTCATGTGTGTAAGGCTCTTTATGTGGACAGGGAGATGACAGCTCAGGTGTGTAAGGCTCTTTATGTGGACAGGGAGATGACAGCTCATGTGTGTAAGGCTCATTATGTGGACAGGGAGATGACAGCTCAGGTGTGGACAGGGAGATGACAGCTCATGTGTGGACAGGGAGATGACAGCTCATGTGTGTAAGGCTCTTTATGTGGACAGGGAGATGACAGCTCATGTGTGTAAGGCTCTTTATGTGGACAGGGAGATGACAGCTCATGTGTGGACAGGGAGATGACAGCTCATGTGTGTAAGGCTCATTATGTGGACAGGGAGATGACAGCTCATGTGTGGACAGGGAGATGACAGCTCAGGTGTGGACAGGGAGATGACAGCTCATGTGTGGACAGGGAGATGACAGCTCATGTGTGGACAGGGAGATGACAGCTCATGTGTGTAAGGCTCATTATGTGGACAGGGAGATGACAGCTTATGTGTGGACAGGGAGATGACAGCTCATGTGTGGACAGGGAGATGACAGCTCATGTGTGTAAGGCTCATTATGTGGACAGGGAGATGACAGCTCATGTGTGTAAGGCTCATTATGTGGACAGGGAGATGACAGCTTATGTGTGGACAGGGAGATGACAGCTCATGTGTGGACAGGGAGATGACAGCTCATGTGTGGACAGGGAGATGACAGCTCATGTGTGGACAGGGAGATGACAGCTCATGTGTGTAAGGCTCATTATGTGGACAGGGAGATGACAGCTCATGTGTGGACAGGGAGATGACAGCTCATGTGTGTAAGGCTCATTATGTGGACAGGGAGATGACAGCTCATGTGTGGACAGGGAGATGACAGCTCATGTGTGGACAGGGAGATGACAGCTCATTATGTGGACAGGGAGATGACAGCTCATGTGTGTAAGGCTCATTATGTGGACAGGGAGATGACAGCTCATGTGTGTAAGGCTCATTATGTGGACAGGGAGATGACAGCTCATGTGTGTAAGGCTCATTATGTGGACAGGGAGATGACAGCTCATGTGTGTAAGGCTCTTTATGTGGACAGGGAGATGACAGCTTATGTGTGTAAGGCTCATTATGTGGACAGGGAGATGACAGCTCATGTGTGTAAGGCTCATTATGTGGACAGGGAGATGACAGCTCATGTGTGTAAGGCTCTTTATGTGGACAGGGAGATGACAGCTCATGTGTGGACAGGGAGATGACAGCTTATGTGTGTAAGGCTCATTATGTGGAGAGGGAGATGACAGCTCATGTGTGTAAGGCTCTTTATGTGGACAGGGAGATGACAGCTCATGTGTGTAAGGCTCTTTATGTGGACAGGGAGATGACAGCTCATGTGTGTAAGGCTCTTTATGTGGACAGGGAGATGACAGCTCATTATGTGGACAGGGAGATGACAGCTCAAGTGTGTAAGGCTCTTTATGTGGACAGGGAGATGACAGCTCATGTGTGTAAGGCTCTTTATGTGGACAGGGAGATGACAGCTCATGTGTGTAAGGCTCTTTATGTGGACAGGGAGATGACAGCTCATGTGTGTAAGGCTCTTTATGTGGACAGGGAGATGACAGCTCATTATGTGGACAGGGAGATGACAGCTCATGTGTGTAAGGCTCTTTATGTGGACAGGGAGATGACAGCTCATGTGTGTAAGGCTCTTTATGTGGACAGGGAGATGACAGCTCATGTGTGTAAGGCTCATTATGTGGACAGGGAGATGACAGCTCATGTGTGGACAGGGAGATGACAGCTCATGTGTGTAAGGCTCTTTATGTGGACAGGGAGATGACAGCTCATGTGTGTAAGGCTCTTTATGTGGACAGGGAGATGACAGCTCATGTGTGTAAGGCTCATTATGTGGACAGGGAGATGACAGCTCATGTGTGTAAGGCTCATTATGTGGACAGGGAGATGACAGCTCATGTGTGTAAGGCTCATTATGTGGACAGGGAGATGACAGCTCATGTGTTTTAAGCTTATTATGTGGACAGGGAGATGACAGCTCATGTGTGTAAGGCTCATTATGTGGACAGGGAGATGACAGCTCATGTGTTTTAAGCTTATTATGTGGACAGGGAGATGACAGCTCATGTGTGTAAGGCTCATTATGTGGACAGGGAGATGACAGCTCATGTGTGGACAGGGAGATGACAGCTCATTATGTGGACAGGGAGATGACAGCTCATGTGTGTAAGGCTCATTATGTGGACAGGGAGATGACAGCTCATGTGTGGACAGGGAGATGACAGCTCATTATGTGGACAGGGAGATGACAGCTCATGTGTGTAAGGCTCATTATGTGGACAGGGAGATGACAGCTCATGTGTGTAAGGCTCATTATGTGGACAGGGAGATGACAGCTCATGTGTGTAAGGCTCATTATGTGGACAGGGAGATGACAGCTCATGTGTGTAAGGCTCATTATGTGGACAGGGAGATGACAGCTCATGTGTGTAAGGCTCATTATGTGGACAGGGAGATGACAGCTCATATGTGGACAGGGAGATGACAGCTCATTATGTGGACAGGGAGATGACAGCTCATGTGTGTAAGGCTCATTATGTGGACAGGGAGATGACAGCTCAGGTGTGTAAGGCTCTTTATGTGGACAGGATGAGAGCTGAGTATGTAAGCTAGTAGTGTTTTCTCCTGACCTGCTCTTGGTTGACATAATGAAGATCATTGGCATCCACTGACCAGAAGGAGTGGTCAAATGTGAACTCTCTGACCTTCAGTTGGCTGCCATCTCCCTCACTTGCATGGCTCGGGGCCTGCGGACAACAGAGTCATGTGGGCAACATCTACACCAGGGGCAACATCTACACCAGGGGCAACATCTACACCAGGGGCAACATCTACACCAGGGGCAACAACACTACCAGGGGCAACATCTACACCAGGGGCAACATCTACACCAGGGGCAACATCTACACCAGGGGCAACATCTACACCAGGGGCAACATCTACACCAGGGGCAACATTTACACCAGGGGCAACATCTACACCAGGGGCAACATCTACACCAGGGGCAACATCTACACCAGGGGCAACATCTACACCAGGGGCAACATCTACACCAGGGGCAACATTTACACCAGGGGCAACATCTACACCAGGGGCAACATCTACACCAGGGGCAACATCTACACCAGGGGCAACATCTACACCAGGGGCAACATCAGGGGCAACATCTACACCAGGAGCAACATCAGGGGCAACATCTACACCAGGGGCAACATCTTCACCAGGGGCAACATCTACACCAGGGGCAACATCTACACAAGGGGCAACATCAGGGGCAACATCTACACCAGGGGCAACATCTACACCAGGGGCAACAACAGGGGCAACATCTACACCAGGGTCAACAACAGGGGCAACATCTACACCAGGGGCAACAACAGGGGCAACATCTACACCAGGGGCAACAACAGGGGCAACATCTATACCAGGGGCAACAACAGGGGCAACATCTACACCAGGGGCAACAACAGGGGCAACATCTACACCAGGGGCAACAACAGGGGCAACATCTTCACCAGGGGCAACAACAGGGGCAACATCTACACCAGGGGCAACAACAGGGGCAACATCTACACCAGGGGCAACATCTACACCAGGGGTAACATCTACACCAGGGGCAACATCTACACCAGGGTCAACATCTACACCAGGGGCAACATCTACACCAGGGGCAACATCTTCACCAGGGGCAACATCTACACCAGGGGCAACAACACTACCAGGGGCAACATCTACACCAGGGGCAACATCTACACCAGGGTCAACATCTACACCAGGGTCAACATCTACACCAGGGTCAACATCTACACCAGGGGCAACATCTACACCAGGGGCAACATCTACACCAGGGGCAACATCTTCACCAGGGGCAACATCTACACCAGGGTCAACATCTACACCAGGGGCAACAACACTACCAGGGGCAACATCTACACCAGGGGCAACATCTACACCAGGGTCAACATCTACACCAGGGTCAACATCTACACCAGGGTCAACATCTACACCAGGGTCAACATCTACACCAGGGGCAACATCTACACCAGGGTCAACATCTACACCAGGGTCAACATCTACACCAGGGGCAACATCTACACCAGGGTCAACATCTACACCAGGGTCAACATCTACACCAGGGTCAACATCTACACCAGGGTCAACATCTACACCAGGGGCAACATCTACACCAGGGGCAACATCTACACCAGGGGCAACATCAGGGGCAACATCTACACCAGGGGCAACATCTACACCAGGGGCAACATCTACACCAGGGTCAACATCTACACCAGGGGCAACAACACTACCAGGGGCAACATCTACACCAGGGGCAACATCTACACCAGGGGCAACATCTACACCAGGGGCAACATCTACACCAGGGGCAACATCTACACCAGGGGCAACATCTACACCAGGGGCAACATCTACACCAGGGGCAACATCTACACCAGGGGAAACATCTACACCAGGGGCAACATCTACACCAGGGGCAACATCTACACCAGGGGCAACATCTACACCAGGGGCAACATCTACACCAGGGGCAACATCTACACCAGGGGTAACATCTACACCAGGTGCAACAATTCTACCAGGGGCAACAACTCTACCAGGGGCAACAACTTCACCACCTCCCACTGTAAACTGAATCCACCGAATGAGATCAAAGAAAATAAATATAACCTTTGGGTTAATGATCCGTGTTTTGTTTCCATCCATCTGGATGATGATCTGACTGGACAGTCCATCTTCTCTGTGAGGAAACAAGCATTGAGTGACCTTTTGGACCACCCTGATTTTTCCAGTCATCTGACCATGCATTCTCTCAGTCATCTGACCATACATTCTCTCAGTCATCTGACCATACATTCTCTCAGTCATCTGACCATACATTCTCTCAGTCATCTGACCATACATTCTCTCAGTCATCTGACCATACATTCTCTCACTCATCTGACCATACATTCTCTCAGTCATCTGACCATACATTCTCTCAGTCATCTGACCATACATTCTCTCACTCATCTGACCATACATTCTCTAAGTCATCTGACCATACATTCTCTCAGTCATCTGACCATACATTCTCTCAGTCATCTGACCATACATTCTCTCAGTCATCTGACCATACATTCTCTCAGTCATCTGACCATACATTCTCTCAGTCATCTGACCATACATTCTCTCACTCATCTGACCATACATTCTCTCAGTCATCTGACCATACATTCTCTCAGTCATCTGACCATACATTCTCTCACTCATCTGACCATACATTCTCTAAGTCATCTGACCATACATTCTCTAAGTCATCTGACCATACATTCTCTATGTCATCTGACCATACATTCTCTCAGTCATCTGACCATACATTCTCTCAGTCATCTGACCATACATTCTCTCAGTCATCTGACCATACATTCTCTAAGTCATCTGACCATACATTCTCTATGTCATCTGACCATACATTCTCTCAGTCATCTGACCATACATTCTCTCAGTCATCTGACCATACATTCTCTCAGTCATCTGACCATACATTCTCTCAGTCATCAGACCATACATTCTCTCAGTCATCTGACCATACATTCTCTGTGTCATCTGACCATACATTCTCTCAGTCATCTGACCAGACATTCTCTCAGTCATCTGACCATACATTCTCTCAGTCATCTGACCAAACCTCGAAGTCATCTGACCATACATTCTCTCAGTCATCTGACCATACATTCTCTCAGTCATCTGACCATACATTCTCTCAGTCATCTGACCATACATTCTCTCAGTCATCTGACCATACATTCTCTCAGTCATCTGACCAAACCTCGAAGTCATCTGACCATACATTCTCTCAGTCATCTGACCGAACCTCGAAGTCATCTGACCATACATTCTCTCAGTCATCAGACCATACATTCTCTCAGTCATCTGACCATACATTCTCTCAGTCATCTGACCATACATTCTCTCAGTCATCTGACCAGACATTCTCTCAGTCATCTGACCATACATTCTCTCAGTCATCTGACCAAACCTCGAAGTCATCTGACCATACCTTCTCTCAGTCATCTGACCATACATTCTCTCAGTCACCTGACCATACATTCTCTCAGTCATCTGACCATACATTCTCTCAGTCATCTGACCATACATTCTCTCAGTCATCTGACCAAACCTCGAAGTCATCTGACCATACATTCTCTCAGTCATCTGACCAAACCTCGAAGTCATCTGACCATACATTCTCTCAGTCATCTGACCATACATTCTCTCAGTCATCTGACCATACATTCTCTCAGTCATCTGACCAAACCTCTAAGTCATCAGACCATACATTCTCTCAGTCATCTGACCATACATTCTCTCAGTCATCTGACCATACATTCTCTCAGTCATCTGACCATACATTCTCTCAGTCATCTGACCATACATTCTCTCAGTCATCTGACCAAACCTCAAAGTCATCTGACCATACAATTTTCTCAGTCATCTGACCAAACCTCAAAGTAATCTGACCATACATTCTCTCAGTCATCTGACCATACATTCTCTCAGTCATCTGACCATACATTCTCTCAGTCATCTGACCATACATTCTCTCAGTCATCTGACCAAACCTCGAAGTCATCTGACCATACATTCTCTCAGTCATCTGACCAAACCTCGAAGTCATCTGTCCATACATTCTCTCAGTCATCTGACCATACATTCTCTCAGTCATCTGACCAGACATTCTCTCAGTCATCTGACCATACATTCTCTCAGTCATCTGACCAAAACTCTAAGTCATCAGACCATACATTCTCTCAGTCATCTGACCATACATTCTCTCAGTCATCTGACCATACATTCTCTCAGTCATCTGACCATACCTTCTCTCAGTCATCTGACCATACATTCTCTCAGTCACCTGACCATACATTCTCTCAGTCATCTGACCATACATTCTCTCAGTCATCTGACCATACATTCTCTCAGTCATCTGACCAAACCTCGAAGTCATCTGACCATACATTCTCTCAGTCATCTGACCAAACCTCGAAGTCATCTGACCATACATTCTCTCAGTCATCTGACCATACATTCTCTCAGTCATCTGACCATACATTCTCTCAGTCATCTGACCAAACCTCTAAGTCATCAGACCATACATTCTCTCAGTCATCTGACCATACATTCTCTCAGTCATCTGACCATACATTCTCTCAGTCATCTGACCATACATTCTCTCAGTCATCTGACCAAACCTCAAAGTCATCTGACCATACAATTTTCTCAGTCATCTGACCAAACCTCAAAGTAATCTGACCATACATTCTCTCAGTCATCTGACCATACATTCTCTCAGTCATCTGACCATACATTCTCTCAGTCATCTGACCATACATTCTCTCAGTCATCTGACCATACATTCTCTCAGTCATCTGACCATACATTCTCTCAGTCATCTGACCATACATTCTCTCAGTCATCTGACCATACATTCTCTCACTCATCTGACCATACATTCTCTCTTCTCTCAGTCATCTGACCATACATTCTCTCAGTCATCTGACCATACATTCTCTAAGTCATCTGACCATACATTCTCTCAGTCATCTGGCCATACATTCTCTCAGTCATCAGACCATACATTCTCTCAGTCATCTGACCATACATTCTCTCACTCATCTGACCATACATTCTCTCAGTCATCTGACCATACATTCTCTCAGTCATCTGACCATACATTCTCTCAGTCATCTGACCAAACCTCGAAGTCATCTGACCATACATTCTCTCAGTCATCTGACCATACATTCTCTCAGTCATCTGACCATACATTCTCTCAGTCATCTGACCATACATTCTCTCAGTCATCTGACCATACATTCTCTCAGTCATCTGACCATACATTCTCTCAGTCATCTGACCATACATTCTCTCAGTCATCTGACCAAACCTCTAAGTCATCAGACCATACATTCTCTCAGTCATCTGACCATACATTCTCTCAGTCATCTGACCATACATTCTCTCAGTCATCTGACCATACATTCTCTCAGTCATCTGACCATACATTCTCTCAGTCATCTGACCATACATTCTCTAAGTCATCTGACCAAACCTCGAAGTCATCTGACCATACATTCTCTCAGTCATCTGACCAAACCTCGAAGTCATCTGACCATACATTCTCTCAGTCATCTGACCAAACCTCGAAGTCATCTGACCATACATTCTCTCAGTCATCTGACCAAACCTCGAAGTCATCTGACCATACATTCTCTCAGTCATCTGACCATACATTCTCTAAGTCATCTGACCATACATTCTCTCAGTCATCTGTAGATTAGACACAAGAACTTCTGAATGAGAAACTGTAGAAATCTGTGCGCCTACAATATTGTGTAGGGCAGAAATGGATTGATTGGGTTGTATGACATGAGGGTACATTGATCAGTGACACACTAGCACCAGCTGTTGCCTTGTTGGTATGCCAAGCTCTCTCTCACAGTTGGACCAAATCTTCAACACAAACACACTTCACATTCTCTCATACAGTGGTTCTAAACAGCAACATTCTCTCATACAGTGGTTCTAAACAGCACCGTTCTCTCATACAGTGGTTCTAAACAGCACCGTTCTCTCATACAGTGGTTCTAAACAGCAACATTCTCTCATAAAGTGGTTCTAAACAGCAACATTCTCTCATACAGTGGTTCTAAACAGCAACATTCTCTCATACAGTGGTTCTAAACAGCAACATTCTCTCATACAGTGGTTCTAAACAGCACCGTTCTCTCATACAGTGGTTCTAAACAGCAACATTCTCTCATACAGTGGTTCTAAACAGCAACATTCTCTCATACAGTGGTTCTAAACAGCAACATTCTCTCATACAGTGGTTCTAAACAGCAACATTCTCTCATACTGTGGTTCTAAACAGCAACATTCTCTCATACAGTAGTTCTAAACAGCACCGTTCTCTCATACAGTGGTTCTAAACAGCACCGTTCTCTCATACAGTGGTTCTAAACAGCAACATTCTCTCATACAGTGGTTCTAAACAGCAACATTCTCTCATACAGTGGTTCTAAACAGCAACATTCTCTCATACAGTGGTTCTAAACAGCACCGTTCTCTCATACAGTGGTTCTAAACAGCACCGTTCTCTCATACAGTGGTTCTAAACAGCAACATTCTCTCATACAGTGGTTCTAAACAGCACCATTCTCTCATACAGTGGTTCTAAACAGCACCATTCTCTCATACAGTGGTTCTAAACAGCAACATTCTCTCATACAGTGGTTCTAAACAGCAACATTCTCTCATACAGTGGTTCTAAACAGCAACATTCTCTCATACAGTGGTTCTAAACAGCAACATTCTCTCATACAGTGGTTCTAAACAGCAACATTCTCTCATACAGTGGTTCTAAACAGCAACATTCTCTCATACAGTGGTTCTAAACAGCAACATTCTCTCATACAGTGGTTCTAAACAGCAACATTCTCTCATACAGTGGTTCTAAACAGCAACATTCTCTCATACAGTGGTTCTAAACAGCAACATTCTCTCATACAGTGGTTCTAAACAGCAACATTCTCTCATACAGTGATTCTAAACAGCAACATTCTCTCATACAGTGGTTCTAAACAGCAACATTCTCTCATACAGTGGTTCTAAACAGCAACATTCTCTCATACAGTGGTTCTAAACAGCAACATTCTCTCATACAGTGGTTCTAAACAGCAACATTCTCTCATACAGTGGTTCTAAACAGCAACATTTTCTCATACAGTGGTTCTAAACAGCAACATTCTCTCATACAGTGGTTCATAAACATGATCGTTCCCTCATGCAGTTTCTAAATATGACCATCCTGTAATACAATGTGTATGATCTAAAAAAACAATTTGTTATATTCCTCACTAAATACAAACATATATATATATATATATATATATATATATATATATATATATATATATATATATATATATATATATATATATATATAAAGATTTGTTTGTATTGATATAAATATATATTTTATATATATAGAAATATATATGAGATATAAATATATGATACACATGTATATATGTGTAATATATATATGTATAAATCTGGATACAGTGGGCAGCTATAATCACAGCACCCCGGCATCACACTGGGCTTCCTGTGATGCCTACATTGGTTTTAAGAGCACCATACTGACACAGTGGCACATGACATCTGATGATAAAGTAGGGGCCATACCTGGCACCCCTGTGGTAGAGTAACTGATGGCTTAAGAGACGTCTCCACGTTTTTTTCTACCTCACTATTAACATACACTCAAGGCTTTCAAACAGCATGCCCTGGGGCATCTGGGTGGTAGTGTGGACAAGCCCATGTCCCAACAAGTTTGATCAAAGAAATATAGCGCCTGCTTTGTTCACATTTAAATAAATAAAACAAGGTCACATGTAATAAAATACACAAATAGTAACGCATTGATGAAATCCTCTTAAAACATTGTGTTGGCCTTTCTCTACCACTAAATGGCCTTTCTACCACTACGGTTTCTGTCATTGAAAAATTTTAATTTCAGTGGGACAATGGCAAGGTGCTTCGAGTTCCCCAGCTGCTATCTTAGCACCTGGGGTCCAATGATTGGGCTTCCTGATGGTCAGGGGTATAACTTGATTCACTGTCAAAATACACCAGGGGTGAAATATTTATTCTATAATTAAATTAATTAATGTAGGCTGAAATTAAACTTCAATAGTTAGTTATGCTTATTCTATAGTTATTACTAATTTATTAGGCTAGCGGAGATCAAAATTAATTAATCATTTTAAATTTACAACTCCAATTCCCAATTTCCACTTGGCACTTACCTACAATTTAGTGGCCTTACTCTGACGATTACTTTCACAGAAGTCATTTCAATTTTATTTACAACATTTCGGTTAATGTACTGCAGTTAGATTTTCTAGAAATCTGTTCTAGATCTATAGGCTATAGATCTAGTAATAGTTCTATATTTATTATTTACTATAGCCCTATTTATTTAGTATTACTATTTAGTATTCAGTATTTATTAGGCTAGGCGTTCATAATAATAATATAATATTTAGCCTAGGCCTAGTTAATTTAGTTATTATTTATTTAGTCTAGCCTACTAATTTATACTTCAAATTGCTGTGTGCGTAACTACTAAACTAGATCAAAATAGTACATAAATCACAATCACTGCTACATCTAGATCGATCTCTACTCTATTTAAAATCTAAATCTACAATCTAGGCCTAGGGCTAGGGCTAGCAAGAGTAGAGACTAGAGAGAGACAGTTACACTCAGAGCTAGTACACAGTCACTCACAGTGAGTGAGTAGCAGTGTTGTAGTCTACCCTACTTTAACTATAGGGCCTAATAATAATATTGCCTAATAATATTCCTAATATTTAATATATAACTATTTTGGTGACTTTCAGACCTCGCGCTAGGTCTATCTACACTATCTAGATCGTATTCTAGCTACAGTCTAGTCTAGTAGTTAGTAAGCCTATAAAAATGAGTAAAATGACAGTCACGAAAGTATAAAATTTACGCCATCAGAGTTGTGTTGTGACATGTGACCATTCTATAAAAAGTAACAATGCGGTGTTAAACTCTGTAAGTACCCGGACAATTCATATCGAAGTTATAGTTGGCATAAAAAGCGGGTATGTGAGGTCCCCAAAACGGTCTTTAATTGGAAACTCGTTCGCACTTTCAATAGAATCGTGCTGTAGAATTGGTGGGTAGATTTGTGATGAAACCGCTCTTCTTTTGATTAAACAAATATATAATAATATATTGACACATTTTTAAGAATATATATTTTATAAAATTATCTGCTTCTTCTTCTTCTTCGTTCTTAATTTTGAATATGGTGGAGGATTCAGACAACAAGTCCAACTTCGTGGACAAACCGGACTGTGGTCTCTAGTTTGTCAGGTGCCCCATATAATTTTCCCTGAGTGGGGTGGGCTGGGGCCAGTGTCTGACTCGTGCCTGGCTATACAAAGTACATTCCTGGAGTACGTGCTCCGTGTTTGCCGGGGCCTTGCCACAAGGGCACATTTCGCTACACCCAACCTTCAGTTTTCTGTGCATGTGTTGATTTAGTCTGTTGTGGCCTGTTCTAAGTCGAAAGATTATGTATTGTTGTTTTCGTGTTAAATTATAATAGCCGTCGTCTTTAATGTAGTGAGGGTGTGTGACAGACCACATTTGCGTTTGTTTGTTTTTTATTATTCTTTTTATTTCTTTTGGGTGTAGCGAAATTTCCGGTTGTGGTTTCTTTCCCCCAATTTTTGCCAGCTGGTCTGCGATCTCGTTACCCTGGATCTGGCAGTGGCCCGGGATCCAGTGCAGCACAATTCTGCTGCAGGTATTTTTTAGCCTCTCTAGTGCTGTCATAAGTGTTTGAATATAGGACTCTGGATTTTGTAGGGATTGCAGGACTGATTTGGCATCTGTAAGAAATACAAGGTTTTTGAGAAAGGGGTCGTCCATAAATATATGTAGGTGAGTAGTAGAATATGTCTACCAGTGAATTCAGGCCGCTGGTTTGCCAGGATTTTTAGGACAGTTGAGCCTTTTTCGGAAAATGAACAAAAATTATTATAATAATAATTGAAACAAGCAAGAACATAAAGTGATGAATAACTAAAAGAATGAAGCTAAAATGGATGCGCCTAACTTGTGGTCGGCGTTTGAACTAAACTGTTGATTCATGAAGGCGTCTCTCTGCAACATGGCTGACAAATGTGACCATTTTTGCATTCGGATACGGGCTAACAGTGAGTGTCACGGCATGTGGGGTGGAACTACTAGTCTATACCGCATGAGCTCGCATTGGAGGAACTAGTCTATACCACATGACCTCACATTGGAGGAACTAGTCCATACCGCATGACCTCGCATTGGAGGAACTAGTCTATACCGCATGACCTCGCATTGGAGGAACTAGTCCATACCGCATGACCTCGCATTGGAGGAACTAGTCTATACCGCATGACCTCGCATTGGAGGAACTAGTCTATACCTATACCACATGACCTCGCATTGGAGGAACTAGTCTATACCGCATGACCTCACATTGGAGGAACTAGTCTATACCACATGACCTCACATTGGAGGAACTAGTCTATACCGCATGACCTCACATTGGAGGAACTAGTCTATACCGCATGACCTCGCATTGGAGGAACTAGTCTATACCGCATGACCTCGCATTGGAGGAACTAGTCTATACCTATACCACATGACCTCGCATTGGAGGAACTAGTCTATACCTATACCGCATGACCTCGCATTGGAGGAACTAGTCTATACCTATACCGCATGACCTCACATTGGAGGAACTAGTCTATACCACATGACCTCACATTGGAGGAACTAGTCTATACCGCATGACCTCGCATTGGAGGAACTAGTCTATACCACATGACCTCACATTGGAGGAACTAGTCTATACCTATACCACATGACCTCGCATTGGAGGAACTAGTCTATACCGCATGACCTCACATTGGAGGAACTAGTCTATACCACATGACCTCACATCGGAGGAACTAGTCTATACCGCATGACCTCACATTGGAGGAACTAGTCTATACCGCATGACCTCGCATTGGAGGAACTAGTCTATACCTATACCGCATGACCTCACATTGGAGGAACTAGTCTATACCACATGACCTCACATTGGAGGAACTAGTCTATACCGCATGACCTCGCATTGGAGGAACTAGTCTATACCACATGACCTCACATTGGAGGAACTAGTCTATACCGCATGACCTCGCATTGGAGGAACTAGTCTATACCGCATGACCTCACATTGGAGGAACTAGTCTATACCGCATGACCTCGCATTGGAGGAACTAGTCTATACCACATGACCTCACATTGGAGGAACTAGTCTATACCGCATGACCTCGCATTGGAGGAACTAGTCTATACCGCATGACCTCACATTGGAGGAACTAGTCTATACCGCATGACCTCGCATTGGAGGAACTAGTCTATACCGCATGACCTCGCATTGGAGGAACTAGTCTATATTGCATGACCTCGCATTGGAGGAACTAGTCTATACCGCATGACCTCACATTGGAGGAACTAGTCTATACCGCATGACCTCGCATTGGAGGAACTAGTCTATATTGCATGACCTCGCATTGGAGGAACTAGTCTATATCGCATGACCTCGCATTGGAGGAACTAGTCTATATTGCATGACCTCGCATTGGAGGAACTAGTCTATACCACATGACCTCGCATTGGAGGAACTAGTCTATATTGCATGACCTCGCATTGGAGGAGAGGGGAAAATTCGTTATTTCGATTTTTAAATTGAACTCGTCGTGGATGCCGAGTTCCTTTTCTCTCATGATAAAAAGGATGCGTAGTCGGAAAATTTGTTTGAAAAGAAAATTAAAGACCAACAAGAAGTCGGCAACATTTAGTTGAGAAGACTACATCGTCTACGAATCTTCTTTGAGAGCCCGACATTCATTTGAAACAAAATGAACATTTTTAATTTAATGTAAAACAAATGTTTGTTCTTTTGATAGAGCAACCATCCGTTGTTTTAAAAATAACAAAAAGAATATAGTATGTATACCAGTAATTTCGATTTTGTATGTGCGTATATTTGTTTTCGCTTTTCCAAACTGTTAACAGAAACGTTATATTAGACCTATATACATTGAAAGCTGTGAAATTATCTTCGCAAGTCGGCACCATTGATGTTAGCCTACATCAGCTTTGTTACGTTACCCCCACCCTCACCCTCAGCCACACAAGTAGCAAAAATTACAAATGAACGGTTTATGAACCTCAAAAGCTATTCATTTACTCGTATTTGACGAATCTATCACTCAAAACAGGGAAGGTAACAGAGACGTGGCGAGGGCGAGGGGGTGCGGGGGGGGGGGGGGGGGTGCGGACCGCACCGGGTGACACCATTTAAGGGCAGAATTTCTTCCAGGCATCTCTTCGAGGGGGGCACCGTAAAAATCGCATTAAAAAAACGCGATATAGATCTAAATATAAGGATATAAATTCAATACATAACATCAAGCCTAATTTTTAAAATGCAAAAGTGTGTCATCACATTTTCTGAAAGCCCACCCCTCGTCTCCTCAAACGTCCTAACCCCCTTCCTCTCTTGGTGTGTTACTTTGTTTATAGACAACCCCCTTTTCACTTTTTATTATTTTATATCTACACCGTTTGCCCCGGTAGTACTTCAAAAAACTGCGCCAAATGTAAAACACTTCCTTTGAGACCGTCTGCTAGGTCTACGCTAGCTAGTTAATGTTATAGAGTATAGACTCGACTTTTTAAGATTCTAAATAGATCTAGTCTAGATCTAATTTCACAAAACCTTACAATTCTAGAGTCAACTAGATCTAGATCTAGTTTGGAATCTAGACTAGATCTAGCCCTAATCTAAAACTAGATAGATCTAGAGATCTATATTCCCCTATTTTCTACAAAGTTAGTAACTTAGTAGATTGGTTGGTAACTCCATTCGGCGGCATTTTAGATTTTAGCGTATTTTAATCTCCGCTTCTGGTTTACCTCCAGTTGAGCGTATTTTATTATAAACACAACCGAAACACACAAAAACGTTAGGAAAACACTAGAATCTAGATCTACTTATTTTTTTTACGAATGTGATTTTTTATTAGAAAATATAATAAAAAAAAAAACAAACAAAAAAGCATTAGATTTAGAACTGTTCCATTTAATTTAATGACGATATTTAATTATTAAATATCGACAGCGGGAGAAAAGTCCTTACACGGTCGTGAGTTCACATTGTTTGACTTTAATTATCAGCATACGTCATAGCTCGGGCAACAGCTGTTTGAAATTGTGTTGGCCTCAGACCTCAGTTTTGGGGTCATTGTAAGTTCATAAATATTTAGGCCTAGGCCTATTTAGTTAGTATTTATTAATATTTAGGCTATAGTATCATGCCTGGGAGATAGATCTAGATCTACTTCTTTTATACAAACTTAACCGCCTTGCAATTGTGAGTTACATTTACGTACTTCACCCATCCATTGCCATGAAAATTCTGACACACAAACAGTACATTCATTCAATATTCTAAATTTGGATTTTTCTCAAGTTTTGACAAAAGTAAATTCTCAAAATCTAAAACAAAGTCAGTGTCTTTGTTTTTTTTATTCATTTTTATTCATTTGTTAAAACGAAAAATAAAATACAAGTAAATAAATCCTGCTTTCCTAATGTTTTGGTGTGTTTCGGTTATTAATTATAATAAAATAACGCTCAACTGGAGGTAAACAAGAAGCGGAGAATAAAATACGCTAAAATGGAGTTTTATCCTTAGACTTAAGCGTCGACAATCAAAGGACAACGGTTAAAATTATTTATGATTTAATTTAATTAATAGTCAGTAGTCAATATTCAATTCAATATGTGAATAAAGTGATAAAAAGTTCTATCAATACTATACTATCATCATCATTTATAAACAGATCAAGTGTGACAGTCTGAGATCTAATCTAGAGAATCTAGCTAGATCTAGATTCTATTCTAGTTCTAGATCATCATCTTGAGATTCTACAGTAACAGTACACTACTACACTACATGCTAGTACATAGGGTCATAGGCCTATATCAGTAATCTCTAGGTCTACTACTACTACAGTCTACTACACATCTAATTCTAGATCTTACTAAACTAAGTGCACACTCTCAAAATCTAGGCTAAATCTAGACTAGATCTAGACTCTAGTAGAAATCGAGCAGAGAATGAATCTGGAGCAGACTGAGTCTATTTTAGAGGATTTAGCAAATGAATTTGACTTGTTTGGTGAAAGGGTCAACGAAGATGAATTAAAAAAAAGTAGGCAAGCTTGCTGAATATGATTTACTGACATATTGGTATATTAGTATATCATATTACTTACTGATGTCTGATAATGTGATAGACTCTTTGAAAAATAGGTTGTTTGACGCATAGGGCCTATTCAATTCTAGTTTTATGGTTAGAAATTACTAGATTCTGGATCTAATTAGTAATTGGTAGGAGGGTTAGGCCTTTAACTATAGGAATGGGGATAGGGTTAGGTCTAGCTTTAACATTAGCAAGTCATGAGTATTAGGCTAAATAATAAATATTGGCCAATTCTTGAAGATGTGCATACTGCATGCATAGCGCTACAATGAACCTGGTTTTCCTTGTAATCTAAATGGTCGTTGTTTAGTCGTGATGGGACACAATAAATATTTAACTAGTGGTAATTTTAAAAAGTAGGCCATTTAAAAAAAAATATTTTATACTTAACTTATAGACTAGAACTCATTAATACACATACTATAAATAAACATACTATCAACCCTAACCTGTGACGACCACACTGTTCAGCTAGTTTTTTCAGAGAAATAATGCTAAAAGCGTAATTTGATACCACTGCGAAGCTATAAAAGGATAATTTGAACCCATTGCGTAGCTATTAAGAGTGTTAAGGGTAATTGGAGCCTCTTGCGCAACTATTTTTGTGTTTAGCATCTTCTTCCGGCCAGACTAGGGGGTTGTCCATAAATGATGTCACACTCGTAGGGGGGAGGGGGGGTCGGTAATTTTGTGACGATGTGTGATGAGGGGGTTCAGATGGTGCGACATCACACTTTTGCTTTATAGATAAGAAATGTTAGAAAACAAATTTTAGACATTATTTAGCGTTTTAGAAAACAGTTTCAATTAATTAAAATAGGAATTGATTAAAATACTATATTTTGACATAGTTCAGACAAGATTTTGGAAAAATATCCATGTTTAAAAAAAAATTCAACTGCAATTTTGAGGGGGGTTGTAGGCTGAGGTGTGACGTCATTTTAGGGGAGGTCTTGCTTTTTGTGACGATGTGTAACGGAGGGGAGGGGGAGGTAAAAATCATCAAAAAAAGCCTGACGTCATTTATGGATGACCCCTAGCGTAAGGGGAAGAAGCTTCTTCCAAGTAGTCACTTTGGTAAATATTTACTATTTAGTTAACTACCAATACCCCATTTTTAAAGTAGCTCATGAAGGACGATTATCCTCACCCTCGCCACTGTAAAAGCAGAAATCTGTGATGACAGTTTACAGACGAAAATGAAAAGATCAAGCAGAACTTGTTACCTACCCTTAGTTTTAAATCTCTTAAAAACGAAATTATCTGCCCCTAATAGCCGCCACTTTTTCGACCCAGCTCTATGATTGTAAACACTCAGCGTGAACCAAAGCTCAGCAGACTGGTGGGGGTGGTAGCGATGTGGTCTGTTGTGCATGCCTGGAGAATGAGGGGGGGGGGGGGCGGTTGGCGTGCATACGTGGTGGTGGTGTCTTGCATGGTCAGACGTTGAGAGAATTATGTTAGCTGATCAAATCCAGTTTTAACTTGAAATTGAAGTAAGACCCCTAGCCTAGATGAACAATCAAGACTTTAATTTCAGTGCTGGAGCTGTCCTTGAGTTATCACATCGATGCTAATTGCATTGTCAATAACTGGATGGCATTTTCTTCCTCCAGGAAAATGGAACTTACTTTGGAAAACCTACAATTATTTGATAGAGAGGTAAATTTGTTTTCCTTGTCAAATTTCATTTGCTCATTGGTTACACAATCATCCTTATTTTCAAAATCTTTTATTTTAAACACCAGTGATATGATCACTATACCAAATATAGTTTATGCAGGTCAATATTTTCAGAAGGGTGCAGCTAAATAGAAAAGATAGTTTTGATTTAAGTTAGCAGTATTAAATGAATTTTAAGATAGGGCCTACATGATATATTTATTAGTATATTATTACAGTTTTTTAATATATGAATTTTGCCTTATTTCATTATTTGAATATTTTCTATTGCAAAATGGTCTTTGTGTCAAAAAATTGTACTAGGACTGGTCCAAAATGTCTCTAACTCTGGTCTAAAGGATATATCTGGTCTCAACTATGATGCTGATTTCAGCAGATATTCAATTTAAAAAAATTTAATTCTATATTTCGTTTAGTGGCTGCCCAAAAAGGTTTCCACCCCAAAAACTCCAAAGCAAAAGCTGATGTCAAGAATTGCAGTAGATTCCACCAACTGGTAGGTAGTGTTTCAACTGGCTCAGCTAGTCTTAGCTCATCTTAGCTTCTTCAACTATGTATGATGATTTTATTTCTTGATTTAGCATGAATGAAGAGCAGCTGGACATGATTGGATCCTATGCCACACCAGAGGAGAAAGTGAGTGCTGTAGCCCTTATCATGTCCTCTGATACTCCTATTGCTTGCATCTACAAATATTTACTGATACATTGTACCCTTATGTCAATTGCTTTTGACTTTTCCCAACCAATTTCTCCTCTCTTGCTTTTAGAAGCAGATAGCGCAGATGAAAAGACATTTAACTCCAGAGGATCAGAGTGCTGGACGCAAGAAGTTTGTTGCTGGCAACAGAGATGCCATCTTGTCTACTTCAGGGTAAATATTTCCTGGCCATTGGTTCAACATTTCCTGGCCATTGGTTCAACATTTCCTGGCCATTGGTTCAACATTTCCTGGCCATTGCTTCAACATTTCCTGGCCATTGGTTCAACATTTCCTGGCCATTGGTTCAACATTTCCTGGCCATTGGTTCAACATTTCCTGGCCATTGGTTCAACATTTCCTGGCCATTGCTTCAACATTTCCTGGCCATTGCTTCAACATTTCCTGGCCATTGGTTCAACATTTCCTGGCCATTGGTTCAACATTTCCTGGCCATTGCTTCAACATTTCCTGGCCATTGGTTCAACATTTCCTGGCCATTGCTTCAACATTTCCTGGCCATTGGTTTAACATTTCCTGGCCATTGCTTCAACATTTCCTGGCCATTGGTTCAACATTTCCTGGCCATTGGTTTAACATGACTTCACAACCCTAGCTTAAATGTTTATCATATTTGAAATTATGACATTTGCAACTGTTTGTCATTGTGATGACATTTGCAATTGTTTGACATTGTGATGACATTTGCAACTGTTTGACATTGTGATGACATTTGCAACTGTTTGTCATTGTCATGACATTTGCAACTGTTTGTCATTGTGATGACATTTGCAACTGTCCTACCCTAGTGATGAACTTTGATTTTTGTACTGAAAATATTGCGTTCAAGAGCAGTAATTGAACATGAATTTTCATCAGATCCTCACCATCTACCAGATCCACCACACCATCCACCAGATCCACCACACCATCTGCGAAATTTTCTTCCCGGTCCAATGCAGGCGATGTTGTTTTAACTTTTGGTGATTCTCAGAATGTAACCTGGCCAGGCCAGGGCCTGGGGGTGCCAGTCAAACAGTTGAGCTCTCATACCCTCCAGGCTACACAAAAGTACATGTTCCAAAAACTCTCCCAAAAGGCTTTTGGTAAAAAAAAACTTTTCTTAAAATATTTAAGAAGAATTTGTCAATTTTAGTTTGATAATTGTAGCATTTTTGTCTAAATATTGTAAGGCTGCACTGTCTTGAAAGCCTCTCTACCATCAGCACAAAGCTCTATTGTTAAGAAACTGACCTGGTATTAATGTTACAAACTGTTTGCTTCAGTACTCAACGATCAGATTGAAGAGATGGCATCTATCTTCAAAAATTTACATGGGGTCCAGGAGTTTTCACACCTCGCTCAGCCTACGCAGGTGAGACTAGTGTTTTTGTAGGCATTCTGTAACGAGTCTGGAGTTAACAAAATTATTTCAGATTTTTAACCCAAGTACTGCGGTATTTAACCGTTCTGTAGTGTGGGGGAGTTTTTGAGAGTTTTGGTTAACCTTTGAAAATGTTAGATTTGGCATACAAAAATTACAGGTAGACCTCTAAAACTATACATTTTCTTTATGGAAATGGGTGTAGATAATGTTTGGTATTAATTAAGGGGTAGAAAACATTTTTAGTGGATGATATTGACCTTGGAGAGCTTGAGTCATAATTAATTGATTAAAATTTTTGTTTTCAGATGCATTTTATTTCTATTTATTTTATACATTATAATGTAATATTAATTCAGTATGCTAGTCCTTTCATTTTTCTTTCAGAAAATATATGGATTGTATACCTTTCATTTATAAATATTCCTACAAAAACAATTTAACATTTTTTTATTAGTACTAATTAGGTGGGTGTCGCACGCGAGTCACTCAGTCCCTCTTAACGTTTGCCGCAAATCATAGTTTAGAAATAAATTTTAAAATAATACTGCATTTTAATTTATAATATTCTGATTCCTTTTAGAATATTTCTGCTTTATGTACCTTATTTTGAATTAAATTTGTCCTGAAATCAGATTTAGTTACAATGGGAATCTAGTCTTCTTCTTCTTTGTTCTTATTTTTGGTGTTGGAAGGGATCGAGCCTTATCTGCCAGAGCGTGCGGCATCAAAACGACCCAGACATAAGAGCCCCATCAAATTGTCCCCGTCAAAAGGGCCAGCGACAAATGGACCCTGTTATATAGGCTCCAGTCAATAAGGCTCCAGGCAAATAGGCGTCCGTCAGGCTCCAGACATATAGGCTCCCGTCATAAAGTTTCTCAACAAAACGGCCCCCATCATTACGACTCCCGACAAATAGGCTCCCGCCATTTTGGCTCCTGTCAATTTGGCTCCCGACAAAAGGACCACTGAAAATACGGTGTCTGTAAAGACTCCCGGCAAAACTGTCTCATTGAATATGACACCTGCTAGTAGAATCCCTTCATCAATCCTAATATATAATTCCCCATGTGCGCACTTCTCTCTCTCTCTCTCTCTCTCTCTGTCTGTCCGCAAAATATTTTCGCCGGACATCACGTCAGAAACGGCAGCGATATATGGAGAACTTTATACGGGCTTTTGTTGAAAATAATATGTTAGATGTTTTAAATGTATAACCACAATTTTATTTAAAGAAGAAAAATAAAAAATAAAGGCGTATTCGAATGTAGAGAAACAGTATTATTTATGCAACCGGAAAAGCATTAATAGATGTGAAAAAGAACGCATAAAACTGTGACGTCACTATTGCTTATACATTAACTAATGATGTCATCTGCCGTGTTTAGAATAAAAAGAAATGAACTATTTCATTCAAATTTGATTTAGATCTACGTACACTATGAAATGTATACAATACAATTTTTCCGGCCTAAACTCATAAAATGTATTTTATTTATTTGGATTCTAGATCTAGATATTCTAGATTCATCTATTCAAAAAATACATTTCTATACTAAACAGTAGCGTAGCGGGGGGGGGGACATATGTCCCCGGGCGCCGACCTTAGGGGGGGGGGGCGCCGAATTGAAAGTTTGAGGGGGGGTGCAAATGAAAAGTTCGAGGGGGGGGGGTGCAAATCGAAAATTTGCTCCCAAGGGGGCGCCAAATTGAAAGTATGTCCCCGGGCGCCGGGAAGGGTCGCTACGCCTCTGATACTAAAGTATTTCAGGCCTTAATTACTTTATTGAAATCTTTGTTTATCTATGCAATTTGCTAATCTCTATAATATATTAAGCAAAGTTGTCGGGTGCCCGATAGGGCACTTCCCGGCGCCACAGGCGCTTCAAATTTGGCAGGATCTTGCCTTGGGGCGACAGAACACGGGGGCCGGTTGGCCGAAAAGTCTACGATGATGGGGTCAAAACTGACCTCGACTGACCGGCGCCTTATATGAGCTATAAATCGAAAAAAAATGTCCACGGAGGAACCTCTTCATAACTCCTGAGGTCGTAGACCGACCCTCGGGCGAATTAATTAAGCATTCAAATTCTCAATGTTTTCGAAAGCCTAAGCAAAGCTGGGCAGCATGCCTAGTATTCTTTAGAGTTAGCTTATCCAACACTCTTAAGTAATACAACATATGCATCTATTGTTCGGCAGACCTTATTTTTATAATAGTTTACCTATTATAAGAAATAGTATGTTTTAATTTAAGGGTGATCTATCTATGACTTCCATAAATGAGTTGATTATAGGCTGTTCTAACTCAGTGTGTGGGGAGAGGGGTCCATGTTGTACATTCCTACCTGTATGCTTGTAGGTTATGAAAACAAAATGCCGTTATCCTGTAAACAGCATGTATATTATACATTTACACTTCTGTGCTTGCTTTTAAGCAACAGATATTTACTGTTGTAAATAAATTATTTATTAATCATTATCAAAATTTTAGAATAGGTGCAATTTAGCTGTTAAGGGCTCGATTTGTTTGTGAATTAATGTTGGTTCATGAGAAACAATTTCATTGAGCCAATATGTCCGAGACTATTTGTCGCGAGTCAATATGACGGGAGCCAATAAGTCGAGGCTATTTTGACTGGGTCGGGGGTCGATTTGACGGGTTCATATTAACCGTGCCGATTTGTCCCGGGCCATTTTAACAGTGCACCCTGCCGGAGGGTATGAACTCGAGGCTTTTTCGAATTTAACAACCATGAGCTTTTGCCGACTCAACCGCGCCTCCAACACAATTAAGCATACGTGTCAACTGGTTATGCTCCATTGAGGCCATTGACTCTGATTTCAGCCTGCTTTTCTTTTTGGATTTGCTTCCATAGCCTTTGTCCAACCAAGAACAAACTACAAGGCAGCAGTTGTTTGATTTTGGAGTTGTCTCTCCTAGAAGAGTGGCTGTCCCCAGCTAACAAGCCTCAATTGCCTAAGGGTTTGAACTCAAGACTTTTTTGTTTAGCTACCATGAGCTTTTACCGACTCGACCACGCCGAACCCTTGGGAATCAAGTAATTTACCAGTCCAATATGTCCATATGGGTTGAGGGCCTAAGAACGATCTTCGCCATTTTAGATTTAATGCTGATTAATCAATGTCATTGTATTTATCAGTCTGAACTAAAATCTGTATATTTAAAATTGCGTAAAATATTATAAAAATATTTCTATTCGAAGGCAGTGCTAGGACAGATTTTGGAGCATAGATTTATCGCATAAATTCGCGATGTAGAGAACTCCCGTTCATCAAAATTAACAACAAACAGCATGAACCAGAAGATTTAATAATTTAAAATTAAAGGGTCATTCCGAGAAAATATTGGAATCAAAGTGAATTTTGTACAGGGTTTTGCATCGACCAATTTTATCGGCCACCATACTACAGAACAGGGCTAGTGGCCAATTTTTTTTTCATACGGCCACAGGTCGTGGGTTAAAAATTTAATTTTGTAAGTAAAACATTTCAATAAAGGTTGTATTTTTCCTACTAACCAAAAGGTAAGTTTTTGTGTTCTTGCTTGAAATTTCTAAGCAGGATTGTGCGGGTCTCCACTGCTTCTAGGTGTGAGTAGAATGTTGCATATAACCAGATTCCTCTTTCTGTCAGGACCCTGTGTATGTTGCTGGCCTATAGAATGTTGCATATAACCAGATTCCTCTTTCTGTCAGGACCCTGTGTATGTTGCTGGCCTATAGAATGTTGCATATAACCAGATTCCTCTTTCTGTCAGGACCCTGTGTATGTTGCTGGCCTATAGAATGTTGCATATAACCAGATTCCTCTTTCTGTCAGGACCCTGTGTATGTTGCTGGCCTATAGAATGTTGCATATAACCAGATTCCTCTTTCTGTCAGGACCCTGTGTATGTTGCTGGCCTATAGAATGTTGCATATAACCAGATTCCTCTTTCTGTCAGGACCCTGTGTATGTTGCTGGCCTATAGAATGTTGCATATAACCAGATTCCTCTTTCTGTCAGGACCCTGTGTATGTTGCTGGCCTATAGAATGTTGCATATAACCAGATTCCTCTTTCTGTCAGGACCCTGTGTATGTTGCTGGCCTATAGAATGTTGCATATAACCAGATTCCTCTTTCTGTCAGGACCCTGTGTATGTTGCTGGCCTATAGAATGTTGCATATAACCAGATTCCTCTTTCTGTCAGGACCCTGTGTATGTTGCTGGCCTATAGAATGTTGCATATAACCAGATTCCTCTTTCTGTCAGGACCCTGTGTATGTTGCTGGCCTATAGAATGTTGCATATAACCAGATTCCTCTTTCTGTCAGGACCCTGTGTATGTTGCTGGCCTATAGAATGTTGCATATAACCAGATTCCTCTTTCTGTCAGGACCCTGTGTATGTTGCTGGCCTATAGAATGTTGCATATAACCAGATTCCTCTTTCTGTCAGGACCCTGTGTATGTTGCTGGCCTATAGAATGTTGCATATAACCAGATTCCTCTTTCTGTCAGGACCCTGTGTATGTTGCTGGCCTATAGAATGTTGCATATAACCAGATTCCTCTTTCTGTCAGGACCCTGTGTATGTTGCTGGCCTATAGAATGTTGCATATAACCAGATTCCTCTTTCTGTCAGGACCCTGTGTATGTTGCTGGCCTATAGAATGTTGCATATAACCAGATTCCTCTTTCTGTCAGGACCCTGTGTATGTTGCGGGCCTATAGAATGTTGCATATAACCAGATTCCTCTTTCTGTCAGGACCCTGTGTATGTTGCTGGCCTATAGAATGTTGCATATAACCAGATTCCTCTTTCTGTCAGGACCCTGTGTATGTTGCTGGCCTATAGAATGTTGCATATAACCAGATTCCTCTTTCTGTCAGGACCCTGTGTATGTTGCTGGCCTATAGAATGTTGCATATAACCAGATTCCTCTTTCTGTCAGGACCCTGTGTATGTTGCTGGCCTATAGAATGTTGCATATAACCAGATTCCTCTTTCTGTCAGGACCCTGTGTTTGTTGCTGGCCTTTAGAATGTTGCATATAACCAGATTCCTCTTTCTGTCAGGACCCTGTGTATGTTGCGGGCCGGGTGTGCTGTGACAGTGTGGGTAAACTCAACTGCCAGTCTGTTCTACTTGAGGGCTCACGGGAATCTTCTGCTGGAAAAAGCATTAGCCTTGACCTTTCTGAGCTGAAACAATACAGTCTGTTTCCTGGACAGGTGATCTGGGGGTGATGAAGCTGTTGGTGGGGGGACCTGGAGGTTAGACACCATGGGGTGGGGGACCTGGAGGTTAGACACCATAGGGTGGGGGGGGACCTGGAGGTTAGACACCATAGGGTGGGGGACCTGGAGGTTAGACACCATAGGGTGGGGGGGGACCTGGAGGTTAGACACCATAGGGTGGGGGGGACCTAGAGGTTAAACACCATAGGGTGGGGGGACCTGGAGGTTAGACACCATAGGGTGAGGGGACCTGGAGGTTAGACACCATAGGGTGGGGGGGACCTGGAGGTTAGACACCATAGGGTGGGGGGACCTGGAGGTTAGACACCATAGGGTGAGGGGACCTGGAGGTTAGACACCATAGGGTGGGGGGACCTGGAGGTTAGACACCATAGGGTGGGGGGACCTGGAGGTTAGACACCATACTGTGGGGGGTTGTGAACCTGGAGGTTAGACACCATACTGTGGGGGGGGGGGGGGACCTGGAGGTTAGACACCATAGGGTGGGGGGTTGTGAACCTGGAGGTTAGACACCATAGGGTGGGGGGACCTGGAGGTTAGACACCATACTGTGGGGGGTTGTGAACCTGGAGGTTAGACACCATAGGGTGGGGGGACCTGGAGGTTAGACACCATACTGTGGGGGGTTGTGAACCTGGAGGTTAGACACCATAGGGTGGGGGGGGGACCTGGAGGTTAGACACCATAGGGTGGGGGACCTGGAGGTTAGACACCATAGGGTGGGGGACCTGGAGGTTAGACACCATAGTGTGGGGGGACCTGGAGGTTAGACACCATAGGGTGGGAGGACCTGGAGGTTAGACCCTATGGGGTGGGGGACCTGGAGGTTAGACACCATAGGGTGAGGGGACCTGGAGGTTAGACACCATAGGGTGGGGGGACCTGGAGGTTAGACACCATAGGGTGGGGGGACCTGGAGGTTAGACACCATAGTATGGGGGACCTGGAGGTTAGACACCATAGGGTGGGGGACCTGGAGGTTAGACACCATAGTGTGGGGGGACCTGGAGGTTAGACACCATAGTATGGGGGGACCTGGAGGTTAGACACCATAGGGTGGGGGGGACCTGGAGGTTAGACACCATAGGGTGAGGGGACCTGGAGGTTAGACACCATAGGGTGGGGGGACCTGGAGGTTAGACACCATAGGGTGGGGGGGACCTGGAGGTTAGACACCATAGGGTGGGGGGACCTGGAGGTTAGACACCATAGGGTGGGGGGACCTGGAGGTTAGACACCATAGTATGGGGGACCTGGAGGTTAGACACCATAGGGTGGGGGGGACCTGGAGGTTAGACACCATAGGGTGAGGGGACCTGGAGGTTAGACACCATAGGGTGGGGGGACCTGGAGGTTAGACACCATAGGGTGGGGGGACCTGGAGGTTAGACACCATAGGGTGGGGGGACCTGGAGGTTAGACACCATAGGGTGGGGGGGGGGGACCTGGAGGTTAGACACCATAGGGTGGGGGGACCTGGAGGTTAGACACCATAGGGTGGGGGGGGGGGGGACCTGGAGGTTAGACACCATAGGGTGGGGGGACCTGGAGGTTAGACACCATAGTGTGGGGGGACCTGGAGGTTAGACACCATAGGGTGGGGGACCTGGAGGTTAGACACCATAGGGTGGGGGGACCTGGAGGTTAGACACCATAGGGTGAGGGGACCTGGAGGTTAGACACCATAGGGTGGGGGGGACCTGGAGGTTAGACACCATAGGGTGGGGGGACCTGGAGGTTAGACACCATAGGGTGAGGGGACCTGGAGGTTAGACACCATAGGGTGGGGGGACCTGGAGGTTAGACACCATAGGGTGGGGGGACCTGGAGGTTAGACACCATACTGTGGGGGGTTGTGAACCTGGAGGTTAGACACCATAGGGTGGGGGGGGGGGGACCTGGAGGTTAGACACCATACTGTGGGGGGTTGTGAACCTGGAGGTTAGACACCATAGGGTGGGGGGACCTGGAGGTTAGACACCATACTGTGGGGGGTTGTGAACCTGGAGGTTAGACACCATAGGGTGGGGGGACCTGGAGGTTAGACACCATACTGTGGGGGGTTGTGAACCTGGAGGTTAGACACCATAGGGTGGGGGGGGGGGACCTGGAGGTTAGACACCATAGGGTGGGGGACCTGGAGGTTAGACACCATAGGGTGGGGGACCTGGAGGTTAGACACCATAGTGTGGGGGGACCTGGAGGTTAGACACCATAGGGTGGGGGGACCTGGAGGTTAGACCCTATGGGGTGGGGGACCTGGAGGTTAGACACCATAGGGTGAGGGGACCTGGAGGTTAGACACCATAGGGTGGGGGGACCTGGAGGTTAGACACCATAGGGTGGGGGGACCTGGAGGTTAGACACCATAGTATGGGGGGACCTGGAGGTTAGACACCATAGGGTGAGGGGACCTGGAGGTTAGACACCATAGGGTGGGGGGACCTGGAGGTTAGACACCATAGTATGGGGGACCTGGAGGTTAGACACCATAGGGTGGGGGGGACCTGGAGGTTAGACACCATAGGGTGAGGGGACCTGGAGGTTAGACACCATAGGGTGGGGGGACCTGGAGGTTAGACACCATAGGGTGGGGGGACCTGGAGGTTAGACACCATAGGGTGGGGGGACCTGGAGGTTAGACACCATAGGGTGGGGGGGGGGACCTGGAGGTTAGACACCATAGGGTGGGGGGACCTGGAGGTTAGACACCATAGGGTGGGGGGGGGGGACCTGGAGGTTAGACACCATAGGGTGGGGGGACCTGGAGGTTAGACACCATAGTGTGGGGGGACCTGGAGGTTAGACACCATAGGGTGGGGGGACCTGGAGGTTAGACACCATAGGGTGGGGGGGACCTGGAGGTTAGACACCATAGGGTGGGGGGACCTGGAGGTTAGACACCATAGTATGGGGGACCTGGAGGTTAGACACCATAGGGTGGGGGACCTGGAGGTTAGACACCATAGGGTGGGGGGGACCTAGAGGTTAGACACCATAGGGTGGGGGGACCTGGAGGTTAGACACCATAGGGTGGGGGGGACCTGGAGGTTAGACACCATAGGGTGGGGGGACCTGGAGGTTAGACACCATAGTGTGGGGGGACCTGGAGGTTAGACACCATAGGGTGGGGGGACCTGGAGGTTAGACACCATAGGGTGGGGGGGACCTGGAGGTTAGACACCATAGGGTGGGGGGACCTGGAGGTTAGACACCATAGTATGGGGGACCTGGAGGTTAGACACCATAGGGTGGGGGACCTGGAGGTTAGACACCATAGGGTGGGGGGGACCTAGAGGTTAGACACCATAGGGTGGGGGACCTGGAGGTTAGACACCATAGTGTGGGGGGACCTGGAGGTTAGACACCATAGGGTGGGGGGACCTGGAGGTTAGACCCTATGGGGTGGGGGACCTGGAGGTTAGACACCATAGGGTGGGGGGGACCTGGAGGTTAGACACCATAGGGTGGGGGGACCTGGAGGTTAGACACCATAGGGTGGGGGGGACCTGGAGGTTAGACACCATAGGGTGGGGGGGACCTGGAGGTTAGACACCATAGGGTGGGGGGACCTGGAGGTTAGACACCATAGGGTGAGGGGACCTGGAGGTTAGACACCATAGGGTGGGGGGACCTGGAGGTTAGACACCATAGGGTGGGGGGACCTGGAGGTTAGACACCATACTGTGGGGGGTTGTGAACCTGGAGGTTAGACACCATAGGGTGGGGGGGGGGACCTGGAGGTTAGACACCATAGGGTGGGGGGACCTGGAGGTTAGACACCATAGGGTGGGGGGGACCTGGAGGTTAGACACCATAGGGTGGGGGGGACCTGGAGGTTAGACACCATAGGGTGGGGGGGACCTGGAGGTTAGACACCATAGAGTGGGGAGTGAGGGACCTGCTGGTTGCTGGGGGTGTTTTAACTTGTTGTTGTCTATTAATATCCTAGATTTAATGAGCTTGTTGTTTACAGGTGATTGGCCTCCAAGGGGTTAACAGTACAGGGAAAAAGTTTGTGGCCACACAGATCTTACCAGTGAGTTTGTTGAATGGTGTAGCCACCACTATGTAGCCTCTATTTGGTGTAGCCACCACCATGAAGCCTCTATTTGGTGTAGCCTCTATCTGGTGTAGCCACCACTATGTAGCCCCTATCTGGTGTAGCCACCACTATGTAGCCTCTATCTGGTGTAGCCACCACTATGTAGCCCCTATCTGGTGTAGCCACCACTATGTAGCCCCTATCTGGTGTAGCCACCACCATGTAGCCTCTATCTGGTGTAGCCACCACCATGTAGCCTCTATTTGGTGTAGCCACCACTATGTAGCCTCTATCTGGTGTAGCCACCACCATGTAGCCTCTATTTGGTGTAGCCACCACTATGTAGCCCATATCTGGTGTAGCCACCACCATGTAGCCTTTTTTTGGTGTAGCCTCTATCTGGTGTAGCCACCACCATGTAGCCTCTATCTGGTGTAGCCACCACCATGTAGCCTCTATTTGGTGTAGCCACCACTATGTAGCCCATATCTGGTGTAGCCACCACCATGTAGCCTCTATCTGGTGTAGCCACCACTATGTAGCCTCTATCTGGTGTAGCCACCACCATGTAGCCTCTATTTGGTGTAGCCACCACCATGTAGCCTCTATCTGGTGTAGCCACCACTATGTAGCCCCTATCTGGTGTAGCCACCACTATGTAGCCCCTATCTGGTGTAGCCACCACCATGTAGCCCCTATCTGGTGTAGCCACCACCATGTAGCCTCTATCTAGTGTAGCCACCATGTAGCCTCTATTTGGTGTAGCCCCTATCTGGTGTAGCCACCACCATGTAGCCCCTATCTGGTGTAGCCACCATGTAGCCTCTATTTGGTGTAGCCCCTATCTGGTGTAGCCACCACTATGTAGCCCCTATCTGGTGTAGCCACCACTATGTAGCCCCTATCTGGTGTAGCCACCACTATGTAGCCCCACTATGTACCGGGTGTAGCCACCACTATGTAGCCCCACTATGTACCGGGTGTAGCCACCACTATGTAGCCCCACTATGTACCGGGTGTAGCCACCACTAATCAAGTTTTACTCCACTTTTTATTCCAGTCAGCAGCTCTGCCATTTTCCCAAGAATTACCAGATGAGATGGGTAACTTCCTTTAGCTGTAGGACCTGACATTGTCCATAGCTGTAGGACCTGACTGACCATAGCTGTAGGACCTGACTGACCATAGCTGTAGGACCTGACTGACCATAGCTGTAGGACCTGACTGACCATAGCTGTAGGACCTGACATTGACCATAGCTGTAGGACCTCACTGACCATAGCTGTAGGACCTGACATTGACCATAGCTGTAGGACCTGACTGACCATAGCTGTAGGACCTGACATTGACCATTGCTGTAGGACCTGACATTGTCCATAGCTGTAGGACCTGACATTGTCCATAGCTGTAGGACCTGACTGACCATAGCTGTAGGACCTGACTGACCATAGCTGTAGGACCTGACATTGTCCATAGCTGTAGGACCTGACTGACCATAGCTGTAGGACCTGACATTGACCATAGCTGTAGGACCTGACATTGTCCATAGCTGTAGGACCTGACATTGTCCATAGCTGTAGGACCTGACTGACCATAGCTGTAGGACCTGACTGACCATAGCTGTAGGACCTGACATTGACCATAGCTGTAGGACCTCACTGACCATAGCTGTAGGACCTGACATTGACCATAGCTGTAGGACCTGACTGACCATAGCTGTAGGACCTGACATTGACCATTGCTGTAGGACCTGACATTGTCCATAGCTGTAGGACTTGACATTGACCATAGCTGTAGGACCTGACTGACCATAGCTGTAGGACCTGACATTGTCCATAGCTGTTGGACCTGACATTGACCATAGCTGTAGGACCTGACATTGTCCATAGCTGTAGGACCTGACTGACCATAGCTGTAGGACCTGACTGACCATAGCTGTAGGACCTGACATTGACCATAGCTGTAGGACCTGACATTGACCATAGCTGTAGGACCTGACTGACCATAGCTGTAGGACCTGACATTGACCATAGCTGTAGGACCTGACATTGTCCATAGCTGTAGGACCTGACATTGACCATAGCTGTAGGACCTGACATTGTTCATAGCTGTAGGACCTGACATTGACCATAGCTGTAGGACCTGACATTGACCATAGCTGTAGGACCTGATGTTTAATTTCAGCAGCTGAAACATTACGACTGATCATAGCTGTAGGTCCGTACTCTCCAAGTGATGCCTTAGATTTCTCTCCCCTTCATGACCTGATAAAATATATTCAGCGAGACCGACCTGATGTTTGTATTCTGGTAGGTCACCCATTGGATATCACCTGACATGAAACGTGGTGTTGTATGAAACATGTGGTATTGTGTGAAATATGGGGTGTTGCTTGAAATGTGTGGTGTTGTATGAAACATGTGGTGTTTTGTGGAATGTGTGATCTTGTATGAAACCTGTGTTGTATTTTAATGGTGATGTAATTCACATATTTTGTCTTTCAGATGGGACCTTTTATAGACAGCAAAAATCTCATTGTCAATGTAAGTCTATAAATTACTTTCTCACCTTATACTATATGGGTCTGGTATATTAAGGTAATGAACCCAATATGCCAGGTATATTAAGGTAATGAACCCAATATGCCAGGTATATTAAGGTAATGAACCCAATATGCCAGGTATATTAAGGTAATGAACCCAATATGCTAGGTGTATTAAGCAGGGATGTGACTTTTCCGAATTTTAGCGGAAATCCGATTTTTCCGTTTCAGTTGCATTTTTCTCCGCTGATTTAATTTTCGCCGAATTTTTCCACCGAGTTTCAATTTTTTCGATTTTTTACGAAGTTTTAAAAATTAGGAAAAAAAACGGAAATGTCTTCTACGTATTCTATGTATTTAAATTTAAATCGACAAATGGACACTCGAATATGCGCATTTCTTTTCGATTGGTCGATTGCGCTAGGTCTGACGGTGCTAGATCAAGATTAAATGTAGATTCGGAATTTCGGCGGACTTTTGAATTTTTCAAAGCATACTTTTTTTAGTCCAAATTTTCCGCTGATATTTTCAGTTAACTATTTATCAAAAACATGGGGAAAATTTAATCTAAAATAATGCAGTTATTCAAATAAAACTTACATCTCTTAAGCTTGGTAATCTAGCTATCGATATAGCCTAATTTACCTTTCAGTATTTTAACCCGCCTAAATCTAGAGTTTCTGATTCTATTTTCTGATTCTCAAATTAATATTGAAATCCTTGCAAAAGGTGACTATGAGGACGAGACTAACCCGCCCCACCTTGTAGCAACTGTGGCTCTTGTGCCCTCACCTTGACCGCAAGTACGTGTTCGGTACTGCTTGTGGGGAAAAAAATGACGTCACAGTCAATCTCAAATAGCTGTTCCTGCAATACGTATGCTTCGTAGGCCTACAGCAGGGGTCTCCAAACTACGGCCAGCGGGACGGATACGGCCCGCTAGGTCCTCTCATCTGGCCCGCGGCGATCTTTTTGTCCACGGAAAAAACGTTTGTTGGTGATGGCTGAGGAACTTTGCCCAGAAAAATCAAAGACATGTTTGGAATTAACTGGCCCCCGAACTGAAATTTGATAGTTAATGCGGCCCTCGGACTGAAAAGTTTGGAGACCCCTGGCCTACAGATTAAAAAAAACTTAACTCAACGTGACTACGACCGTGTCTTGTTTGTGGAAGAAAAAATATGTTCAGACTGTGTGGGGAGTCTGGCTTTAGTAGGAGAGAGGGGAGGTAAATATCGTCAAACAAAAAAAAAACGTGGATGACCCCTAACAATTTACAGCTATTCCAAAAAAAACATAAATATCGATGTGGCTTGGTTATCATAATGATTAACTTTGGTTCACACGTCAGACCCTTTCTAATTTTAGCTAACCTGGACCATTTCATTATTCCATCACATGAACCTAAAACTTTCAAATTATAACTAATCTTAATCTAGGCTCTTTACAGTTGAAGACAAATATTTTTACCAATCCAATCTTTAAAAGAATATAAGGCATTAGGCCCCCTATTTAAAAATTGAAAACACGAGTACATCTAGAATCTACACTAGATTAGTACAGTTTTAATTAGCTTAATGATAAAATAAAACTTTAATTGCTACTTTTGTTACATTGTAATTTTTAAAAAGTTGTTTATAAGGTAAACATTAAATTGCAATTAGACAAGACTTTCAATGTTATTTTAGAGTAACATAAACTTCTTGTATTTAAAATATTAACTTCATTAAACAATTAATTAGTACAGTAACAATATGAAGCTGCTTAACTGTGATAAAAAATAGATAAAACATTGAGTTATTATCCGAAGAAAATTTCCTAAATTTTTTTCCTGGTCTGGTCACATCCCTGATTAAGGTAATGAACCCAATAAGCCAGGTGTATTAAGGTAATAAACCCAATGTGCCAGGTGTATTAAGGTAATGAATCCAATATGCCAGGTGTATTAAGGTAATGAACCCAACATGCCAGGTGTATTAAGGTAATGAACCCAATATGCCAGGTGTATTAAGGTAATGAACCCAATATGCCAGGTGTATTAAGGTAATAAACCCAATGTGCCAGGTGTATTAAGGTAATGAATCCAATATGCCAGGTGTATTAAGGTAATGAACCCAATATGCCAGGTGTATTAAGGTAATGAACCCAATATGCCAGGTGTATTAAGGTAATGAACCCAACATGCCAGGTGTATTAAGGTAATGAACCCAATATGCCAGGTGTATTAAGGTAATGAACCCAATATGCCAGGTGTATTAAGGTAATGAACCCAATATGCCAGGTGTATTAAGGTAATGAACCCAACATGCCAGGTGTATTAAGGTAATGAACCCAATATGCCAGGTGTATTAAGGTAATGAACCCAATATGCCAGGTGTATAAAGGTAATGAACCCAATATGCCAGGTGTATTTGTTAAAGATCTTGATGTGAGAGCTCTACCTGTCCCATTCGAAAAGAGGGGGGGGGGGCTGGTTGGGGGTTGGCAGAGAAGCAACCCCCACCTGCAAGGGTATGTATGTGAGGAAAATATGTGAAGAAAATTATTGTATTCTAAAAACTGGAATCATTTTTGTTTGAAATCTCCTAGCATTACTCCTGCCATCCAGCTGTATGTGCTCATGTCTCCTCATTCTGTGGCTCTTATAGCCAACTGTTTTATCTTGTTCTAGGGTGGAGACTTGCACGAGTCGTACGAGGAAATGTTCCTGAAACAGGTGGAGCAGATAGGACAAGCCACTCAAAAGTGAGTTGATCACCCCACTAGATAACTCTAAACATTGACAAATAAACAACTTGACTCTAAGGACAAACTGAAGATAATTGAAACTAAAATATATTCTATATCTTTCTATATGCTAACGGAAATATTTTGACATGTCAATGCATATTTAGACAACTTTTATTTCTCCCCAGTTTGGGCTGCCAGGTTGTGATTGTATCTTCTTATCGTGATGTCCACCACTACCGGTGTGTTTACCCACAGCCTCCCTACAACATGCCTGATTCCACTCAGGTATTTCAGGCTCTAATTGGAGGGCTACATCTTATGTCCCCTGCCCCTCCACACAAATGTCCCCTGCCCCTCCACACAAATGTCCCCTGCCTCTCCACACAAATGTCCCCTGCCTCTCCACACAAATGTCCCCTGCCTCTCCACACAAATGTCCCCTGCCTCTCCACACAAATGTCCCCTGCCTCTCCACACAAATGTCCCCTGCCTCTCCACACAAATGTCCCCTGCCTCTCCACACAAATGTCCCCTGCCTCTCCACACAAATGTCCCCTGCCCCTCCACACAAATGTCCCCTGCCCCTCCACACAAATGTCCCTTGCCTCTCCACACAAATGTCCCCTGCCTCTCCCCACAATTACTCCAGCACCTCACCAATGTTGTTTCTTCTATCAGCAGAAATGTTCCCTAGCTTCCCATGTGAGCTTTGCGTCTGACCCAGTTACTCTTTCAATCAGTGGTGTTGTGATTGGTGTGACCTCAACAGACATCCTGTTACACCTTTCAAAATCAGAAATATCTCTGTGAGTAGCTAGCATCAAACACTCTCAATGCCCCCCTGTGGCCAGATACTTCACTAGGAAATTTGGCTTGGTCTCTTCAGTATAGGTATCGCCCCAAAAGTGAAATTTCTTTATTAATAAACTTAAAAGGCTAATATTTTATATCAGTACTATGCATATGGATACAAGTAAGAAAATATTGTTCAAAATTGTTATGACTTTGAAAATAATACTAATTAGTAACAATTATGTGCATCATTATGAAAAAAGTATTAACATTTAAGAACTGAAAATTTTCACTTATGTTTGTAAGATAGTGATGTGTACTTTGTACCACTTTTTATTCTGATAAAAAATTATTTTATAAATTTTTGAATTTGATGTGAGAAAAAATAAGAAGTCGTGGGTTGTATTAAGGGTATATGCGCAGAAAAAAATCACAAAATTTTTTTTCGTCATGATGGGTTTCTTACACTTTCGGATAATTTGTCCATTTTTGTATAAAGAAATAATAACTAAAGAGAAAAAATATTTTTTGTGTTTGAATTACGATTTTCAAGACGCTATTAATTAAAAAATAATAAATTTTTCCCAATTTTACAAGCTCTCTATGAAAAGTTTTATAATCGTCATTATATTGTATTTGACATCATTGGAAAGCTGGATTTCTCATGTATTTAATAAACTTAATTTCCTACATCTCGGAAACACCCAAAGCTTACAATCGGCTTTGCAGTTTACACAGATATGGTACTTTCCTGACCTAGTTTTTGTTACTTTTGGCTGTTTTTCTCAGTTCGCAGGTTTTTAACACTAAAAAGCCTACTACTTTTTTATTTATTAAACAATGCCAGCCATATTTTCAGTAATTGTTGTTAATGCAAAAATACAACTTTTGTCACGAGGGAATTGTGATTGCTTTTATAGATAAAAAGTATTTGTTAATTACCAAGGGGTAAACATCGACTACTGAACAAATCAAAAACTGATGAAAGCGGAAAAAAAATTTCAAATTTGCAGGGCGGCAGGGCGCGATTTTTTTTCTCTCTGTATACGGTATAAAAAATAAAAGTCGATTGCGGTTTGACATCGTTCATCCGATCGCCATCAAACTTTGGGAGTTAACAAGAACACTTCAGGTGAGGTTTCTGTAAAAAAAAATCTTTTTTTTTTAATTTCGCAAGGGCGGCGCCACGGGATGGTGCGATTTTTCTCTATATACGGTATATAAAAATAAAAACAATTGCGGTTCGACACAGTTTATCAGAGTGCCATAAAACTATAGGGTGTTGATGAACACTCCCAAGAAGGTTTCTGGGGTGGGGGTGGTGGGAAAAGGGGGGATTTGACTTTGCATGGGCTGCCGCCGCCCCCCCCCCCCCCCCCCCCCCCTGGAAGGATGCGATTTGGCGCCCTTGTTTTTCCGGTGAGCGCTATGGCGACTATGTTCTGTCTAAACAGTGTGATAGACAATGGATAGGATGGGGCGTTACAAACGCTCACTAAATTGAATCAGGTGTGTCCGCTGGTGGCCATGCAATACGTTTTATTTTAATAATCAGAAAAATTGTCCAAGGTTAAACTATTAACTGGGATCTTTCTTTTTGTCCATAAAAAAATCCAAACTGTTTCGTCACTTTGCGCAAGATGCAATTGCCATCTATTTTTAGACAATCCAATCAGAAATTGAGATCGAGCATCAAATATTAGACCATTAGAAACGCTAACATATTGCATCAGTCACATTGATGTTTAAAATAGTTTTTTTACGTGTTAAATAACAAATCCTGTTAATTTGTGTCACTTTAGTGAATGACGAAATCTGCATCATTGTTATCAGGATGCAATTTCGCACGATGTCGCCTGTTAGTTTTAGGGAGCCAGGGGCCGTACGTGGTAGTGTAATCGGTGAGGGGGGGGGCTCCTGAGAGCGCCACTCTACGTCCCTGACACATGGGCAGTCACCGAATTGTTCTACCATATTATTTCGGTGAGTTATTAATGTACACTCATGATTTTGAAACGGTATTGTAGGTAAACCTGTGTCCCGATATTTATCATCCAAACGCAGGCATTGTTTACATTTAAATAACTCACTTTAAGAAAACAAGGTCACGAGTCTAAGAATATAGGATTGGTAATGCATGGATGAAACCCTTCTTATATATTTCGTCGGACTTTCTTCTATTCCCGCGGCAACGAGTGGGTACGGGTTGGCTAGTTAAAGATAAGAAGGCGGCCCTCTTTCCTACTTATAGTAAACAAGACAGCTAGATCTATGTATATTAAACTACAAAGTTAACACAATATACATATGAATAGACATTTTTATCAAGGGAAACTACTCTAAATTTTATTTGGAAATATGACCGCTGTTTTTATCTACTAATATTTATCTCAAATAACTTGTTTAAAGTTAGTTGCATGATATTTTAAATTGTTCTGGTCACTGATTGTTATTTTAAATCAATTATCTGTTATATTTTGTAAAATTTGACTTAAATATACTGTTAAACAAATATATTCATCAGTTACCTCTACCACACATTACTACTGCAGCCGAATTGATTACGCTAAAACGATAGATTACCGATTTTTTGTATTTCCAGGGGCTCTCAGGGCAAGTTGGATAGACTTGGACGTCTAGTGCAACACGTGCTGCACCAACAGAGGTGAGTCTGATGTCTACATGAGCGACAGTCGTTCATCACGGTATTGTTCCACTAAGTTTTAAAAAGTCTTAAACCACCTTTGCTGTTGAGCTGTATAAAAGGTGATGGTAAATTGAAAAAACAACAATTGGAGCGAAAAAAGATTGGAAAGAATGCAATTTGATCAACAGCAGGCGTAACTTTTCTTCTAAAAAAAAATTTTTTACAGAAATCCTACACTTCAAAAGAAAATTGTATGTCTGCGAAAAATCCACTTTCTGGGGCTTTTATTTACTTCACTTAGTTTGTGACTGCATATCTTATAATATTAATTGAACCCATTGTCCAATTGAAGTGAAATTTGGCACACAGGTAGATCTTGGCTGATGTAGCAAGAACATCTAATTTTTAGTCTAATTAGATAGAAATTTAATTTATAAATAGGCCTAACTATACTTATTTACTAAATACCATAATAAAAGGGGAGATAACAAGATTCTTAAAAATATTAGCAATAGTTTGACCAGAGGACATCGAGGGTGAATTATTTTCAGTTCACGGTTGGCTGTTCTTGTGCCCTATAGTCAACCACAAACTTTAAGGTATAGCCTGTGCAGTCTGCAAGTGAAAGCCTTCCGGAAGCTAGCGTGCTGACAATTCTTCTGACAACCCCAGTAAAAACCAGATTAGGGACGTGGATCATCCGAATCCTGTGAGATCAGTGAGCAGAAGCAGTGGGAATGTTGTGGGCCCAACTTTTAGGAACCACCCAGAACTGAGTAGGATGGAGAGGTGGGGTTGTGTCCCTTGCTAGACATGGGGTCCACAGGAATGCTGCTGATAATAAACTCAATTATAGAGAGATCACAAGCTACTGGATAGATTTTAAAGAAAATCTTCTTAGTCCTAGCCTATGTGTAATGGATGATAAACTCAATTATAGAGAGATCACAAGCTACTGGATAGATTTTAAAGAAAATCTACTTAGTCCTAGCCTATGTGTAATGGATGATAAACTCAATTATAGAGAGATCACAAGCTACTGGATGGATTTTAAAGAAAATCTTCTTAGTCCTAGCCTATGTGTAATGGATGCTAAACTCAATTATAGAGAGATCACAAGCTACTGGATGGATTTTAAAGAAAATCTTCTTAGTCCTAGCCTATGTGTAATGGATGATAAACTCAATTATAGAGAGATCACAAGCTACTGGATGGATTTTAAAGAAAATCTTCTTAGTCCTAGCCTATGTGTAATGGATGCTAAACTCAATTATAGAGAGATCACAAGCTACTGGATGGATTTTAAAGAAAATCTTTTAGTCCTAGCCTATGTGTAATGGATGATAAACTCAATTATAGAGAGATCACAAGCTACTGGATGGATTTTAAAGAAAATCTTCTTAGTCCTAGCCTATGTGTAATGGATGCTAAACTCAATTATAGAGAGATCACAAGCTACTGGATGGATTTTAAAGAAAATCTTCTTAGTCCTAGCCTATGTGTAATGTAAACTTTATTTTGAACGAATGTCTAAAAAGTAGTAAATGATTCTCATATAAAAGATTTTTTAAAGAAAAATTGCTTTTATTACATTCACAAATCACAAAACAATCTCAAATGAAAAAATGCATTAAAAAGTTATATGCTGGTATGATTAAAAATAAAACCTGGGCGCCCACTTACGGAGAATATTTTTCCCTTTCATTTGCAGCGGTTTTAGAAAAAATTCGAATGCAATATTTTAAGAGGGTTTCATCAATGCGATACCATCCTATATTCTTAGACATGTAACCAGTTTTCTAAAACGGAGTTATTTAAATGTAAACTTTGCCTACTCTATATTTCTTGGATCATATTTGTTGGGGCATGGGTTTACCCAAACTACCGTCCAGCACACCTTGAGTGTTCATTGATTAATGACTCTCCGTAGTAGTGAGGTAGAGCACATTTCAGTGACCACTCAGGTGTCAGGGACGTAGCGGGGGGGGGGGCGCGCTACCGCAGGGGTGCAGCATACTGCCTCTGTTTAATAAAAGAACATCAATTGCCACCGTGTCAATAGTATAGGAGGCTCTTTTAAACAAACATTTGGATCACACTATCTCTGGCAGCTGCACTTGTTACAGTTTTATAGCTCAATATAGTAGTACCTCTTACCTGCTATGCAGGACACCCAATCAACAGATGCCAAGTGCTAAGATAGCGGCTCTGGGTATATAAAAATATAGATATGTTCAATTTTCATCCTGCACCCAGGCTTTTATTTTTAGTCATAAAGCTTTTGTAAGGTCACACTAAACTAAATTGATTTTTTACCTTTTAGTCCATTTTTTTACCTCCTCCAATGTCACACGTCACAAAAAGCCAGATCCACCCTCTAGAATTGGATCAGGACAAAAGGCAGACAGCTAAAAGGCCAACAAGACAAAAGGCCGACAACTTTTATAAAGCAATAAACTACAATTACTACAGACATGTTTCATTTTTATTAAAAACCAGTTACATAATGATAAAATTAAAGTACAACATAGAAAAAAATTGGGTCTAGTATGATATATTGTATGCTATGGCACGTAGAAATTCAAGTCTACTTCTTTTTTCACGTTCTGCAAAATATTTGCTATCCTGTCCTCTTTCTGTACATATTTGGGGTTTTTTTTTCCCTTCTTCTGATGGCTCACTAAGCAATATAATATTGCATCCATCTCAACTTCCACTCTTCCTTGTTCTTGGTACACTTGTATCACATCCACAACTGAATCAATCAATCCAACAAATAGTGTATACAACAAATACAATTTGTTTTACGCAATCCGCAACAGACAAAACTGAAATATAATTCAAATTTAGTCCGGACAAGGCACATGATCTGTCAACTTCGTTTGTTTTTTGTTTTTCATTTCTGTGCGAAATAGGGTGGTAACATCACCTATGTGTTTATCGTTTGTAAATTCACATCATCCCTATTTGTACGCACCCCATTGTTACCTTAGAAGGATAGCAACTAGCATTGTCTCTTGTATGTGTCTGCTCACATCACAGGCAGGTGTGTCAGCTCACATCACAGACAGGTGTGTCTGCTCACATCACTGACAGGTGTGTCTGCTCACATCACAGACAGGTGTGTCTGCTCACATCACAGGCAGGTGTGTCAGCTCACATCACGGACAGGTGTGTCTGCTCACATCACTGACAGGTGTGTCTGCTCACATCAAAGGCAGGTGTGTCTGCTCACATCACAGGCAGGTGTGTCTGCTCACATCACAGGCAGGTGTGTCAGCTCACATCACAGACAGGTGTGTCTGCTCACATCACTGACAGGTGTGTCTGCTCACATCACAGGCAGGTGTGTCAGCTCACATCACAGACAGGTGTGTCTGCTCACATCACTGACAGGTGTGTCTGCTCACATCACTGACAGGTGTGTCTGCTCACATCACTGACAGGTGTGTCTGCTCACATCACAGGCAGGTGTGTCAGCTCACATCACAGACAGGTGTGTCTGCTCACATCACAGGCAGGTGTGTCAGCTCACATCACTGACAGGTGTGTCTGCTCACATCACTGACAGGTGTGTCTGCTCACATCACAGGCAGGTGTGTCAGCTCACATCACAGACAGGTGTGTCTGCTCACATCACAGGCAGGTGTGTCAGCTCACATCACTGACAGGTGTGTCTGCTCACATCACTGACAGGTGTGTCTGCTCACATCACTGACAGGTGTGTCTGCTCACATCACTGACAGGTGTGTCTGCTCACAGACAGGTGTGTCTGCTCACATCACTGACAGGTGTGTCTGCTCACATCACAGACAGGTGTGTCTGCTCACATCACTGACAGGTGTGTCTGCTCACATCACTGACAGGTGTGTCTGCTCACAGACAGGTGTGTCTGCTCACATCACTGACAGGTGTGTCTGCTCACATCACAGACAGGTGTGTCTGCTCACATCACTGACAGGTGTGTCTGCTCACATCAGTGACAGGTGTGTCTGCTCACATCACTGACAGGTGTGTCTGCTCACATCACTGACAGGTGTGTCTGCTCACATCACTGACAGGTGTGTCTGCTCACAGACAGGTGTGTCTGCTCACATCACTGACAGGTGTGTCTGCTCACATCACAGACAGGTGTGTCTGCTCACATCACTGACAGGTGTGTCTGCTCACATCACTGACAGGTGTGTCTGCTCACATCACTGACAGGTGTGTCTGCTCACATCACTGACAGGTGTGTCTGCTCACAGACAGGTGTGTCTGCTCACATCACTGACAGGTGTGTCTGCTCACATCACTGACAGGTGTGTCTGCTCACATCACTGACAGGTGTGTCTGCTCACATCACTGACAGGTGTGTCTGCTCACAGACAGGTGTGTCTGCTCACATCACTGACAGGTGTGTCTGCTCACATCACAGACAGGTGTGTCTGCTCACATCACTGACAGGTGTGTCTGCTCACATCAGTGACAGGTGTGTCTGCTCACATCACTGACAGGTGTGTCTGCTCACATCACTGACAGGTGTGTCTGCTCACATCACTGACAGGTGTGTCTGCTCACATCACAGACAGGTGTGTCTGCTCACATCACAGACAGGTGTGTCTGCTCACATCACTGACAGGTGTGTCTGCTCACATCACTGACAGGTGTGTCTGCTCACATCACTGACAGGTGTGTCTGCTCACATCACTGACAGGTGTGTCTGCTCACATCACAGACAGGTGTGTCTGCTCACATCACAGGCAGGTGTGTCTGCTCACATCACTGACAGGTGTGTCTGCTCACATCACAGACAGGTGTGTCTGCTCACATCACTGACAGGTGTGTCTGCTCACATCACAAACAGGTGTGTCTGCTCATATCACTGACAGGTGTGTCTCCACATGTAAGTTATTGCTACACTTTTTCTCCAGCTATTACCCTCTGTACCCACCTGTGGAAGAAGTCAACCTAGATCACCATCTCTGGGAGTTGTATGCCAAGTTCAAGGTTACACCACATGTGATCATCCTGCCCTCTGACCTTAAGTCTTTCATAAAGGTCTGTTTTCAAAGTCCTGTCTTTCATACAGTTGTATTTACCAGTTTCCTTTACTCAGCTTGACCTGTAACTTTGCCTGTTTGCAGGACATAGATGGCTGCTGCTGTGTAAACCCTGGACGACTGACCACTGGAACTGTTGGTGGAACATTTGCTCAGCTGGTCATCAATACACACCACATCAGGGGATCCCCAGCATCAGCCTGTGTTGGTCGAATTGTTAAAGTCTGATACTGGGGCTCCATCTGTTAGTGTCTGATACTGGGGCTCCATCTGTTAAAGTCTGATACTGGGGCTCTATCTGTTAGTGTCTGATACTGGGGCTCCATCTGTTAAAGTCTGATACTGGGGCTCCATCTGTTAGTGTCTGATACTGGGGCTCCATCTGTTAGTGTCTGATACTGGGGCTCCATCTGTTAAAGTCTGATACTGGGGCTCCATCTGTTAGTGTCTGATACTGGGGCTCCATCTGTTAGTGTCTGATACTGGGGCTCCATCTGTTAGTGTCTGAGGGCTCCATCTGTTAGTGTCTGAGGGCTCCATCTGTTAGTGTCTGATACTGGGGCTCCATCTGTTAGTGTCTGAGGGCTCCATCTGTTAGTGTCTGAGGGCTCCATCTGTTAGTGTCTGATACTGGGGCTCCATCTGTTAGTGTCTGAGGGCTCCATCTGTTAGTGTCTGAGGGCTCCATCTGTTAGTGTCTGATACTGGGGCTCCATCTGTTAGTGTCTGAGGGCTCCATCTGTTAGTGTCTGAGGGCTCCATCTGTTAGTGTCTGATACTGGGGCTCCATCTGTTAGTGTCTGAGGGCTCCATCTGTTAGTGTCTGATACTGGGGCTCCATCTGTTAGTGTCTGATACTGGGGCTCCATCTGTTAGTGTCTGAGGGCTCCATCTGTTAGTGTCTGATACTGGGGCTCCATCTGTTAACTTTATTGTATTATACGTTTTTAGTATATATAATTTGTAAATAAATAATTTAAGCCTGTAGATTGTTTCACTTGTTTTTAAATGTTGTCCAAAGTTGAAATATTTAAAATTTAAATGTATTTTTCCCAACAAAGAATTATGTGGCATATCCATCATCTACTATACATACACACTCACATGTAATTAAATGCTGCTAAAATGGGTAGTATTGATAATAAGATATTGTTGTTGATCTTTAAGGTCACGAAATTAAAGAGTGATCTACACTTTATTTTAGTCTGCATTGTTACATAGTTATTTTGACTTTAAGTGCATATTCTAATTTTTTTGTTTTTTTTACTTCCTCGCATGTGGGGTAAGGAGGAAATATTGTGTTCATGCAAATTATTGTGATTAGTGATTTTTATCTAAAGTCTATGATGAGTACCATTTAAGCTAGATGGCAAAATTTCACATAAACATGGTATGCACAGGTGATTTTTTTCCCCGTACAGTCGTTGAAGCTGTATCTAGGCCTACACATTGTTGACAAGGCTCAGAAACATTTTGAGATAGAAAATTGCTGTTTTTACAAGCTTTTATTAAACTTGCCCCTCTATAATCTTTTGACTTTTAAACGAGATTTTTATCACACAGACATCCGATTTGACTTAATTGGATGTCTGATTAATTTTGTTTGAATCAATTAAAATTTCCTACATAAATTACTATTTACTGTGCTATTGTATGTGAATTTTTCATGTTCATTTGGTGCACAATAGTTTTAAGTCATGCAACTCTATCGTAATAAAAAATTTAAAAGTGCTTTAAAAAATGCATAAAAACATTTTAATAACAAACTTCTATGTAATAATACACTAATAAGGATAAAATAAATAATTTTCTATAAATATATAATTTACTACTATTTCTACTATTACTAAAACTATCAAATTTGATGTCAGATTTCTTTGTCATCAGGTCTTGACCCACGTACCAATTTGAAACTAATCGGTCAGTTAGAAGTGTTCAAAATTTTGCTCTGCAGTTTTGAATTGTAAAAACATTTAAATAACAAGCTTATAATATATATAACTAGACACCAAAAAAACAAATGATTTGTTAAAAAAATATAATACCCTATTAAAATAGCTAAAGAAAAGCATGGGTCACTGTCTATTGAGTACCTTTACTAAAATGAAAGAAGCTACCCACGCTGTTCTTTACAGTTAAATAAATAGTTGTGTAACAGGAACTATATTAAAGAAAATCATTTATTTTCTCCTTTTAAATTTTTAGTGAATCTAATATGTAAAGATCTATTCTGTATGTGGCAGACAGCGGGCGGGCAGATCCGTGGAACAAATGCAGTTTTTTTAAAAACTCGACTTTATCACCATAGTGTAATATTCTTAAAGTGTTTATTATCTAAATTGATTTTTAAAAAATTAATATTGATGGTTTTGTACAAGTTTCATTTTCCAACCATTGTAATATAAAGTAATTGTAATTGTGTCTGAAAATTACTTCCCTTAGCCGCTAAGCACATTTTTACTTTCCTTGATAGATCATAAAAAATTAATTACTTCCCTTAGACCAGGGGTCGGCAACCTTATGAGTTATAATTTACTAAATTTACCAGTTTTTAAAGAGCCGCTAACATTTTCATTTTGATATTTGGTATTGGATTAGGTATATGTATATATATATATATACATAAATAATTTAAAATATATGTTTATATATATGTATATATATATATCTATATTCATATATATATATATATAATTTAAATAAATAATTTTAAATATGAAATAGTATTTATTCATATTAAAAAAATATGCATCCTTTGCACAAATCATATTAAAGTTTTTAGCTAGCTCTGCTAGAATTAAAAAAAATAGTAATCAAATATAACTATAATCAGTGAATACTACATTAGTTACATCAATGGGAGCATTGGCCTTCCCTGCCTTTTAAAAGTTTGTTTAAATCTGACTTAGTATTTTGTTGTTTTCAGGTTCAAGCTCGAATCTAGATTTGTATTTATTAGTCCGCTTCTTGCTTTGCTTTTTATTATATTCATGTACGACAACTCTTGCTAGCACGAATATGTTGACCTAAAGATCGTCAGCACTCCACATGTCAACTTCTCCACCTTACTGTAGCATTCTGCAAGACTATTCCATGCGTCACATATAAGTGCCTCAACTCGCGGCATTTCTTAATTGTATTTTAGAGCTGTCCAGTTGTGTAGCTTAACGTGCTTGTTTTTCTGGACCTTCAACTATGTTTAACATGCTCTTGAGTTCTGTGAATTTACCGCTCCACATAAGTCTTTTTCAAATCAAGCACTTACATTTGAAGCGAATCAACATCAATTCCAAATGGCTCAATGTTGATTGTATTTGTGTTGAGAGGATCTACATCATTCATTTTATTTATCGTAATGCTAAGTGATTCTTGTGGATAGCATTGGTTTCATCACGATACTTTTGTTTTAGATTTTTCGAAATTAATGAATTTACCGCTCTCCGTGTCTTCAACAAAAACAAGTAAATTTTTTTCAGAAAGAATCCACTTCTTCGAGCAAGCCATATGATGGCTTTTCCTTTCCTTGCAGCTGTTCATTTAACTCGTTTATTTTCTTTGTGATATCCACCATGACGTGAATGTTTCAATTCGGGATGGAAACTTGAATAGGAAGTACACCGCAAAGCAGCTCCGCGGTATTTAGGCGCCCATGGCTTGCGACATGGACGCCAGGACCCCGCACCGTGAAACCACGCCCAAGGGGCTGGGACGTGGTCGGACAAGGGACATCTCCCAGGGCGGGTAGTACGATGTACTGGAGGGGAAGAAAGCGTAGGCCCACCACGGTTAGGAATTAAATATGCCAGTTAGTTGGCGTTCGCCTCGTCGAGGCCTGTCTGGCTTATGGGAGGTAGACTGTATATCCGTGTCACATCTTCTTCTTCGTTCTTAATTATTAGTGTTGAAGGGGATCGAGATTTATCTGCCAGTGGGTTTGAACTCGAATTTATCAACCATGAGCTTTTTGCCGACTCGACCAGGCCTCCAACACAATTAAGCGTTACGTGTCAACTGGTTATGCGCCATTGAGGCCATTGACTCCGATTTCAGCCTGCTTTTCTTTTTGGATTTGCTTCCATAGCCTTTGTCCAACCAAGAACAAACTACAAGGCAGCAGTTGTTTTAATTTTGGAGTTGTCTCTCCTAGAACAGTGGCTGTTCACAGCTAACGAGCCTCATCTGCCCGAGGGTTCGAACCAGTGTTTCTTCCAGACTTTTTTCTCCGGGGGGGGGGGGGGGGGGGGCACTTGAAATTTTCGGGGGGGCAGTAAACTTTCTTCGGGGGGGCGGACACTGTTAAAAGTATATATTTTCTATATAAATTATATAAATTTCATTTCGTTCGGGGGGGGGGGGGGGGGCGGTAAAAATTTTTCGGGGGGGCTTAGCCCCCCCGAAGAGATGCCTGGAAGAAACTCTGGTTCGAACTCGATACTTTTCGGTTTAGCAACCATGAGCTTAACCGACTCGACCACGCTGACCCCTTCCGTGTCACAAAAGTCCATTGAAATAGGGAGTAACTAAATATTCTAATAGAATAGCGTGTGTGTATTGATTGAAATAGGGAGTAACTAAATATTCTAATAGAATAGCGTGTGTGTATTGTTTGAAATTGGGAGTAACTAAATATTCTAATAGAATAGCGTGTGTTTATTGATTGAAATAGGGAGTAACTAAATATTCTAATAGAATAGCGTGTGTGTATTGTTTGAAATAGGGCGTAACTAAATATTCTAATAGAATAGCGTGCGTGTATTGATTGAAATAGGGAGTAACTAAATATTCCAATAGAATAGCGTGTGTTTATTGTTTGAAATAGGGAGTAACTAAATATTCTAATAGAATAGCGTGCGTGTATTGATTGAAATAGGGAGTAACTAAATATTCTAATAGAATAGCGTGTGTGTATTGATTGAAATAGGGAGTAACTAAATATTCTAATAGAATAGCGTGTGTTTATTGTTTGAAATAGGGAGTAACTAAATATTCTAATAGAATAGCGTGTGTGTATTGATTGAAATAGGGAGTAACTAAATATTCTAATAGAATAGCGTGTGTTTATTGTTTGAAATAGGGAGTAACTAAATATTCTAATAGAATAGCGTGTGTGTATTGATTGAAATAGGGAGTAACTAAATATTCTAATAGAATAGCGTGTGTGTATTGTTTGAAATTGGGAGTAACTAAATATTCTAATAGAATAGCGTGTGTTTATTGATTGAAATAGGGAGTAACTAAATATTCTAATAGAATAGCGTGTGTGTATTGTTTGAAATAGGGAGTAACTAAATATTCTAATAGAATAGCGTGCGTGTATTGATTGAAATAGGGAGTAACTAAATATTCCAATAGAATAGCGTGTGTTTATTGTTTGAAATAGGGAGTAACTAAATATTCTAATAGAATAGCGTGTGTGTATTGTTTGAAATAGGGAGTAACTAAATATTCTAATAGAATAGCGTGCGTGTATTGATTGAAATAGGGAGTAACTAAATATTCTAATAGAATAGCGTGTGTGTATTGATTGAAATAGGGAGTAACTAAATATTCTAATAGAATAGCGTGTGTTTATTGTTTGAAATAGGGAGTAACTAAATATTCTAATAGAATAGCGTGTGTGTATTGATTGAAATAGGGAGTAACTAAATATTCTAATAGAATAGCGTGTGTTTATTGTTTGAAATAGGGAGTAACTAAATATTCTAATAGAATAGCGTGTGTGTATTGATTGAAATAGGGAGTAACTAAATATTCTAATAGAATAGCGTGTGTTTATTGTTTGAAATAGGGAGTAACTAAATATTCTAATAGAATAGCGTGTGTGTATTGATTGAAATAGGGAGTAACTAAATATTCTAATAGAATAGCGTGCGTGTATTGATTGAAATAGGGAGTAACTAAATATTCTAATAGAATAGCGTGTGTTTATTGATTGAAATAGGGAGTAACTAAATATTCCAATAGAATAGCGTTCGTGTATTGATTGAAATAGGGAGTAACTAAATATTCCAATAGAATAGCGTGCGTGTATTGATTGAAATAGGGAGTAACTAAATATTCCAATAGAATAGCGTGCGTGTATTGATTGAAATAGGGAGTAACTAAATATTCCAATAGAATAGCGTGCGTGTATTGATTGAAATAGGGAGTAACTAAATATTCCAATAGAATAGCGTGCGTGTATTGATTGAAATAGGGAGTAACTAAATATTCCAATAGAATAGCGTGCGTGTATTGATTGAAATAGGGAGTAACTAAATATTCCAATAGAATAGCGTGCGTGTATTGATTGAAATAGGGAGTAACTAAATATTCCAATAGAATAGCGTGCGTGTATTGATTGAAATAGGGAGTAACTAAATATTCCAATAGAATAGCGTGCGTGTATTGATTGAAATAGGGAGTAACTAAATATTCCAATAGAATAGCGTGCGTGTATTGATTGAAATAGGGAGTAACTAAATATTCCAATAGAATAGCGTGCGTGTATTGATTGAAATAGGGAGTAACTAAATATTCCAATAGAATAGCGTGCGTGTATTGATTGAAATAGGGAGTAACTAAATATTCCAATAGAATAGCGTGCGTGTATTGATTGAAATAGGGAGTAACTAAATATTCTAATAGAATAGCGTGTGTGTATTGATTGAAATAGGGAGTAACTAAATATTCTAATAGAATAGCGTGTGTGTATTGTTTATATTAACGAGTCTTGCAGAAAAATATATTATGAGTTTTGAAAACAATATCTTCTATATATATAATTCTTTTCTTAGAGACGTTAGAAAACAAGCTGTAAGCGCGCCTTGCAGCCCCCTCTCTTCCTCTCTAGGAAGTCTGGTGAGCTGTGGTTCACGCTAAATGTTTACAATCGTAGAGCCGGGTTTAGTGACGGCTATTAGGGGCAGATAATTTAGTTTGAAACGATTTTCAATTTAGGGGAGTTAGCTAAGAGGAGGCTGCTTTAAAGGGGGGGGGGGTTATCGTCCTTAACGACTTACTGATAGTGTTTTAAAGCAAATATTTTCAGTGACAGCAGTGGTACTGTCGAATTCACAAATTATGAATTACTGAAAAGTAGAAAATAAAACAACTAAATAGCAGCGTATGATACGCCGCGGGTCGGCTCGTATGTAATATTTTCACATGGGACTCGAGAGCCGCATCTTGACATCAAAAGAGCCGCATGCGGCTCGCGAGCCGAAGGTTGCCGACCCTTGCCTTAGACCCATCGCTAGGGTGGGGGTAGTTCTTTTTATTTGTTTTGATGTTGGAAAAACATAAGTATATAATTAGCATGGATTGATAAAGTGCAATGTGGTACGTAAAACCGGTATCTTAGATGCTACCCTTTATTTTATACACTACTGTATTGTGTACTGTTTACTAATTATTGTGTTTAATCAATAACAATTAGTAGCCGTTCCTAAATGTCCTCTATGTTGACTTTTATTTTTCCGTTTGTGGATAAGATGGAGTATTATAGTCGTTCACTAAATTGAATTAGGCGTGTCAGCCGGCACCCCGGCGGGCGATTTGCGCCCCGGGCTATACTGTGAGCGCTATGGCGCATACCTTTGTTTTTAAGAGTGAGGTAGGCTGTAAATAAAAAGGGTTACTAAATCGTTTACTAAATCTAATCCAGGGTGTCCTCTAGCTCTCCGACAGCGTGCTATTTTGAGCCCCGAGGCTTCCCTTGATCGCTATTGGCGCCTACATTCGTTTTTAGTAAGTTCAATAGACAATGGTTAAGATGGGGTATTATAGTCGTTTACTAAATTGAATCAGGCGTGTCAGCCGGCACCCCGGCATAGTGCGATTTGGCGTCCCGGGCTATACTGTGAGCACTATGCGTTTATGTTTGCTTTAAGGTTGTGTTTATGTAGTGCGTTATTGTTTGCCTATAGGTTTATGTTTGCGTTTGTTTTTTCTTTTGTGTTTGCGTTACATTTTTGTTTCCGTTCGTGTTATGTTTGAGTTATTTTATTTTTTAATTTTATTTTTGGTTGGCTGTGGTCAAGGTTAATTAAAAAAGCAATATATTTCCTAAACCCGGGCATATATGCTGCTTACTAAACACACAAGTCATGGTCATTTACAGATAGGTTTTTCACAGAGGCCAGTGCAGTAATTATATTAAAACTTGTTATTAAAACGTTTTTATGCATGTTTTTTTACAATATGTTTTTTCTTCTGCGTTCTTAATTCAGTTTATTGTGGAGGATTTAAACAATAAGTCCACATTCGTGTATGAACTGGACTTACAATATTTTAACCATTTTCTTCGTCATGTCTATCTGTCTGTCTAGTCTAAAGGATCGAAGCTGGTGAGCAAAATCTCGACCTCTCCTAAGCGACCAATTTCATTGAAACTTGGCCAATACACTTAGCGCAGAATAGTAAAATAGGGTTTCTCTTGTTGCATATCGAGTTAAACTTCGATAATGAATCTACCTCCTAGCAGAGTTTCTTCCAGGCATCTCTTCGAGAGCCCCCCCCCCCGAAAAAAGTCTACCGCCCCCCCCCCCCCCCCCGAATGAAATAGAATTTATATAGAAAATATATACTTTTAATAGCGTCCGCCCCCCCCCCCAATTTTTTAGTCCGCCCACCCCCGAAAATGTCAAGTGCCCCCCCCCCCCCCGGAGAAAGAAGTCTGGAAGAAATACTGCCTCTTAGATCTAGAATCTATATTTCCATTTTTCCGTGTTAAGAATTTTTTAACGAGAGCTAATACAAATCAACACCGACGACGTGGTAAGGGGATGTAACTCCGAATTTACTGGATCTAAATATACAGGTTTCTGTAGATGTACCAATCTGGAAGAAGTCCAGATCCAACAAGAAGATAGTCTACAGTCTAGAAAGTAAGAAAGTCTGAACAATCGAGATCTAGATATTATCATCAATATTTTGTAGGCCTATAGAATCTGCTCTAATTTATACTACTAAACTAGACTAATTAATATAGATAGGCTAGATAGATCTAGATCTAGATCTATCTAGATCTAGATATCAGATCTAGATCTAGATTTTTAGTAGAGTAGAGTAACAGTAACACTAAACTAAAAACGATAGATTACCCATATTGTTAATAATTATTTGAAAAATTAATACCTAAGCTTTGAAATTATTAGGAATATTAATTAGGCGCTAAGCAAGGAGGTAATCTATTGGGTAATCTATCAGTTTAGGTACGTAAAATCGCCCGTGACCAGATCTATCTAGATCTAGCTAGAGTAATGTGAAAAACAGTTGACTCCTTAAATTTTAATAATTATTTCACATTTTGGTAAGGATTTATGTTGTGAAAAATACAAAAATGTGTCCTTGTTTCATTTATGTAGGGGCCCTACCTGTTTTTAAACAATTGAATTAAAAGTTAATAAATGAAGACTAGCGATGTTTTCATCAGATGCAACCATGCTCATATACTATAGTAGCCATCTTGTTTAAGTTTTATTTTGTTAAACTTATAGTGGGAAATTCAGGGGAAGCCACTCTATTTTACAAATTGCTGTTGTTTATATAGCAAATCTTGCTTGCAAACACTGTTGTTTAAAGTTAATTTCTGGCCTATATTGATATATTTAGACATTGATTTTGGTTTATTATTCAGTTATCTATAATATTTGACACAAATATTTCACAATATACTTCTATTAAAGCATGGGTTCCCAAACTGGGGGCTTTCTGGGGGGTCGCCAACTGGTAGACTAAATGCTAGCAATGAAAAAAAAAGCATAAATATTTAGAATTCTTTCTGAAATTCGGCATTAATTAACATCACAATGGAAATGGAATAAAAAAATAAACAATGTGTAGTGAGCAAAAATGTTCTTAGTCATGAGTCTATGAAGATTTCAGAGCTAAAACAGTATTTTGAGAAGAGTCATTCGGAACACACCAAAAAGATATGTAGTTATTTCGTCGGCACAAAGCTAGTTGCAAACGTCAGAGACTTGATCGAACAAGAAGTTTTCACCAAGAAAACACAACATTAGTGAAGTCACATTAGAAATTGGCAAGCAAAAAAACCTCACACAATAGGAGAAAATCTCTTCAAACCCTGCATGTTGAGGATGGTGAAATTAATTCTTGGGGATTCCAGTGTAGAGAAGATGCAACCAATATATCTGTCTAATAATACTATTCAGCTGCATATAGCATACATGTCCGTAGATAATAAAAAAACCAATTTTGAATGAAATCAAACTTTCACCATTGTTTGATTTTCAAGTTGATGAATCAACTGACGAGAGTTCATGTTACCAGTTGTTTGTTTTTGTGAAATATACTCATTCGGATGATAACAAAGAAGAGTTGATATTCTGTGAAGATATCATGGAGGAAAACTAAGTTTTTTTTAAAAACTGGATGATTTAAATGGGAAAACGGCTGTGGGGTTTGTACGGATGGTGCGTCTTGTTTGGGTCAAAATCGGGCTTTCAAAAAATAAAGTAAAATATTTAGCTCCCTAATGAAGGCAAATCCACTGCATGATTCACCGGTATGCCCTCGCCAGCAAGACTCTTCTGACCCCATTTCTCATAAAAGTCGTAAATTATTTTAAATCTGGAGCCCTAAACACCCCTCTGTTTAAAAAACTGTGCAAAGACAAGAATAAAGATCACGAGGTTGTACACTACAGTACGTTGGCTTTCAAAAGGAAATATGTATCGTGTTTTTGAATTGAATGATGAAATCAAGTTGTTCTTGAAAGTGCAAGGAGGGGTCGGCGTGGTCGAGTCGGTAAAGCTCATGGTTGCTAAACCGAAAAGTCTCGAGTTCGAACCCTCGGGCAGATAAGGCTCGTTAGCTGGGGACAGCCACTTTTCTAGGAGAGACAACTCCAAAAATTAAACAACTGCTGCCTTGTAGTTTGTTCTTGGTTGGACAAAGGCTATGGAAGCAAATCCAAAAAGAAAAGCAGGCTGAAATCGGAGTCAATGGCCTCAATGGCGCATAACCAGTTGACACGTAACGCTTAATTGTGTTGGAGGCCTGGTCGAGTCGGCAAAAAGCTGATGGTTGATAAATTCGAACAAAGTCTGGAGTTCAAACCCACTGGCAGATAAATCTCGATCCCCTTCAACACTAATAATTAAGAACGAAGAAGAAGAAGAAAGTGCATGGGAAACAAGTCCTTTTGATATTCTTTAATGACAAAGAGTAGCTAGAGAGAGTAGCATACCTAGCAGATATTTTTGAACAGCAACACAAGCTTAACCTGAAAATGAACAAATATTATCTCTTTTCATGATAATCTCTTGGCATTTTTATCAAAGCTGCAAAATCTGCGAAGAAAAAAAAATGTTGGAGATATTGCCATGTTTAAGAAACTCTGCAGTGTGGTAGATGAATCTGATTGTGAGAAATAAAAATTAGAAAGAGGATTCTGGGCAATTTGAATCTCTTGAAAACGAACTGGCGTTATTTTCCTTGAGCTGAAAGAAGAATCTGCATTGACACGTTACCCATCCTCTGTTTCCCTGGATGTTGCCAGCATTCCCGATGAATATCAAGAAGAATTCTAAAATTTGCGGAATGATTTCATGTCACATATCGTGTTAAATGAAAAACTGCTCAAACAATTTTGGCGTAGTATGCAGTGTTCATACCCAAACGTGAAATCGATTACCTTTTGAGTTTTAGTTCCATTTGTGTCTACATATCTTTGCGAGAATAGATTTTCAACTCTTCTCCAATTAAAAATAAAACAAAGAAATAAATTAAATGCTGAGAATGACATGAGGTTGGCGTTAAACAAAAACTCAACCGCGAATGTAGAGGTATTCAATTTCACCCATCGCTTTAAAAGTTATCAAAAATAATTACTATTGAAAGTCTACTAGAAAATCGTATTTTAGTGCTCATCAATTTCCTCGCTAATTTCGATTTTTTAATACTATGGGGGTCGCAGGTCACTTACCTTTTATAAAAGGGGGTCGCCACTTGAAAAAGTTTGGAAACCACTGTATTAAAGCCTTGACAGTGAGGTATCTTTTTCGTACATTACTAGCCACCGCTGATTTTAATTTTAGATACAGATGTCTGATAATAGACTCTTCCAAAAACAGGTGTATTGGGCTGTTATTAGTATTGTAATCTCGACTAATTTTAGGTAGGACTAGGGTTGGGGTTCAGTTAGCATTGACTTTGACATTAGCCAGTATTTAGTTACCTACCAGTAATCTGACAACCCTTTTTTAAAGAAGATTCTATTATTGGACACTGGCATAAAAGTTCCCCCGAGAAATGTCCAGTAGTTATCTTATTAGTTATTAGATTTAGATCTAGATTCTGATACTAATACTAATATTTGTTAAACAAAATATTTAGCCTCTAGCTAGAGGTCTCTGTCCATCTGGGCTCACGCAGCGGAACTCCTGATTTCCATTAGGCGCTATTTAATGACTGTTTCACATACAAAAAAACAGAACGTACCCTGTAACTCTGCATCCATTCTACTATAATGTTGTATATGAGTCAATTTTTATTCCCACGCTCAGCATTGGAGATAATTCAAATCACGGCTGTGAACCTCCTATCTCTTAAGACAATCACCTTTTCCCAGTCACTTGACCATGTCAAGACAAACACCTTTTCCCAGTCACTTGACCATGTCAAGACAAACACCTTTTCCCAGTCACTTGACCATGTCAAGACAAACACCTTTTCCCAGTCACTTGACCATGTCAAGACAAACATCTTTTCCCAGTCACTTGACCATGTCAAGACAAACACATTTTCCCAGTCACTTGACCATGTCAAGACAAACACATTTTCCCAGTCACTTGACCATGCTTGCGTTATTTTATTCATTTAGACTATTTAGGGTCTGTTTAAAGTGAATTAAACATAACCATTATATGGTGCATATTTTATGTGTATACTGTGTTATAAGTATGTTTAAATATTTCATTGATCCTCACTCAGCCTACCTATTAAGCTGAGCAAGTCACGTGACCCACTTATCCCACCTGGAAGCTTGCCTGGTCACATGACTCCCTCTTGAACCTTATGGCAAACTAGGTCATACTTTCCTCCTTCTTCCATAGATCTAATTAACATCATAAGACTAAATTCCTATTTAATAAGCAACATTTTGAGTTGTGAGCGCAGTTGGGGTTAGGGAACCGATAGGGACCAAAAATTGCGTAATCACACCGTTTTTCTAATTTTAGTAGAGAAAACCATATTAACCATGACATTTACAGTTAGCTATATATATCTAGAAGCTATTTTTAGCCTAACATTTTATCTAACTTTTGATTGGTTCAAGTTTTACAGCTCTACCAAAACTCGGTCACTACATCCGGGAGAGTGTGAAAGGAGAAAATGTAGAGCTCACTAGATCACATCCTAATGTTAAGCTCACTGGACCACATCCTAATGTTAAGCTCACTAGATCACATCCTAATGTTAAGCTCACTAGATCACATCCTAATGTTAAGCTCACTAGATCACATCCTAATGTTAAGCTCACTAGATCACATCCTAATGTTAAGCTCACTGGATCACATCCTAATGTTAAGTTCACTGGATCACATCCTAATGTTAAGCTCACTAGATCACATCCTAATGTTAAGCTCACTAGATCACATCCTAATGTTAAGCTCACATCCTAATGTTAAGCTCACTGGCTCACATCCTAATGTTAAGCTCACTAGATCACATCCTAATGTTAAGCTCACTAGATCACATCCTAATGTTAAGCTCACTGGACCACATCCTAATGTTAAGCTCACTAGATCACATCCTAATGTTAAGCTCACTGGATCACATCCTAATGTTAAGCTCACTAGATCACATCCTAATGTTAAGCTCACTAGATCACATCCTAATGTTAAGCTCACTGGACCACATCCTAATGTTAAGCTCACTAGATCACATCCTAATGTTAAGCTCACTGGACCACATCCTAATGTTAAGCTCACTAGATCACATCCTAATGTTAAGCTCACTGGCTCACATCCTAATGTTAAGCTCACTGGATCACATCCTAATGTTAAGCTCACTGGATCACATCCTAATGTTAAGCTCACTAGATCACATCCTAATGTTAAGCTCACTAGATCACATCCTAATGTTAAGCTCACTAGATCACATCCTAATGTTAAGCTCACTAGATCACATCCTAATGTTAAGCTCACTTGATCACATCCTAATGTTAAGCTCACTAGATCACATCCTAATGTTAAGCTCACTAGATCACATCCTAATGTTAAGCTCACTGGCTCACATCCTAATGTTAAGCTCACTTGATCACATCCTAATGTTGAGCTCACTAGATCACATCCTAATGTTAAGCTCACTGGATCACATCCTAATGTTAAGCTCACTGGATCACATCCTAATGTTAAGTTCACTAGATCACATCCTAATGTTAAGCTCACTGGATCACATCCTAATGTTAAGCTCACTGGATCACATCCTAATGTTAAGTTCACTAGATCACATCCTAATGTTAAGCTCACTAGATCACATCCTAATGTTAAGCTCACTAGATCACATCCTAATGTTAAGCTCACTAGATCACATCCTAATGTTAAGCTCACTAGATCACATCCTAATGTTAAGTTCACTGGCTCACATCCTAATGTTAAGCTCACTAGATCACATCCTAATGTTAAGCTCACTGGCTCACATCCTAATGTTAAGCTCACTGGATCACATCCTAATGTTAAGCTCACTGGACCACATCCTAATGTTAAGCTCACTGGCTCACATCCTAATGTTAAGCTCACTAGATCACATCCTAATGTTTAAGCTCACTAGATCACATCCTAATGTTAAGCTCACTAGATCACATCCTAATGTTAAGCTCACTAGATCACATCCTAATGTTAAGCTCACTAGATCACATCCTAATGTTAAGTTCACTGGCTCACATCCTAATGTTAAGCTCACTAGATCACATCCTAATGTTAAGCTCACTAGATCACATCCTAATGTTAAGCTCACTGGCTCACATCCTAATGTTAAGCTCACTGGATCACATCCTAATGTTAAGCTCACTGGATCACATCCTAATGTTAAGCTCACTGGACCACATCCTAATGTTAAGCTCACTAGATCAGATCACATCCTAATGTTAAGCTCACTAGATCACATCCTAATGTTAAGCTCACTGGATCACATCCTAATGTTAAGCTCACTGGACCACATCCTAATGTTAAGCTCACTGGATCACATCCTAATGTTAAGCTCACTGGCTCACATCCTAATGTTAAGCTCACTGGATCACATCCTAATGTTAAGCTCACTGGATCACATCCTAATGTTAAGCTCACTGGACCACATCCTAATGTTAAGCTCACTAGATCAGATCACATCCTAATGTTAAGCTCACTGGACCACATCCTAATGTTAAGCTCACTGGATCACATCCTAATGTTAAGCTCACTGGATCACATCCTAATGTTAAGCTCACTAGATCAGATCACATCCTAATGTTAAGCTCACTGGCTCACATCCTAATGTTAAGCTCACTGGATCACATCCTAATGTTAAGCTCACTGGCTCACATCCTAATGTTAAGCTCACTAGATCACATCCTAATGTTAAGCTCACTGGATCACATCCTAATGTTAAGTTCACTGGCTCACATCCTAATGTTAAGCTCACTGGACCACATCCTAATGTTAAGCTCACTGGATCACATCCTAATGTTAAGCTCACTGGCTCACATCCTAATGTTAAGCTCACTTGATCACATCCTAATGTTGAGCTCACTTGATCACATCCTAATGTTAAGCTCACTGGATCACATCCTAATGTTGAGCTCACTAGATCACATCCTAATGTTAAGCTCACTTGATCACATCCTAATGTTAAGCTCACTGGATCACATCCTAATGTTGAGCTCACTGGATGTTATTACATTCTACTTGATATCCAAATGGCATGCTGGCCAATATTATCTTGACTTTGTCTACAGATAAAAAATGGTTCTATATATTATCTTGACTTTCTCTACAGATAAAAAATGGTTCTATATATTATCTTGACTTTCTCTACAGATAAAAAATGGTTCTATATATTATCTTTACTTTCTCTACAGATAAAAAATGGTTCTATATATTATCTTGACTTTGTCTACAGATAAAAAATGGTTCTAGCAGATTTGGGCAGAAAGATCACCTCTGCCCTTAAATCACTCAGCAATGCCACTATTATTAATGAAGAGGTAAATAGTTGTTGGGGCCATGTGTTCAGCCTAGAAGGTTTGGTAGGTGAGGTAACAAGCCCCTGGGTTGGTTAAAAGTTGTGTCCAGCCTACAAGCCCCTGGGTTGGTTAAAAGTTGTGTCCAGCCTACAAGCCCCTGGGTTGGTTAAAAGTTGTGTCCAGCCTACACGCCCCAGGGTTGGTTAAAAGTTGTGTCCAGCCTACAAGCCCCTGGGTTGGTTAAAAGTTGTGTCCAGCCTACAAGCCCCTGGGTTGGTTAAAAGTTGTGTCCAGTCTACAAGCCCCTGGGTTGGTTAAAAGTTGTCCAGCCTACACGCCCCTGGGTTGGTTAAAAGTTGTGTCCAGCCTACAAGCCCCTGGGTTGGTTAAAAGTTGTGTCCAGCCTACAAGCCCCTGGGTTGGTTAAAAGTTGTGTCCAGCCTACAAGCCCCTGGGTTGGTTAAAAGTTGTGTCCAGCCTACAAGCCCCTGGGTTGGTTAAAAGTTGTGTCCAGCCTACAAGCCCCTGGGTTGGTTAAAAGTTGTGTCCAGCCTACAAGCCCCTGGGTTGGTTAAAAGTTGTGTCCAGCCTACAAGCCCCTGGGTTGGTTAAAAGTTGTGTCCAGCCTACAAGCCCCTGGGTTGGTTAAAAGTTGTGTCCAGCCTACAAGCCCCTGGGTTGGTTAAAAGTTGTGTCCAGCCTACAAGCCCCTGGGTTGGTTAAAAGTCCAGTCCACCCAGGTGTTGAATGGCATGCTGAAAGAAATATGTTTCTTGTGTGCAGGTGTTGCATGGCTGAAAGAAATATGTTTCTTGTGTGCAGGTGTTGCATGGCTGAAAGAAATATGTTTCTTGTGTGCAGGTGTTGAACGGCTGAAAGAAATATGTTTCTTGTGTGCAGGTGTTGCATGGCTGAAAGAAATATGTTTCTTGTGTGCAGGTGTTGAACGGCTGAAAGAAATATGTTTCTTGTGTGCAGGTGTTGAACGGCTGAAAGAAATATGTTTCTTGTGTGCAGGTGTTGAATGGCTGAAAGAAATATGTTTCTTGTGTGCAGGTGTTGCATGGCTGAAAGAAATATGTTTCTTGTGTGCAGGTGTTGAACAGCTGAAAGAAATATGTTTCTTGTGTGCAGGTGTTGAACGGCTGAAAGAAATATGTTTCTTGTGTGCAGGTGTTGAATGACATGCTGAAAGAAATATGTTTCTTGTGTGCAGGTGTTGCATGGCTGAAAGAAATATGTTTCTTGTGTGCAGGTGTTGAACGGCTGAAAGAAATATGTTTCTTGTGTGCAGGTGTTGAACGGCTGAAAGAAATATGTTTCTTGTGTGCAGGTGTTGAATGACATGCTGAAAGAAATATGTTTCTTGTGTGCAGGTGTTGAATGGCATGCTGAAAGAAATATGTTTCTTGTGTGCAGGTGTTGAACGGCTGAAAGAAATATGTTTCTTGTGTGCAGGTGTTGAACGGCTGAAAGAAATATGTTTCTTGTGTGCAGGTGTTGAATGGCATGCTGAAAGAAATATGTTTCTTGTGTGCAGGTGTTGAATGGCATGCTGAAAGAAATATGCGCTGCCCTACTGGAAGCTGATGTCAACATTAGACTTGTCAAGCAGCTGAGAGAGAATGTCAGGTATACAAATATACTTGTTGTCCACACTAGTTGTTGTCCACACTACTTGTTGTCCACACTACTTGTTGTCCCACTAGTTGTTGTCCACACTACTTGTTGTCCACACTACTTGTTGTCCACACTACTTGTTGTCCACACTAGTTGTTGTCCCACTAGTTGTTGTCCACACTACTTGTTGTCCACACTACTTGTTGTCCACACTACTTGTTGTCCACACTGCTTGTTGTCTACACTACTTGTTGTCCACACTACTTTTTGTCCACACTACTTTTTGTCCACACTACTTGTTGTCCACACTACTTGTTGTCCACACTACTTGTTGTCCACACTACTTGTTGTCCCACTACTTGTTGTCCCACTACTTGTTGTCCCACTACTTGTTGTCCCACTAGTTGTTGTCCACACTACTTGTTGTCCACACTAGTTGTTGTCCCTCTACTTGTTGTCCCACTAGTTGTTGTCCACACTATTTGTTGTCCACACTACTTGTTGTCCACACTACTTGTTGTCTACACTACTTGTTGTCCACACTACTTGTTGTCCACACTATTTGTTGTCCACACTACTTGTTGTCCACACTACTTGTTGTCCACACTACTTGTTGTCCACACTACTTGTTGTCCACACTACTTGTTGTCCACACTACTTGTTGTCCACACTACTTGTTGTCTATTCAACTTGTTGTCCACACTACTTGTTGTCCACACTAGTTGTTGTCCACACTACTTGTTGTCCACACTACTTCTTGTCCCACTACTTGTTGTCCACACTACTTGTTGTCTATTCAACTTGTTGTCCACACTACTTGTTGTCCACACTACTTGTTGTCCACACTACTTGTTGTCCACACTACTTGTTGTCCACACTACTTGTTGTCCACACTACTTGTTGTCTATTCAACTTGTTGTCCACACTACTTGTTGTCCACACTACTTGTTGTCCCACTACTTGTTGTCCACACTACTTGTTGTCCACACTACTTGTTGTCTATTCAACTTGTTGTCCACACTACTTGTTGTCCACACTACTTGTTGTCCACACTACTTTTTGTCCACACTACTTTTTGTCCACACTACTTGTTGTCCACACTACTTGTTGTCCACACTACTTGTTGTCCACACTACTTGTTGTCCCACTATTTGTTGTCCCACTACTTGTTGTCCCACTACTTGTTGTCCCACTACTTGTTGTCCCACTAGTTGTTGTCCACACTACTTGTTGTCCACACTAGTTGTTGTCCCTCTACTTGTTGTCCCACTAGTTGTTGTCCACACTACTTGTTGTCCACACTACTTGTTGTCTACACTACTTGTTGTCTACACTACTTGTTGTCCACACTACTTGTTGTCCACACTACTTGTTGTCCACACTACTTGTTGTCCACACTACTTGTTGTCCACACTACTTGTTGTCCACACTACTTGTTGTCCACACTACTTGTTGTCCACACTACTTGTTGTCCACACTACTTGTTGTCCACACTACTTGTTGTCCACACTACTTGTTGTCCACACTACTTGTTGTCCACACTAGTTGTTGTCCCTCTACTTGTTGTCCCACTAGTTGTTGTCCACACTATTTGTTGTCCACACTACTTGTTGTCCACACTACTTGTTGTCCACACTACTTGTTGTCCACACTACTTGTTGTCCACACTACTTGTTGTCCACACTAGTTGTTGTCCACACTACTTGTTGTCCACACTACTTGTTGTCTACACTAGTTGTTGTCCACACTACTTGTTGTCCCACTACTTGTTGTCCACACTACTTGTTGTCCCACTACTTGTTGTCCCACTAGTTGTTGTCCACATTACTTGTTGTCCACACTACTTGTTGTCCACACTACTTGTTGTCCACACTACTTGTTGTCCCACTACTTGTTGTCCACACTACTTGTTGTCCACACTACTTGTTGTCCACACTACTTGTTGTCTATTCAACTTGTTGTCCACACTACTTGTTGTCCACACTAGTTGTTGTCCACACTACTTGTTGTCCACACTACTTGTTGTCCAGACTACTTGTCCCCCCACTCTACTGTTGTTTGATGTCTGCCTCCAATGTTTCAGGTCCGTGATAGACTTTGATGAGATGGCAGGAGGCTTGAATAAACGGCGCATGATCCAGTCTGCTGTCTTTAAAGAGCTGGTCAAGGTTGGTACTTGTGCTGGGCTTTTTCACCCCCCCCCCATAGAAATGTCTTATTGATAGACCCCCCCATAGAAATGTCTTATTGATAGACCCCCCCCTATAGAAATGTCTTATTGATAGACCCCCCCTATAGAAATGTCTTATTGATAGACCCCCCCCCTATAGAAATGTCTTATTGATAGACCCCCCCTATAGAAATGTCTTATTGATAGATCCCCCTATAGAAATGTCTTATTGATAGACCCCCCCCCCCCATAGAAATGTCTTATTGATAGACCCCCCTATAGAAATGTCTTATTGATAGACCCCCCCCCATAGAAATGTCTTATTGATAGACCCCCCTATAGAAATGTCTTATTGATAGACCCCCCTATAAAAATGTCTTATTGATAGACCCCCCTATAGAAATGTCTTATTGATAGACCCCCCCCATAGAAATGTCTTATTGATAGACCCCCCCTATAGAAATGTCTTATTGATAGACCCCCCCCCATAGAAATGTCTTATTGATAGACCCCCCCTATAGAAATGTCTTATTGATAAACCCCCTATAGAAATGTCTTATTTCGGCTGATAGACCCCCCTATAGAAATGTCTTATTGATAGATCCCCCCTATAGAAATGTCTCAGCTGATAGACCCCCCCTATAGAAATGTCTTATTGTTAGCCCCCCCTATAGAAATGTCTTATTGATAGACCCCCCCCTATAGAAATGTCTTATTGATAGACCCCCCCTATAGAAATGTCTTATTGATAGACCCCCCCCTATAGAAATGTCTTATAGATAGACCCCCCCTATAGAAATGTCTTATTGATAGACCCCCCCTATAGAAATGTCTTATTGATAGACCCCCCCTATAGAAATGTCTTATTGATAGACCCCCCCTATAGAAATGTCTTATTTCGGCTGATAGACCCCCCTATAGAAATGTCTTATAGATAGACCCCCCTATAAAAATGTCTTATTTTAGCTGATAGACCCCCTATAAAAATGTCTTATTGATAGACCCCCCTATAGAAATGTCTTATTGATAGACCCCCCCTATAGAAATGTCTTATTTTAGCTGATAGACCCCCTATAGAAATGTCTTATTGATAGACCCCCCCTATAAAAATGTCTTATTGATAGACCCCCCCCCTATAAAAATGTCTTATTGATAGACCCCCCTATAAAAATGTCTTATTACAGCTGATAGACCCTGGAGTCAAGGCTTGGCAGCCCAGCAAGGGAAGAAATAACGTCATCATGTTTGTGGGGCTTCAGGGCAGTGGGAAAACCACCACTTGTACAAAGGTGGGTTTCTGCCACAATCTCTGAAACTTTATCACATTGTCTGCCACATTGTCTGCCACATTGTCTGCCACATTGTCTGCCACATTGTCTGCCACATTGTCTGCCACATTGTCTGCCACATTGTCTGCCACATTGTCTGCCACATTGTCTGCTTTAGTCTCTCCACATTCCTGTCTGTCTCACTGATCATCTTTTAGCCGTCTATTTATAGCCATCTATTTATAGCTGTCTAGTTATCTCCTCTCCAGTTGGCCTATTACTATCAACGCAAGGGCTGGAAAACATGTTTGATTTGTGCTGACACATTTCGTGCAGGAGCCTTTGATCAGCTGAAACAAAATGCCACCAAGGCTCGCATTCCATTTTATGGCAGGTCAGTTAAACATTCAGTCTTATAGAGATTTTAGCTACCCAGAGATCTTTAGTGGCCATCCTGTGTTGTCATGTATTTAGCTACCCAGAGATCTTAATTGGCCATCCTGTGTTGTCATGTATTTAGCTACACAGAGATCTTAATTGGCCATCCTGTGTTGTCATGTATTTAGCTACACAGAGATCTTAATTGGCCATCCTGTGTTGTCATGTATTTAGCTACACAGAGATCTTAATTGGCCATCCTGTGTTGTCATGTATTTAGCTACACAGAGATCTTAATTGGCCATCCTGTGTTGTCATGTATTTAGCTACACAGAGATCTTAATTGGCCATCCTGTGTTGTCATGTATTTAGCTACCCAGAGGTCTTAATTGGCCATCCTGTGTTGTCATGTATTTAGCTACACAGAGATCGACCCTGTGGTCATTGCCCAGGAGGGTGTTGAGAAGTTCAAGGAAGAGAATTTTGAGATCATTATTGTGGACACTAGTGGACGTCACAAGCAACAGGACTCACTGTTTGAAGAGATGCTTCAAGTGGAACAAGCTGTTGTAAGTCATCTCTTTGCAGTCATGTTCTAAGTCATCTCTCATCAGTCATGTTCTAAGTCATCTCTCATCAGTCATGTTGTAAGTTATCAATCTTGTCAGCATACCCTGTCAGTGTATTATGAAATTGTCTGAACTAATCAGCTTTGTTTTCCTAATCCCCTCAACTAATCAGCTTTGTTTCCTTAATCCCCTCAACTAATCAGCTTTGTTTTCCTAATCCCCTCAACTAATCAGCTTTGTTTCCTTAATCCCCTCAACTAATCAGCTTTGTTTTCCTAATCCCCTCAGCTAATCAGCTTTGTTTTCCTAATCCCCTCAACTAATTGGCTTTGTTTTCCTAATCCCCTCAGCTAATCAGCTTTGTTTTCCTAATCCCCTCAGCTAATCAGCTTTGTTTTCCTAATCCCCTCAACTAATCAGCTTTGTTTTCCTAATCCCCTCAGCTAATCAGCTTTGTTTTCCTAATCCCCTCAACTAATCAGCTTTGTTTCCTTAATCCCCTCAGCTAATCAGCTTTGTTTTCCTAATCCCCTCAACTAATCAGCTTTGTTTCCTTAATCCCCTCAACTAATCAGCTTTGTTTCCTTAATCCCCTCAGCTAATCAGCTTTGTTTTCCTAATCCCCTCAGCTAATCAGCTTTGTTTTCCTAATCCCCTCAACTAATCAGCTTTGTTTTCCTAATCCCCTCAGCTAATCAGCTTTGTTTTCCTAATCCCCTCAACTAATCAGCTTTGTTTCCTTAATCCCCTCAGCTAATCAGCTTTGTTTTCCTAATCCCCTCAACTAATCAGCTTTGTTTCCTTAATCCCCTCAACTAATCAGCTTTGTTTCCTTAATCCCCTCAGCTAATCAGCTTTGTTTTCCTAATCCCCTCAACTAATCAGCTTTGTTTCCTTAATCCCCTCAACTAATCAGCTTTGTTTCCTTAATCCCCTCAGCTAATCAGCTTTGTTTCCTTAATCCCCTCAGCTAATCAGCTTTGTTTTCCTAATCCCCTCAGCTAATCAGCTTTGTTTTCCTAATCCCCTCAGCTAATCAGCTTTGTTTTCCTAATCCCCTCAGCTAATCAGCTTTGTTTTCCTAATCCCCTCAACTAATCAGCTTTGTTTTCCTAATCCCCTCAACTAATCAGCTTTGTTTCCTTAATCCCCTCAACTAATCAGCTTTGTTTCCTTAATCCCCTCAGCTAATCAGCTTTGTTTTCCTAATCCCCTCAACTAATCAGCTTTGTTTTCCTAATCCCCTCAACTAATCAGCTTTGTTTTCCTAATCCCCTGAACTAATCAGCTTTGTTTCCTTAATCCCCTCAACTAATCAGCTTTGTTTTCCTAATCCCCTCAACTAATCAGCTTTGTTTCCTTAATCCCCTCAACTAATCAGCTTTGTTTTCCTAATCCCCTCAACTAATCAGCTTTGTTTTCCTAATCCCCTCAACTAATCAGCTTTGTTTTCCTAATCCCCTCAGCTAATCAGCTTTGTTTTCCTAATCCCCTCAGCTAATCAGCTTTGTTTTCCTAATCCCCTCAGCTAATCAGCTTTGTTTTCCTAATCCCCTCAACTAATCAGCTTTGTTTTCCTAATCCCCTCAACTAATCAGCTTTGTTTTCCTAATCCCCTCAACTAATCAGCTTTGTTTTCCTAATCCCCTCAACTAATCAGCTTTGTTTTCCTAATCCCCTCAACTAATCAGCTTTGTTTCCTTAATCCCCTCAACTAATCAGCTTTGTTTTCCTAATCCCCTCAACTAATCAGCTTTGTTTTCCTAATCCCCTCAACTAATCAGCTTTGTTTTCCTAATCCCCTCAACTGATCAGCTTTGTTTTCCTAATCCCCTCAACTAATCAGCTTTGTTTTCCTAATCCCCTCAACTAATCAGCTTTGTTTTCCTAATCCCCTCAGCTAATCAGCTTTGTTTTCCTAATCCCCTCAGCTAATCAGCTTTGTTTTCCTAATCCCCTCAGCTAATCAGCTTTGTTTTCCTAATCCCATCAACTAATCAGCTTTGTTTTCCTAATCCCCTCAACTAATCAGCTTTGTTTTCCTAATCCCCTCAACTAATCAGCTTTGTTTTCCTAATCCCCTCAGCTAATCAGCTTTGTTTCCTTAATCCCCTCAACTAATCAGCTTTGTTTCCTTAATCCCCTCAACTAATCAGCTTTGTTTTCCTAATCCCCTCAGCTAATCAGCTTTGTTTTCCTAATCCCCTCAGCTAATCAGCTTTGTTTTCCTAATCCCCTCAATTAATCAGCTTTGTTTTCCTAATCCCCTCAACTAATCAGCTTTGTTTTCCTAATCCCCTCAACTAATCAGCTTTGTTTTCCTAATCCCCTCAACTAATCAGCTTTGTTTTCCCAATCCCCTCAACTAATCAGCTTTGTTTTCCTAATCCCCTCAACTAATCAGCTTTGTTTTCCTAATCCCCTCAACTAATCAGCTTCGTTTTCCCAATCCCCTCAACTAATCAGCTTTGTTTTCCTAATCCCCTCAACTAATCAGCTTTGTTTTCCTAATCCCCTCAGCTAATCAGCTTTGTTTCCTTAATCCCCTCAACTAATCAGCTTTGTTTTCCTAATCCCCTCAACTAATCAGCTTTGTTTTCCTAATCCCCTCAACTAATCAGCTTTGTTTTCCTAATCCCCTCAACTAATCAGCTTTGTTTTCCTAATCCCCTCAACTAATCAGCTTTGTTTTCCTAATCCCCTCAACTAATCAGCTTTGTTTTCCCAATCCCCTCAACTAATCAGCTTTGTTTTCCTAATCCCCTCAACTAATCAGCTTTGTTTTCCTAATCCCCTCAACTAATCAGCTTTGTTTTCCTAATCCCCTCAACTAATCAGCTTTGTTTTCCTAATCCCCTCAACTAATCAGCTTTGTTTTCCTAATCCCCTCAACTAATCAGCTTTGTTTTCCTAATCCCCTCAACTAATCAGCTTTGTTTTCCTAATCCCCTCAACTAATCAGCTTTGTTTTCCTAATCACCTCAACTAATCAGCTTTGTTTTCCTAATCCCCTCAACTAATCAGCTTTGTTTCCTTAATCCCCTCAACTAATCAGCTTTGTTTTCCTAATCCCCTCAACTAATCAGCTTTGTTTTCCTAATCCCCTCAACTAATCAGCTTTGTTTTCCTAATCCCCTCAACTAATCAGCTTTGTTTTCCTAATCCCCTCAACTAATCAGCTTTGTTTTCCTAATCCTCTCATGAGTGCAACTACTGATTTGTTTTTTGTTCTCTTAAAGAAACCTGACAACATTATCTTTGTGATGGACGCCACCATTGGTCAAGCTTGTGAATCTCAGGTTGGTCTCATATTGTTTGCTGTTGTGTTGATGTCATCTTATTGGTTGTGTTGATGTCATCTTATTTGTTGTGTTGATGTCATCTTATTTGTTGTGTTGATGTCATCTTATTTGTTGTGTTGATGTCATCTTATTTGTTGTGTTGATGTCATCTTATTGGTTGTGTTGATGTCATCTTATTGATTGTGTTGATGTCATCTTATTTGTTGTGTTGATGTCATCTTATTGGTTGTATTGATGTCATCTTATTTGTTGTGTTGATGTCATCTTATTTGTTGTATTGATGTCATCTTATTTGTTGTATTGATGTCATCTTATTTGTTGTGAAATAGCACATTTCACTTTTTTGAAAGCTTTGAGTTGAAAGTTGTTTTAAAGCCTAAAGTTAGTGATGAAATAGTCCAAAACTTTGAGTTGTTCACCCTCTCACAATTTGAGTCCACACTACTTGATTTCTACAGGCCAAAGCGTTTAAGGATAAAGTTGATGTTGCCTCAGTTATCATCACCAAACTTGATGGTCATGCCAAGGGAGGTGGAGCTCTGAGCGCGTAAGTACCTGGCTCATTGTACCAGGTGTTTTTTGATGGGGTACCTCATTGTGGACTTGCCTGATTTGTCTAATGTTGACTCGCCTGATTTGTTTAACCATTAATGTCCCGTAACGCCCGCTGCCGCCCGACACCGTTAATGTCCCGTAACGCCCGCTGCCGCCCGCTTACAATACGCATAGAAAAATTAAATTTGTTTCATTAAAATTTGGCATACAAATCCTAATTTTTAACTAAACAGGAAGTCGGATAGTTTCAGCATCCTTTTCCGGTCTTCTAATTTCAATGGCGCTTTTGAAAGATAAAAAATAAAAGTTTCTTTCTATCTCGAAATTTTAGACTCATCTGTCCTATTTTTAGTAGATTTAATATTAAAAATAAAATAAAATAATGCCTCTAAACGTATTTAGGCATGTATTTTATGAATTATATATCTTAAACATAACCAAATTGATATTTAACTGTTAAATTCGATGCATAGTTGTTTAGATAAAATAAATAAAGTTGACTACCGAAAATGACCTGTTTTGAATTTTCTCCGACATTTTTTATTTTTATACTGTACTTGTACCAAATATAATATATTCTATTTAATACTGTTGGAAAGCCAGGTTTATTCCCAACATTAAGCAGTAGTTTTTATCTTAATTTTCAATTTCATTTAGACAAAAACAAATATTTTGTGAAACTATTCACTTGATCATACAGAGTTATGCTCCTTACATTGGGCCGTCATGGGTGGAGTTTTGGTATAATGAATGGGACATTAATGGTTAATGTTGACTCGCCTGATTTGTCTTCGCCAGATTTATCTAATGTTGACTCGCCTGATTTGTCTAATGTTGACTCGCCTGATTTGTTTAATGTTGACTCGCCTGATTTGTCTAATGTTGACTCGCCTGATTTGTCTAATGTTGACTTGCCTGATTTGTTTAATGTTGACTTGCCTGATTTGTCTAATGTTGACTTGCCTGATTTGTCTAATGTTGACTCGCCTGATTTGTCTAATGTTGACTTTTGACTGCTAGTGTGGCTGCCACCAAGAGTCCAGTCATCTTTATTGGGACAGGTGAACACACAGATGACTTCGAACCTTTTAAAGTCCAGCCTTTTGTAAGCAAATTGCTAGGTAAGTAGGAATAGTTTGACAAATACGAATAATAAAATAGATTTTGTTAAATAGTTTGACAAATATGAATGATAAAATAGATTTTGTTAAATGGTTTGACAAATATGAATGATAAAATAGATTTTGTTAAATAGTTTGACAAATATGAATGATAAAATAGATTTTGTTAAATAGTTTGACAAATATGAATGATAAAATAGATTTTGTTAAACAGTTTGACACATTTGAATGATAAAATAGATTTAATTAAATAGTTTGACAAATATGAATGATAAAATACATTGTGTTAAAAATATAAAGTTAAAAGTATGAAGTTTTTTTTCTCTCCATAGGAATGGGTGACATTGAAGGACTTATAGACAAAGTGAATGAACTCAAGTTGGATGACAATGAGGAGTTGATGAAGAAACTTAAGCATGGTAAGTAAGGGTGACCAGAAAGCTGCGCAAAGGGAAAAATGTGCAACGGAAAACTGTTTTTAATAGACATTATGAAAGAGAGACTACTTGTACATTTTCTCCCCACAGAATATAAAATTGAAGGGGATTTTAAAATTATTTTTTATGCAAAGTTTTCAGCTGCACAATTTTCTGCAAGAAAATAAAAAATGAGAAAGTTAATTAAAAAAAAAAAAGAAGAACTTAGGAATAAGCCCCATTGGGTGAGCATGCTACCTGCATGACTGTGCTGTGACATTGGTCAGCTGCCATCCAGGCTCCATCCAATGGATGTCACAGCTAGAACTGGTTTGGGCAGATCTGACCACTGGGGTATCTCTACCTCATGTCTGGGGACTTTACCACAGGCATTATGAAGCACAAGGCTCCTGTATGTTGCCCATATCACAGGTAACTAAGTTCTCTGGTATGTAGAGAAGCTGGTGAGGTCTTTATATACTGCCTCTTATCATTCGTCTTAAAAATATAGTGCTTGGTAATTTGAATATGAGTCTTATAAAATAAAGAACTTTTGTTGTAGTGTCTAGCTTAGCCATAAACTTTGTGGCTAGCTCCAGTTATTTATTGCTGCAAGTTTCAAGCGCCCTGTAGGCCAATCTAGTCTTCTTTCACCAAATCTTTTCATCTTATCTCCAAACTTGAACATTGAAATGGTTACCTCCCCTGAATTTAAAAAATGTTTATAAGTTTGCATTGGTGGGCTGTGACATCTCAGCACTTAGTCAATTTGATCTCACGGCCTTTAGCCACCCTTCTGGAACATTCTGCTACTTACAAAAGGCTTATAGACAGTTTTGTAGGGGCCAAATATAAAGTTTATATAAATGAAAGTGCAAAACACTGAAGCATAAACAATTGAAAGTGCAAGACAAGACACAGCCTGCTGAAGCATACACAGACAGCTGGTATTTTGATCTAGCAGCTTCTGTACATTTCTTTTTACTCATGTTGATTACAACACTTATATGTGGTAGTCAAATGGTTTTTCATGTCTAATAAGAAAAGACAATGTCTGATGACCCCAGATTATAACTGACAATCTCAGCACTGTCCATTTTTTCCTACAGGACCTGCCCGTATAAACTGACATATAATACCTCTCCCCCATTATTTATGTATAAACGTACACATAATAGCCCACCACCCCCTTTGTAGACATAAATGTGTAGATTTTTTTAATAATATATCACCACCTAGTAGACTTAAGTATGTATAGGTTGATTTTTACATGTTAGTATCATACACCCCCCCCCCCCCCCCCCCCCACAATAATGTAAACAATGCCATGTTGTCTGATGATCTCAACAGGCCAGTTTACATTGAGGGACATGTATGAACAGTTCCAGAACATCATGAAGATGGGACCCTTCAGTCAAATCATGGTAAGTTCATGGGATCAATTTGTATCACAATTTACAAAGATATTTAATAAAGCTTAATGGTTCCCAAAATTCTAACATTTTTGATCTACTCAAGTGGATTATCTTCCTGGCAATGGTCCCCAAAATTCTAACATTTTTGATCTACTCAAGTGGATTATCTTCCTGGCAATGGTCCCCCTAACATTTTTGATCTAATCAAGTGGATTATCTTCCTGGCAATGGTCCCCCTAACATTTTTGATCTACTCAAGTGGATTATCTTCCTCTTTCTGTGACAGGGTATGATACCAGGCTTTAGTTCAGATTTTATGACAAAGGGGAGTGAACAAGAATCAATGGCTCGGCTGAAAAAGTTGATGACCATCATGGACAGCATGAATGATCAAGGTTTGTCAATGCAAGAATCTCATTTTCTCGCCAATCTAATTAAGTAGTTATTACAAATTTATTAAAAACTTACAAGCTAATCTAAAATGACAGAGTAACTATGATATATGTTATTACTAGAAAGCAGAAAATAAAACAATAATTCAAACCTTTATAATAACAAGCTTTTAAATGCACTAAAAATAATCATATGGCAATAATTTTTTTAGATTTTAATAGTAAAACTAAAAGCATCTCCTGAAAATCTATTCAGTTCATTATGCAAAGATTAGCTAAAAATTCTATTGAGTTCATTTTGCAAAGATTAGCTAAAAAATCTATTGAGTTCATTTTGCAAAGATTAGCTAAAAAATCTATTGAGTTCATTTTGCAAAGATTAGCTAAAAAGTCTATTGAGTTCATTTTGCAAAGATTAGCTAAAAAATCTTGTCTGAGCAGAACTTGACAGTCTGGAAGGAGAAAAACTTTTCTCTCGCTGCCCTGGCAGGGTGACTAGGGTGGCAAGAGGTGCAGGTGTTTCTGGACGAGAGGTCAACGAACTTTTAACTCAGTACAAAAAATTTGCTCAAATGGTGAAAAAAATGGGAGGAATTAAAGGCTTATTTAAAGGTTTGTTCCATTTTTTTGTTCATAACTCTTTCATTCAAAGGTTTGTTCCACTCTTTGCTCTAAAACACTTTGGTACATTGTGGGATATGCGCAGTTTATACTTTCTCGTATATACGAAGTATAGAGAAAGTCTTGTAATTGTGCAAAAAAACAAAATGAAGATTTTTGCAAATCTCGACGTTTTACACCTCCCTGGGTCGGAAAAACATAGTTTTGCAATCTTGTCCATATATGTGTGTGTGTATGTGTAAACACGATAACTTGACTACCGTTACAGCTAGGTTGATGAAATTTCATATATAAGTATTATATCAAAATCGTAGATCCGTATCAACTTTTGAGTGAATTCTGATAACAGGAAGTGGAACTTTTTCTACTTTGAATTTTCAAAAGCCTATAACTTGAGTACTATTTCAGATAGATAAATGAAATTTCACATGTAACTAAAAGATTTAATTCTCTGCCTTCTATCAAATTTTGAATAATTTCCGTCGATTGTAAGCAGTAATTTTTATTTCTCTCTATGTCCTGAGTTGCCATTCCCGTAGTGTTATATTAGAATATTCGAGAAAGTTTAGGCGAGATCACTCCCGGTTTATTTTCTAAAGCCTTTTGAATACTATTACCATGTTTGGCACATGAAAGTAAGTATAAACAGCAAAAAAATGGTTGAAAACAATTTTGGTTGTCATTGAAACCCAAAAAGACCTCCACCATTTCGAATTTTTTGGTACTTTAAAAATGCTAAGGCTTTTTTTATTTATGTACTTATAGCAATCAAATTTAAACTGCTTATATTTCAGTATATATTTAAACTTTTATCACAACTTTTTGAAATAGCTACTAGTAAGAATTTTACAAGGTGTAGAATATCGTACCCTTTTTAGCATTCAAAAGTTTCAAAATGTGCATACCCAATTTTTTTTTTTCCTATGAAAGCCCTCACAATGGACGCAAGTGATTTTAAGAGAATCCTTCCATAATGTCCTTCCATAATGTTGTTGACATGGAATAAAAACATGCTTTTTTAGATTTAGGACCATAAAAAAAAAATATATATATAAACTTAGCCTAAAATAAATTTAGAAATTTTATATTTTTAGAATAAATGTTAGAAAAGTTGCAAATCCAGAGAACTTGAAAATAATTTTTTTAGTTATAACCGGATATTTCACTTTTGTAAAACAAATATTGATTGGCTGTACCGTAACTCCGTGATCGATAACTATTTGTTTACAAAACTTTGCAGATAAAGTTTTTAAATAGCAATGCAAATTTAAACCCCATGACCTAGTTTTCCATTTTTTTTCCGCTAAAATGTGTACAATAAAATTTATGGCAGCCGATCAAATAGCAGGATGCCATTGTTTATGTCACCATTACACCTGAAAACCATATTGTTTTTGCTTTTTTTTAAAAATTTTTATTTAGTTACCGAAAATATTAAAAACATCAAATACATCCAATCTTTAGTAAAGTCCGAAAAAACCAGACAGACAGTATTTTATAACCATATTAATTGTAACTACGGCATGATGCATGATTTTTAAATTAATTAATGGGCCTCTCGAATACTTTCTCGCTCGCGTCCATTCCCTCATAAAAGTTGTATTTCTGCATGAAGAACAATTACTGAAAATATGGTGGACAGATTGTTTAACTTAATAAATAAAAAATTAGTAGGCTTTTTAGTGTTAAAACCTGCAAACTGAGAAAAACAGCCAAAAGTAAAAAAAAAAAAGAGGTCACGAAAATACCATATCTGTGTAAACTATAAAGCCAATTGTAAACTTGGGGTTTTTCCGAGATTATGGAAATTAAGATATGAGAAATCCACCTTTCCAATGATTCCAAATACAATATGATGAGGGATATTAAACTTTTCATAGAGAGCTTGTAAGATTGGGAAAAATGGATTTTTTAAAAATTAAATAGGGTCATAAAAATGGTATTTTAAACACATTACATTTTTTTTCTCATTAAACTTAATTAAAGTTATTATTTTCTTAATACGAAAATGGACAAAGTATGAAAAAGTGCAAGAAATCCATCATGACGAAAAACAAGAAAATTTTGTTTTAACTGCTCATATCCCCTTAAGTACTCCAAGGGTTAGTGGAGTGCCTGTGTCATAAGTTGATGTTTAACTTTTCAGGTGGGGACATGAACAGAAATGTTAACCAAGGGCAGATAACCAAGTTAAACCAACAGATGGCCAAGATGATGGATCCACGGGTGCTACAACAAATGGGTTTGTGCTAGCTTGTCATTTGTATGTGTTACAGACGTTCTTTTGTTGTCATTTGTATGTGTTACAGTTACAGATGTTCTTTTGTTGTCATTTGTATGTGTTACAGTTACAGACGTTCTTTTGTTGTCATGGCCTAGTGATTTCACTACAGATGTTCTTTTGTTGTCATGGCCTAGTGATTTCACTACAGATGTTCTTTTGTTGTCATGGCCTAGTGATTTCACTACAGATGTTCTTTTGTTGTCATGGCCTAGTGATTTCACTACAGATGTTCTTTTGTTGTCATGGCCTAGTGATTTCACTACAGATGTTCTTTTGTTGTCATTTGTATGTGTTACAGATGTTCTTTTGTTGTCATTTGTATGTGTTACAGTTACAGATGTTCTTTTGTTGTCATTTGTATGTGTTACAGACGTTCTTTTGTTGTCATTTGTATGTCTTACAGTTACAGATGTTCTTTTGTTGTCATTTGTATGTGTTACAGTTACAGATGTTCTTTTGTTGTCATTTGTATGTGTTACAGACGTTCTTTTGTTGTCATTTGTATGTGTTACAGTTACAGATGTTCTTTTGTTGTCATTTGTATGTGTTACAGTTACAGACGTTCTTTTGTTGTCATTTGTATGTGTTACAGTTACAGATGTTCTTTTGTTGTCATTTGTATGTGTTACAGTTACAGACGATCTTTTGTTGTCATGGCCTAGTGATTTCACTACAGATGTTCTTTTGTTGTCATGGCCTAGTGATTTCACTACAGATGTTCTTTTGTTGTCATGGCCTAGTGATTTCACTACAGATGTTCTTTTGTTGTCATGGCCTAGTGATTTCACTACAGATGTTCTTTTGTTGTCATGGCCTAGTGATTTCACTACAGATGTTCTTTTGTTGTCATGGCCTAGTGATTTCACTACAGATGTTCTTTTGTTGTCATGGCCTAGTGATTTCACTACAGATGTTCTTTTGTTGTCATGGCCTAGTGATTTCACTACAGATGTTCTTTTGTTGTCATGGCCTAGTGATTTCACTACAGATGTTCTTTTGTTGTCATGGTCTAGTGATTTCACTACAGATGTTCTTTTGTTGTCATGGCCTAGTGATTTCACTACAGATGTTCTTTTGTTGTCATGGCCTAGTGATTTCACTACAGATGTTCTTTTGTTGTCATGGCCTAGTGATTTCACTACAGATGTTCTTTTGTTGTCATGGCCTAGTGATTTCACTACAGATGTTCTTTTGTTGTCATGGCCTAGTGATTTCACTACAGATGTTCTTTTGTTCATCAGGTGGGATGCAGGGACTGCAGAGCATGATGAGACAGTTTCAGCAAGGCGCCACAGGAAAATTTGGGAACCTCTTTAATTTGACGGACAGATAAACTTTTAGCTATCTAGAGCCATACAATGTTGTTTTAGTCCAAAATAAAAGGCGACAAATTGTGGCCCACAAATTCTAGTCCATTTCACACCTTCAAGAATTGATGTGAAAATGCAGTAGTTGGGTTCACGTTGTAAACAATAGGAGCTCTCTTCTCCTAATGGCTAGAATATCATTTGTAAATGTATTTAAAGTTACAAATAAAAAAGCATTTGAATAAAAAGCACTAAAATATTAAGAACTTTTTTTTATTATGTTAGGGCGAGAAGTCTAATGGATCAGACGCCTCAGGGCAGAGTGTTAGGTCCAGATGGGCTCATGTAGGCTCACAGTTGGGGGCCTGAAATACAAGAAATTTTTTTTTTACATAGGCTGACCTAAAGTGACTTACTACAAGTCTCTCAATATATACAGGCATGTCCTCTGGCCACTAAACTTACAGGCATGTCCTCTGGCCACTAAACTTACAGGCATGTCCTCTGGCCACTAAACTTACAGGCATGTCCTCTGGCCACTAAACTTACAGGCATGTCCTCTGGCCACTAAACTTACAGGCATGTCCTCTGGCCACTAAACAAACTTACAGGCATGTCCTCTGGCCACTAAACAAACTTACAGGCATGTCCTCTGGCCACTAAACAAACTTACAGGCGTGTCCTCTGGCCACTAAACTTACAGGCATGTCCTCTGGCCACTAAACTTACAGACATGTCCTCTGGCCACCAAACAAACTTACAGGCATGTCCTCTGGCCACTAAACTTACAGGCATGTCCTCTGGCCACTAAACTTACAGGCATGTCCTCTGGCCACTAAACTTACAGGCATGTCCTCTGGCCACTAAACAAACTTACAGGCATGTCCTCTGGCCACTAAACAAACTTACAGGCATGTCCTCTGGCCACTAAACAAACTTACAGGCGTGTCCTCTGGCCACTAAACTTACAGGCATGTCCTCTGGCCACTAAACTTACAGACATGTCCTCTGGCCACCAAACAAACTTACAGGCATGTCCTCTGGCCACTAAACTTACAGGCATGTCCTCTGGCCACTAAACTTACAGGCATGTCCTCTGGCCACTAAACTTACAGGCATGTCCTCTGGCCACTAAACAAACTTACAGGCATGTCCTCTGGCCACTAAACTTACAGGCATGTCCTCTGGCCACTTAACAAACTTACAGGCATGTCCTCTGGCCACTAAACTTACAGACATGTCCTCTGGCCACTAAACAAACTTACAGGCATGTTCTCTGGCCACTAAACTTACAGGCATGTCCTCTGGCCTCTAAACTTACAGGCATGTCCTCTGGCCACTAAACTTACAGACATGTCCTCTGGCCACCAAACAAACTTACAGGCATGTCCTCTGGCCACTAAACTTACAGGCATGTCCTCTGGCCACTAAACTTACAGGCATGTCCTCTGGCCACTAAACTTACAGGCATGTCCTCTGGCCACTAAACAAACTTACAGGCATGTCCTCTGGCCACTAAACTTACAGGCATGTCCTCTGGCCACTAAACTTACAGGCGTGTCTGGCACAGTGTGTAATGAGCCAGCTAAGACTGACGGTGATGGGCTGGGTGTGGTGCACCTGGGTGTGGTGCACCTGGACGTGCTCAGGTCAACTTGCTCCAGGAGACGGATAAGTTCTGTAGCAGTAGGCCCAGACAGTTCTTGTTTGCCTGAAAATACCAGACAGAGAGGTGAGACTGTAAGGTGGTAAGCTAGGCTGTAAGGTGGTAAACTAGGTTGTAAGGTGGTAAACTAGGCTGTAAGGTGGGGCAGGTTGTATGTAAGGTGGGGCAGGTTGTAAGGTGGTAAACTAGGCTGTAAGGTGGTAAACTAGGCTGTAAGGTGGTAAACTAGACTGTAAGGTGGGGCAGGTTGTAAGGTGGTAAACTAGGCTGTAAGATGGGGCAGGCTGTAAGGTGGTAAACTAGGCTGTAAGGTGGTAAACTAGGCTGTAAGGTGGTAAACTAGACTGTAAGATGGGGCAGGCTGTAAGGTGGTAAACTAGGCTGTAAGGTGGTAAACTAGGCTGTAAGGTGGTAAACTAGACTGTAAGGTGGGGCAGGTTGTAAGGTGGTAAACTAGGCTGTAAGATGGGGCAGGCTGTAAGGTGGTAAACTAGGCTGTAAGGTGGTAAACTAGGCTGTAAGGTGGTAAACTAGGCTGTAAGGTGGTAAACTAGGCTGTAAGGTGGTAAACTAGGCTGTAAGGTGGTAAACTAGGCTGTAAGGTGGTAAACTAGGCTGTAAGGTGGTAAACTAGGCTGTAAGGTGGTAAACTAGGCTGTAAGGTGGTAAACTAGACTGTAAGGTGGTAAACTAGGCTGTAAGGTGGTAAACTAGGTTGTAAGGTGGTAAACTAGGCTGTAAGGTGGTAAACTAGGCTGTAAGGTGGGGCAGGTTGTAAGGTGGTAAACTAGACTGTAAGGTGGTAAACTAGGCTGTAAGGTGGTAAACTAGGCTGTAAGGTGGTAAACTAGGCTGTAAGGTGGTAAACTAGACTAAGGTGGTAAACTAGGCTGTAAGGTGGTAAACTAGGCTGTAAGGTGGTAAACTAGGCTGTAAGGTGGTAAACTAGGCTGTAAGGTGGTAAACTAGGCTGTAAGGTGGTAAACTAGGCTGTAAGGTGGTAAACTAGGCTGTAAGGTGGTAAACTAGGTTGTAAGGTGGTAAACTAGGCTGTAAGGTGGTAAACTAGGTTGTAAGGTGGTAAATTAGGCTGTAAGGTGGTAAACTAGACTGTAAGGTGGGGCAGGTTGTAAGGTGGTAAACTAGGCTGTAAGGTGGTAAACTAGGCTGTAAGGTGGTAAACTAGGCTGTAAGGTGGTAAACTAGGCTGTAAGGTGGGGCAGGTTGTAAGGTGGTAAACTAGGCTGTAAGGTGGTAAACTAGGCTGTAAGGTGGTAAACTAGACTAAGGTGGTAAACTAGGCTGTAAGGTGGTAAACTAGGCTGTAAGGTGGTAAACTAGGCTGTAAGGTGGTAAACTAGGCTGTAAGGTGGTAAACTAGGCTGTAAGGTGGTAAACTAGGCTGTAAGGTGGTAAACTAGACTGTAAGGTGGTAAACTAGGTTGTAAGGTGGTAAACTAGGCTGTAAGGTGGGGCAGGTTGTAAGGTGGTAAACTAGGCTGTAAGGTGGTAAACTAGGCTGTAAGGTGGTAAACTAGGCTGTAAGGTGGTAAACTAGGCTGTAAGGTGGTAAACTAGACTAAGGTGGTAAACTAGGCTGTAAGGTGGTAAACTAGGCTGTAAGGTGGTAAACTAGGCTGTAAGGTGGTAAACTAGGCTGTAAGGTGGTAAACTAGGCTGTAAGGTGGTAAACTAGACTGTAAGGTGGTAAACTAGGCTGTAAGATGGTAAACTAGGCTAAAGGTGGGGCAGGTTGTAAGGTGGTAAACTAGGCTGTAAGGTGGGGCAGGTTGTAAGGTGGTAAAATAGGCTGTAAGGTGGTAAACTAGGCTGTAAGGTGGTAAACTAGGCTGTAAGGTGCTAAACTAGGCTGTAAGGTGGTAAACTAGACTGTAAGGTGGGGCAGGTTGTAATGTGGTAAACTAGGCTGTAAGGTGGTAAACTAGGCTGTAAGGTGGTAAACTAGGTTGTAAGGTGGTAAACTAGGCTGTAAGGTGGTAAACTAGGCTGTAAGATGGTAAACTAGGTTGTAAGGTGGTAAACTAGGTTGTAAGGTGGTAAACTAGGTTGTAAGGTGGTAAACTAGGCTGTAAGGTGGTAAACTAGGCTGTAAGGTGGTAAACTAGGCTGTAAGGTGGTAAACTAGGCTGTAAGGTGGTAAACTAGGCTGTAAGGTGGTAAACTAGGCTGTAAGGTGGTAAACTAGACTGTAAGGTGGGGCAGGTTGTATGTAAGGTGGTAAACTAGGCTGTAAGGTGGTAAACTAGGCTGTAAGGTGGTAAACTAGGCTGTAAGGTGGGGCAGGTTGTAAGGTGGTAAACTAGGCTGTAAGGTGCTAAACTAGGCTGTAAGGTGCTAAACTAGGCTGTAAGGTGGTAAACTAGGCTGTAAGGTGGTAAACTAGGCTGTAAGGTGGGGCAGGTTGTAAGGTGGTAAACTAGGCTGTAAGGTGGTAAACTAGGCTGTAAGGTGGTAAACTAGGCTGTAAGGTGGTAAACTAGGCTGTAAGGTGGTAAACTAGGCTGTAAGGTGGGGCAGGTTGTAAGGTGGTAAACTAGGCTGTAAGGTGGTAAACTAGGCTGTAAGGTGGTAAACTAGGCTGTAAGGTGGGGCAGGTTGTAAGGTGGTAAACTAGGCTGTAAGGTGGTAAACTAGGCTGTAAGGTGGGGCAGGTTGTAAGGTGGTAAACTAGGCTGTAAGGTGGTAAACTAGGCTGTAAGGTGCTAAACTAGGCTGTAAGGTGGTAAACTAGGCTGTAAGGTGGTAAACTAGGCTGTAAGGTGCTAAACTAGGCTGTAAGGTGGTAAACTAGGCTGTAAGGTGGTAAACTAGGCTGTAAGGTGGTAAACTAGGCTGTAAGGTGGTAAACTAGGCTGTAAGGTGGTAAACTAGGCTGTAAGGTGGTAAACTAGACTGTAAGGTGGTAAACTAGGTTGTAAGGTGGTAAACTAGGCTGTAAGGTGGGGCAGGTTGTAAGGTGGTAAACTAGGCTGTAAGGTGGTAAACTAGGCTGTAAGGTGGTAAACTAGGCTGTAAGGTGGTAAACTAGGCTGTAAGGTGGTAAACTAGACTAAGGTGGTAAACTAGGCTGTAAGGTGGTAAACTAGGCTGTAAGGTGGTAAACTAGGCTGTAAGGTGGTAAACTAGGCTGTAAGGTGGTAAACTAGGCTGTAAGGTGGTAAACTAGACTGTAAGGTGGTAAACTAGGCTGTAAGATGGTAAACTAGGCTAAAGGTGGGGCAGGTTGTAAGGTGGTAAACTAGGCTGTAAGGTGGGGCAGGTTGTAAGGTGGTAAAATAGGCTGTAAGGTGGTAAACTAGGCTGTAAGGTGGTAAACTAGGCTGTAAGGTGCTAAACTAGGCTGTAAGGTGGTAAACTAGACTGTAAGGTGGGGCAGGTTGTAATGTGGTAAACTAGGCTGTAAGGTGGTAAACTAGGCTGTAAGGTGGTAAACTAGGTTGTAAGGTGGTAAACTAGGCTGTAAGGTGGTAAACTAGGCTGTAAGATGGTAAACTAGGTTGTAAGGTGGTAAACTAGGTTGTAAGGTGGTAAACTAGGTTGTAAGGTGGTAAACTAGGCTGTAAGGTGGTAAACTAGGCTGTAAGGTGGTAAACTAGGCTGTAAGGTGGTAAACTAGGCTGTAAGGTGGTAAACTAGGCTGTAAGGTGGTAAACTAGGCTGTAAGGTGGTAAACTAGACTGTAAGGTGGGGCAGGTTGTATGTAAGGTGGTAAACTAGGCTGTAAGGTGGTAAACTAGGCTGTAAGGTGGTAAACTAGGCTGTAAGGTGGGGCAGGTTGTAAGGTGGTAAACTAGGCTGTAAGGTGCTAAACTAGGCTGTAAGGTGCTAAACTAGGCTGTAAGGTGGTAAACTAGGCTGTAAGGTGGTAAACTAGGCTGTAAGGTGGGGCAGGTTGTAAGGTGGTAAACTAGGCTGTAAGGTGGTAAACTAGGCTGTAAGGTGGTAAACTAGGCTGTAAGGTGGTAAACTAGGCTGTAAGGTGGTAAACTAGGCTGTAAGGTGGGGCAGGTTGTAAGGTGGTAAACTAGGCTGTAAGGTGGTAAACTAGGCTGTAAGGTGGTAAACTAGGCTGTAAGGTGGGGCAGGTTGTAAGGTGGTAAACTAGGCTGTAAGGTGGTAAACTAGGCTGTAAGGTGGGGCAGGTTGTAAGGTGGTAAACTAGGCTGTAAGGTGCTAAACTAGGCTGTAAGGTGGTAAACTAGGCTGTAAGGTGGTAAACTAGGCTGTAAGGTGCTAAACTAGGCTGTAAGGTGGTAAACTAGGCTGTAAGGTGGTAAACTAGGCTGTAAGGTGGTAAACTAGGCTGTAAGGTGGGGCAGGTTGTAAGGTGGTAAACTAGGCTGAAAGGTGGTAAACTAGGCTGTAAGGTGGTAAACTAGGCTGTAAGGTGGTAAACTAGGCTGTAAGGTGGTAAACTAGGCTGTAAGGTGGTAAACTAGGTTGTAAGGTGGTAAACTAGACTGTAAGGTGGTAAACTAGGCTGTAAGATGGGGCAGTTTGTAAGGTGGGGCAGGTTGTAAGGTGGTAAACTAGGCTGTAAGGTGGTAAACTAGGCTGTAAGGTGGTAAACTAGGCTGTAAGGTGGTAAACTAGGCTGTAAGGTGGTAAACTAGACTGTAAGGTGGGGCAGGTTGTAAGGTGGTAAACTAGGCTGTAAGGTGCTAAACTAGGCTGTAAGGTGGTAAACTAGGCTGTAAGGTGGTAAACTAGACTGTAAGGTGGTAAACTAGGCTGTAAGGTGGTAAACTAGGTTGTAAGGTGGTAAACTAGGCTGTAAGATGGGGCAGTTTGTAAGGTGGGGCAGGTTGTAAGGTGGTAAACTAGGCTGTAAGGTGGTAAACTAGGTTGTAAGGTGGTAAACTAGGCTGTAAGATGGGGCAGTTTGTAAGGTGGGGCAGGTTGTAAGGTGGTAAACTAGGCTGTAAGGTGGTAAACTAGGTTGTAAGGTGGTAAACTAGGCTGTAAGGTGGTAAACTAGGCTGTAAGGTGGTAAACTAGGTTGTAAGGTGGTAAACTAGGCTGTAAGATGGGGCAGTTTGTAAGGTGGGGCAGGTTGTAAGGTGGTAAACTAGGCTGTAAGGTGGTAAACTAGGTTGTAAGGTGGTAAACTAGGCTGTAAGGTGGTAAACTAGGCTGTAAGGTGCTAAACTAGGCTGTAAGGTGGTAAACTAGGCTGCAAGGTGGGGCAGGTTGTAAGGTGGTAAACTTGGTTGTAAGGTGGTAAACTAGGCTGTAAGGTGGTAAACTAGGCTGTAAGGTGGGGCAGGTTGTAAGGTGGTAAACTAGGCTGTAAGATGGTAAACTAGGCTGTAAGGTGCTAAACTAGGCTGTAAGGTGGTAAACTAGGCTGTAAGGTGGTAAACTAGGCTGTAAGGTGGTAAACTAGGCTGTAAGGTGGTAAACTAGGCTGTAAGGTGCTAAACTAGGCTGTAAGGTGGTAAACTAGGCTGTAAGGTGGGGCAGGTTGTAAGGTGGTAAACTAGGCTGTAAGGTGGTAAACTAGGCTGTAAGGTGGTAAACTAGGCTGTAAGGTGGGGCAGGTTGTAAGGTGCTAAACTAGGCTGTAAGGTGGTAAACTAGGCTGTAAGGTGGGGCAGGTTGTATGTAAGGTGGTAAACTAGGCTGTAAGGTGGTAAACTAGGTTGTAGAATAAATAATGTTTCTTGCCTTTGTCCCCTTGTCTGTAGAGGTCTAAAGCAGTCGTCAGGTCCCACATCTTGAAGAACACAAAAATTCACTTTAGAACATCACATTGTCAGTTATGACGAACTACTACATCACATTGTCAGACTACAACTAACTACTACATCACATTGTCAGACTACGACTAACTTCTTCAACACATTGTCAGACTACGACTAACTACTACATCACATTGTCAGACTACGACTAACTGCTACATCACCTTGTCAGACTACGACTAACTACTACATCACATTGTCAGACTACGACTAACTACTACATCACATTGTTAGACTACGACTAACTACTACATCACATTGTTAGACTACGACTAACTACTACATCACATTGTCAGACTACGACTAACTACTACATCACATTGTCAGACTACGACTAACTACTACATCACATTGTCAGACTACGACTAACTGCTACTAAGAACTTGACCCACCTGAATGCTGCCATTGTTGTGGCCTGTAAAGAGATACCTGCGTGGACAGGAGCCCATCCTGTTGGAGCCTTCACATTCATGGACACAAAATGAGCTGATGGTGCTGCCATCTACTGACCTGACCACACAGATTCTGGGACAAATGGACACAAAATGAGCTGATGGTGCTGCCATCTACTGACCTGACCACACAGATTCTGGGACAAATGGACACAAAATGAGCTGATGGTGCTGCCATCTACTGACCTGACCACACAGATTCTGGGACAAAAGTTCACTCTTTAGATCCAACATCTAACACTCTAGGACAGTGTGAGGGTGGGGATTTTTAAGAAGGCGGTAACGAATGAATCCAACAACACACAGTTCAAGTTCAACTATAATTGTTCTTTATTAAAATGATATATATATGTTCAAGTTTCTACCTAACTGATCTACACTGTACTATTTACTTCTACTACTGACTGTTCACTATCCTACTAACTACACACTCCCGTGACCACTCCTAACACTATCTAACTGTTCTCTAGCTCTGCAAATTACAACCGTCTCTAACCGCTTCCTAACACCTTCTGTACCCCTCGCTAGCTAATCATGATCTCCTAACTATCTACATTCTCGGCCGTCTCTGACCGCTACCTAACAACTCCTCTGGCCTATCGCTCTACTGCCCCACGCCTCAGTGGTCAGCTGACCGTCCCATGTGACCGGTCAGCCCTGTGCGCCCATTGGCCTCTATCTGACCAACCAACTAGGCCTATAGATAGTCTGTTTCTGCTAACCTATATCTGCTAACATGTCTGACGTAATCTTGCGTCATCACATATCTCCCTCCCTTTCTGTAGCTGACAAATTATATTTTTCAGCGTCTACTACTAATCTAATACATCAACAAACTATCTATCTTACTACTCTATTCTATCCCTAACATCAATCATATAATCAAATACAAAATGGGACGGCACAGTTTACAAAAACATAAAATCTTGTGTCTGTGTTCCAGAATAAAAATGCCATCGCTCTAGTTCTCGTGTAAGTATCTTGACGTTGGGTGTTTCTGCTTGATAATGTATGTCTATGTTATGGTATGTGTGAATTCAATCATGTGAAACTCAGTTCTGGCTAGGTTGTCCTGTACTGGCCTTGAGCCAATCTTAGTGGTAATGTGTAACTGGTTGAACGGGCTCAGCGAGCAGTGTGTTTGTGTAAGTGTTATGTAATCGCTGGCGTTCCTCTGTGGTGGGTGGGTTGTGGCGTTGGTCGACATAAATTCCCGTGAGGCGGGTGTACGCGTAACTTTCGTTGGTCAATGTGATGACGCAACAATCTTAACGCTGGTTGAGACGTCCACGTAGAGTGGTTATACGATGAACTGAAGCTGTCTGATGCGGGGAAACAATGACGTAACATTCCGACGCTGGGAACTTGGACGATGGGTCGTCTACCCTTTGTATCTGCCGACGTAGGTTAACGTAGCTGGCGGTCTGTTAGATAACCCCAGGGTGGGGCGAAGTGGTAGCGATGCGTTCGCTGTCTTGACCAGGCTATTCACGTCCAGCAGGCTGTTCGCTGTCCAGGTAACTCAACGTGATCAGGGGCTTCAGGTGGCGGCATTCTTTGAAGTGTCTGCTTCATCTCGTCTCATTCTGAATAGCGCTGGTGGGTCTGAAATTGTATTACGAGACCATGAGCAATGGCTTTACATGACCATTTATTGCCCGCGCAGACAAGTATTCAGACAGAGGTACCTTCCATTAAAAAAAAACCTCAATCCCAAATTTATACGTGCTGAACATTTGTCTGGCGGCATAACAAACATTAAAAAAATAACATTACAACATAACCAAATAAAAAAAATCAGTACACTCTAATCTAACAACAATCTGTAAAGCATAATAAACTCAATAGACGTAAACACTACTAGAGCTTAGAAATAGCTTCACAAAAAGAATAGACATGTGAGTGTATACAAATAATCGTGCCGTTTCAAATAACATTTGAACACGTAATCATATAGTGGAGCAGCTCTCACTATCTGACTTTTGACAAAAAACTGGCTGGCTTGACTTAATGACTGACTTCACTTATGACTTCAGTAACTTGACTTATTTCACTTTGACTTCAGTAACTCGACTGACTTCAATTTAACGACTGACTTCACTTTAGACTTCAGTATCTTGACTGACTTCAATATGACGACTAATTTCAATTTGACGACTTACTTCACTGACTTCATAAACATCACTGACCGACTTCGACTTCACTTGACGACTAAATTTCGACGACTTAAACGTCTTCACTTGACTTCAAAGACTTTTCCTTGACTTCAACTACTTCAATATGACTTCAAATAATTCACTTTGACTTCAACAATTTCAATATGACTTCAAAGACTTTAACTTTGACTTCAACGACTTCAATATGACTTCACTTTGACTTCAACAACTTCAATATGACTTCAAAGACTTCAACGACATCACTTTGACTTCAAAGACTTCACTTTGACTGCAACATGACTTCAACTACGTCACTATGATTCCAACTACGACTTTAACAACATTGACTGACTTGACTGACTTCAAATAACTTCTTTGACTTCAGTTCTGACTTATACTTCACTGACTTCAATAACACAATTGACTTCAGTTTAACTACACTGACTTCGACTTCAACTATATCGACTTCACGCCGATTTTCTCGACTACTTAGATTTTAGATCAACACAAAACTCGACTTGACTTCACTTTTATGTCCGTTGTTCAAAATCATTTATGGGGAAGGTCCGGGTCACATTCTTGATCATGGGGTTGATGTTCTAGGGCAGTTGCGTGTTATCTATGTGCTGTACTTCCAGTTTCACTAATTCTAGCGCTAACTCTGCTTTTGTTCTTGACATGTCTTACTATCTTGACTATCGTGTTTCCTAATTTATTCTCTACAAATGTTTCAACTTCTTCTCCTGTTTTGTCTAATGGTATGCCCCGTTTATAGCATTGAAACTCTGCCTCCATGGTTGTGTATATGTGTGTGTGTGTGTTGAGGAAAGTAAACAAAACTAAGGCAACAGGGCGTAACATAAGAATGTATAAGGCAGAAAAACCACTGGTACAAACTGTCCAGCACGGGTATAAACCCAAACGTTTAAAAAAATGTTGGAAGGTACTTATCTTTTTGGACTTGTAGACTGTTTCCTTGTGTTGTTAATCCAAACTCGTTCCGGTTGAAGAAAACCGCTGTTGTGATGAGTTAGAGAAAGCAATACACAAGTCACACTCCGTCATGAGTAGCTGATATACGTTCTTTCCCGTACTCGACCCGCGCTCCACCAGATGTGAGGGTGGGGATTTTTAAGAAGGCGGTAACGAATGAATCCAACAACACACAGTTCAAGTTCAACTATAATTGTTCTTTATTAAAATGATATATATATGTTCAAGTTTCTACCTAACTGATCTACACTGTACTATTTACTTCTACTACTGACTGTTCACTATCCTACTAACTACACACTCCCGTGACCACTCCTAACACTATCTAACTGTTCTCTAGCTCTGCAAATTACAACCGTCTCTAACCGCTTCCTAACACCTTCTGTACCCCTCGCTAGCTAATCATGATCTCCTAACTATCTACATTCTCGGCCGTCTCTGACCGCTACCTAACAACTCCTCTGGCCTATCGCTCTACTGCCCCACGCCTCAGTGGTCAGCTGACCGTCCCATGTGACCGGTCAGCCCTGTGCGCCCATTGGCCTCTATCTGACCAACCAACTAGGCCTATAGATAGTCTGTTTCTGCTAACCTATATCTGCTAACATGTCTGACGTAATCTTGCGTCATCACAGACAGTATTGACAGCTAGCTATCAATTGGTTTGTTCCACTTAACAAAATCTATAGCACAATCATACAGCTATCAATTGGTTTGTTTCCAAACTAAATCTATAGCACAATCATACAGCTATTCATTGCTTTGTTTCCACCTAACAAAATCTATAGCACAATCATACAGCTATCAATTGCTTTGCTTCCAAACAAAATCTATAGCACAATCATACAGCTATTCATTGGTTTGTTTCCAAACAAAATCTATAGCACAATCATACAGCTATCCATTGCTTTGTTTCCACCTAACTAAATCTATAGCACAATCATACAGCTATCAATTGGTTTGTTTCCACCTAACAAAATCTATAGCACAATCATACAGCTATCAATTGGTTTGTTTCCAAACAAAATCTATAGCACAATCATACAGCTATCCATTCCTTTGTTTCCACCTAACAAAATCTATAGCACAATCATACTGCTATCCATTGCTTTGTTTCCATCTAACAAAATCTATAGCACAATCATACAGCTATCAATTCAGAACTTAATTCCACCACCCCGATAAAACGCCATCTTAGTGTCCTTATGTTATTCTATTGACAGGATAAAAAGGCCGTGACACATTTAGTATGTGAGTAATGACTAACCTTTGACCTGTAGAGCTTTGACGAACAAAAAGTTGATCTGAGTTGGAAACAATTTTTTGTACAAATAGCTGATTGTCATCTTGTTCACCAAATGGGCCTAAAGTGATGAAAAAAGTTGAGCACATGGGCCTATAAAGTGATGAAAAAAGTTGAGCACATGGGCCTAAAGTGATGAAAAAAGTTGAGCACATGGGCCTAAAGTGATGAAAAAAGTTGAGCACATGGGCCTAAAGTGATGAAAAAAGTTGAGCACATGGGCTTAACAATAAAGTTAGTGTTGAATTGAACACTAAATAACTCGGTTTGAAATAGATAAGTTGCTGGCAGACTTACCAAAGTCATTCCCCGGATCCATAAGTAAGTTGCTGGCAGACTTACCAAAGTCATTCCCCGGATCCATAAGTAAGTTGCTGGCAGACTTACCAAAGTCATTCCCTGGATACATAAGTAAGTTGCTGGCAGACTTACCAAAGTCATTCCCTGGATACATAAGTAAGTTGCTGGCAGACTTACCAAAGTCATTCCCTGGATCCATAAGTAAGTTGCTGGCAGACTTACCAAAGTCGTTCCCGGCCGAGTTACTCAGGAGTGGATCCATGTCGTCCAGGGAAACAATCTGAAAGGATGCCAAGGGAGTTGACCCAGGCTGTGTTGAGATCATGCCACGGAACCGCGTCACATTCCAGCTCCGCACGTGGTTGTACTCAGAGCAGACTGGCAAAGAAAATATATTCATGGTGATCTTTGATAAGTCACAATGGTGGTCTTTGATACGTCACAATGGTGGTCTTTGATACATCACAATGGTGGTCTTTGATACGTCACAGTGGTGGTCTTTGATACGTCACAATGGTGAACAGTCATACAAAAGAAGGAACAGTCATACATACGAATAAGAATTTAAAAGTAGAGGAACATATGCATAGCGCTAATGCTAAGCCAGAAAAAAATTAAATATCAAGTAAGCTTTACAAGTTACTAAGTAGATATAACAATCTGTATTGTTTTAATAATTATAGCTAACATCTAGCCAACATTTTATTTAAAAGTTTACATCTTTTAAAAATTAGCCCTAGTCATTTCCAGAAATGCCACTGGCCCTAAATTTTTCCCCCACTGACCTGAGACTAGATGTTTCTCAGACAGCATGACCTTGGTGACTGGACTGCGATGGACTGTGAAGGTCTGAAACAGCTGGGGGCCGTGGCCTACAGTCTCTGGGTGCTGCACAATCACTCGCACGGTGCCTGAACGGGTGCCATAAGCAATCTCAATCCAATTGCCACTCAAACCTGTGGATACAACACTGGGGTGCCATAAGAAATCTCAATCCAATTGCCACTCAAACCTGTGGATACAACACTGGGGTGCCATAAGCAATCTCAATCCAATTGCCACTCAAACCTGTGGATACAACACTGGGGTGCCATAAGCAATCTCAATCCAATTGCCACTCAAACCTGTGGATACAACACTGGGGTGCCATACGCAATCTCAATCCAATTGCCACTCAAACCTGTGGATACAACACTGGGGTGCCATAAGCAATCTCAATCCAATTGCCACTCAAACCTGTGGATACAACACTGGGGTGCCATACGCAATCTCAATCCAATTGCCACTCAAACCTGTGGATACAACACTGGGGTGCCATAAGCAATCTCAATCCAATTGCCACTCAAACCTGTGGATACAACACTGGGGTGCCATAAGCAATCTCAATCCAATTGCCAATCAAACCTGTGGATACAACACTGGGGTGCCATACGCAATCTCAATCCAATTGCCAATCAAACCTGTGGATACAACATTGGCTTGACACTAGAGGCAATCTACACCACCCACACAGAGAGAGTTGACAACACTGGCTTGACACTTGGGTGTGAATGTAAAGAAAAAGTGTGTGTTTAACCTACTAGTCTTGGGTGTGAATGTAAAGAAAAAGTGTGTGTTTAACCTACTAGTCTTGGGTGTGAATGTAAAGAAAAAGTGTGTGTTTAACCTACTAGTCTTGGGTGTGAATGTAAAGAAAAAGTGTGTGTTTAACCTACTAGTCTTGGGTGTGAATGTAAAGAAAAAGTGTGTGTTTAACCTACTAGTCTTGGGTGTGAATGTAAAGAAAAAGTGTGTGTTTAACCTACTAGTCTTGGGTGTGAATGTAAAGAAAAAGTGTGTGTTTAACCTACTAGTCTTGGGTGTGAATGTAAAGAAAAAGTGTGTGTTTAACCTACTAGTCTTGGGTGTGAATGTAAAGAAAAAGTGTGTGTTTAACCTACTAGTCTTGGGTGTGAATGTAAAGAAAAAGTGTGTGTTTAACCTACTAGTCTTGGGTGTGAATGTAAAGAAAAAGTGTGTGTTTAACCTACTAGTCTTGGGTGTGAATGTAAAGAAAAAGTGTGTGTTTAACCTACTAGTCTTGGGTGTGAATGTCAAGAAAAAGTGTGTGTTTAACCTACTAGTCTTGGGTGTGAATGTCAAGAAAAAGTGTGTGTTTAACCTACTAGTCTTGGGTGTGAATGTAAAAAAAAAGTGTGTGTTTAACCTACTAGTCTTGGGTGTGAATGTAAAGAAAAAGTGTGTGTTTAACCTACTAGTCTTGGGTGTGAATGTAAAGAAAAAGTGTGTGTTTAACCTACTAGTCTTGGGTGTGAATGTAAAGAAAAAGTGTGTGTTTAACCTACTAGTCTTGGGTGTGAATGTAAAGAAAAAGTGTGTGTTTAACCTACTAGTCTTGGGTGTGAATGTAAAGAAAAAGTGTGTGTTTAACCTACTAGTCTTGGGTGTGAATGTAAAGAAAAAGTGTGTGTTTAACCTACTAGTCTTGGGTGTGAATGTAAAGAAAAAGTGTGTGTTTAACCTACTAGTCTTGGGTGTGAATGTAAAGAAAAAGTGTGTGTTTAACCTACTAGTCTTGGGTGTGAATGTAAAGAAAAAGTGTGTGTTTAACCTACTAGTCTTGGGTGTGAATGTAAAGAAAAAGTGTGTGTTTAACCTACTAGTCTTGGGTGTGAATGTAAAGAAAAAGTGTGTGTTTAACCTACTAGTCTTGGGTGTGAATGTAAAGAAAAAGTGTGTGTTTAACCTACTAGTCTTGGGTGTGAATGTAAAGAAAAAGTGTGTGTTTAACCTACTAGTCTTGGGTGTGAATGTAAAGAAAAAGTGTGTGTTTAACCTACTAGTCTTGGGTGTGAATGTAAAGAAAAAGTGTGTGTTTAACCTACTAGTCTTGGGTGTGAATGTAAAGAAAAAGTGTGTGTTTAACCTACTAGTCTTGGGTGTGAATGTAAAGAAAAAGTGTGTGTTTAACCTACTAGTCTTGGGTGTGAATGTAAAGAAAAAGTGTGTGTTTAACCTACTAGTCTTGGGTGTGAATGTAAAGAAAAAGTGTGTGTTTAACCTACTAGTCTTGGGTGTGAATGTAAAGAAAAAGTGTGTGTTTAACCTACTAGTCTTGGATGTGAATGTAAAGAAAAAGTGTGTGTTTAACCTACTAGTCTTGGGTGTGAATGTAAAGAAAAAGTGTGTGTTTAACCTACTAGTCTTGGGTGTGAATGTAAAGAAAAAGTGTGTGTTTAACCTACTAGTCTTGGGTGTGAATGTAAAGAAAAAGTGTGTGTTTAACCTACTAGTCTTGGGTGTGAATGTAAAGAAAAAGTGTGTGTTTAACCTACTAGTCTTGGGTGTGAATGTAAAGAAAAAGTGTGTGTTTAACCTACTAGTCTTGGGTGTGAATGTAAAGAAAAAGTGTGTGTTTAACCTACTAGTCTTGGGTGTGAATGTAAAGAAAAAGTGTGTGTTTAACCTACTAGTCTTGGGTGTGAATGTAAAGAAAAAGTGTGTGTTTAACCTACTAGTCTTGGGTGTGAATGTAAAGAAAAAGTGTGTGTTTAACCTACTAGTCTTGGGTGTGAATGTAAAGAAAAAGTGTGTGTTTAACCTACTAGTCTTGGGTGTGAATGTAAAGAAAAAGTGTGTGTTTAACCTACTAGTCTTGGGTGTGAATGTAAAGAAAAAGTGTGTGTTTAACCTACTAGTCTTTGGTGTGAATGTAAAGAAAAAGTGTGTGTTTAACCTACTAGTCTTTGGTGTGAGGTAGACACTAAGGGCTGTCACCATGTCATCCGATGGGTCGCTGTACAACTTGGTCACCAGCAAATCATTGTCTTTCATGCGCAGGGGAAACTTTTGCATATCTGGTAAATAGAGGAAAGTTTTATCTGGTAAATACAGACAAAAGTCAGACCACTAACATGTAGTACCCATTCTAACAACTCAAATGTTGTATTACCTATGTAATAATTTGAAAAATGTTGTATTACCTATGTAATAAATGGAGCCATCCTCACAGCCAAGCAGAAGGAAAGATCCCGCAGTGTCATAGCTGGTGATTGGAACAACATCCTGAATCTAAAACATCAGAACAACATCATGAATCTAAAACATCACAACAACATCCTGAATCTAAAACAACACAACAACATCCTGAATCTAAAACATCACAACAACATCCTGAATCTAAAACAACACAACAACATCCTGAATCTAAAACATCACAACATCCTGAATCTAAAACATCACAACATCCTGAATCTAAAACATCACAACAACATCCTGAATTTAAAACATCAGAACAACATCCTGAATCTAAAACATCACAACAACATACTGAATCTAAAACATCACAACAACATACTGAATCTAAAACATCACAACAACATCCTGAATCTAAAACATCACAACAACATACTGAATCTAAAACATCACAATATCCTGATTTTAAAACAACACAATGACATCTTGAATCTAAAACATAACAACAATATCCTGAATCTAAAACATCACAACAACATACTGAAGCTAAAACATCACAACAACATACTGAATCTAAAACATCACAACATCCTGAATCTAAAACATCACAACAACATACTGAATCTAAAACATCACAACAACATCCTGAATCTAAAACATCAGAACAACATCCTGAATCTAAAACATCACAACAACATACTGAATCTAAAACATCACAACATCCTGATTCTAAAACAACACAATGACATCTTGAATCTAAAACATCACAACAATATACTGAATCTAAAACATCACAACAACATACTGAATCTAAAACATCACAACAACATACTGAATCTAAAACATCACAACATCCTGAATCTAAAACATCACAACAACATCCTGAATCTAAAACATCACAACAACATACTGAATCTAAAACATCACAATATCCTGATTTTAAAACAACACAATGACATCTTGAATCTAAAACATCACAACAACATACTGAATCTAAAACATCACAACAATATCCTGAATCTAAAACATCACAACAACATACTGAAGCTAAAACATCACAACAACATACTGAATCTAAAACATCACAACAACATCCTGAATCTAAAACATCACAACAACATACTGAATCTAAAACATCACAACAACATCCTGAATCTAAAACATCAGAACAACATCCTGAATCTAAAACATCACAACAACATATTGAATCTAAAACATCACAACATCCTGATTCTAAAACAACACAATGACATCTTGAATCTAAAACATCACAACAATATACTGAATCTAAAACATCACAACAACATACTGAATCTAAAACATCACAACAACATACTGAATCTAAAACATCACAACAACATCCTGAATCTAAAACATCAGAACAACATCCTGAATCTAAAACATCACAACAACATCCTGAATCTGAAACATCACAACATCCTGATTCTAAAACAACACAACATCCTGAATCTAAAACATCACAACAACATCCTGAATCTAAAACATCACAACATCCTGATTCTAAAACAACACAACATCCTGAATCTAAAACATCACAACAACATCCTGAATCTAAAACATCAGAACAACATCCTGAATCTAAAACATCACAACAACATACTGAATCTAAAACATCACAACATCCTGATTCTAAAACAACACAATGACATCTTGAATCTAAAACATCACAACAATATACTGAATCTAAAACATCACAACAACATACTGAATCTAAAACATCACAACAACATACTGAATCTAAAACATCACAACATCCTGAATCTAAAACATCACAACAACATCCTGAATCTAAAACATCACAACAACATACTGAATCTAAAACATCACAATATCCTGATTTTAAAACAACACAATGACATCTTGAATCTAAAACATCACAACAACATACTGAATCTAAAACATCACAACAATATCCTGAATCTAAAACATCACAACAACATACTGAAGCTAAAACATCACAACAACATACTGAATCTAAAACATCACAACAACATCCTGAATCTAAAACATCACAACAACATACTGAATCTAAAACATCACAACAACATCCTGAATCTAAAACATCAGAACAACATCCTGAATCTAAAACATCACAACAACATACTGAATCTAAAACATCACAACATCCTGATTCTAAAACAACACAATGACATCTTGAATCTAAAACATCACAACAATATACTGAATCTAAAACATCACAACAACATACTGAATCTAAAACATCACAACAACATACTGAATCTAAAACATCACAACAACATCCTGAATCTAAAACATCAGAACAACATCCTGAATCTAAAACATCACAACAACATCCTGAATCTGAAACATCACAACATCCTGATTCTAAAACAACACAACATCCTGAATCTAAAACATCACAACAACATCCTGAATCTAAAACATCACAACATCCTGATTCTAAAACAACACAACATCCTGAATCTAAAACATCACAACAACATCCTGAATCTAAAACATTGGAACAAATGTCAGTATAAAACATAGCTTCAATGTCCAGCCAAAAGATGCATACAGACATGCCTACCCCTGCCAGTCAAAAGTAGGAACAGTCATGTCTAAAAAGAGGAACATATACACTGACGCTACTTTACTAAGTCAAAAATAAAAATAATTAATTAAAAACGAGTCTAATGACACTTCTAGTTATATATAACTAGTCTCTAGGCTACATTATAATACTGATTAGTGTCAGCTTACATACAACAACAAAAAGTTAACCTGAGAACCCCCCCCCTCCCCCAATAAAAACCACAGCTTTGTTGATTATTTATGCCTTGCTTTGTTCTAGGCTATATGAACAACAAATGCTGAAGGCTTCGTATGTAATATAAAATATAAGTTAAGAGCTAAGACCTAGATCTACCTAGTAAAAGTCCTTGTTACTTCTTACTAAGTTCTTAATCTATAATATAATCGGGCAAGTAGTGTGTCAGTCCTTCCTTCGGTCATCGCTATAGCTTTTGGAACCATAAAAGTAATAGCTTTTGGAACCATAAAAGTAATCATTCGCACCATGCTGTGCTTTTCAGTGCACCTTTTCAGTGCACCGCAGTGTCTTATTATAAGTATTAGAGTAGGGTTTGTTTATATAGCGGCATAGAGCTATTTTATAATTGCCACGGTTTTTACTCTTTCGCATAACGTCAAGAAAATATTAAATACACGCAAACTGCTAAAACGTATTAAAAAGATAAATGTCAAATATCATTTTAGTTTATATTCCTAGAAATAATGGATACATTTCCATAAAAGTAGGTAGAAAAAGCTAATTAATTCCACTTTTTTTTTGTGGTAATTGTTTCAAGGGAGGTAATTTGAAAATATATTTAACTCCAACAATAATTTAAGTTAATCTTTTTTTTATTACTACCGCATTGATTAGTCTATGTTAAGGTTCATAATTAAAAGAGAAAAATGTTAAGATTATTTATATTATTTTCTAATTAGTCTATGATTTCTCAAAATCACTATTTTTTGTTTTTGTTTTTTGGTGCTAACAGATGGTGAAATTTTATAATTATAATATAGAGAATGGTGGAAAGACTCTCTCTGGGCGCGGACGCCTGGGAAAATCGTGATTTTCGGTGGTAATTCTAATTACATTGCCAATGTGTTTTCTTAGAACCATAAAAGTAAACACCACTTGCCGTACATTCATTTGCATCGCATTGTTTTATTGTAAGTTATGGAGTAGGATCTATTTATGTGACTTAAATTTTTAATGTTGGAAAGGGTCTCTTTGGGCTCGGACGCCTAAAAAGCGTGTTGTTTGGTGGTGATTCTAATGTTGTGGTTGTGTTTTTTTTTTTTTTTGGTTGTGTTGTGGTTGTATTGTGGTTGTTTTTTGGTTGTGTTGTGGTTGTGTTGTGGCTGTGTTGTGGTTGTGTTTTTGTTGTGGTTGTGTTTTTGTTGTGGTTGTGTTGTAGTTGTGTTGTGTTGTGTTTGTGTTGTGGTTGTGTTGTGGTTGTGTTGTGTTTGTGGTTGTGTTTTTTGTGTTTGTGTTGTTTTTGTTTGTTTTGTTCTGTTCCAAAGTTGGTACATTTAAAAAAGATTTACCGTGGCGGAGCACGGGATGCAGCTAGTAATAGTATAATAGTAGTTACAACTTACAAGATAGATCTGTTACATATCAAGTACTAGATCTATCTACTATTTAGTATCTAGATCTAGAAATAGCATGTTATTCATGATTTTATTGTATTTTTCTCCCTACATGTTATTTAAGGCATAATTTAAATCTACAATTCAATTGCAATTACTAAATGTTCAAAAGCTAGATTGCCCACATTTTCTATAGGTAGATATAATATTAGATAATACTTGTAAATATTGTAAGTAAACTAGGAAACTGAAACGGGTGCCAGAGGGATCATTTTTCCTTGCTTTTAAAAAATTTTGATTACTTTTCTTTATTAATTTTTTTTTTTTAAACCGGGACAAGCTTCGACAAAAACAGGGACAAGCTTCGACAAAAACAGGGACAAGCTTCGACAAAAACAGGGACAAGCTTCGACAAAAACAGGGACAAGCTTCGACAAAAACAGGGACAAGCTTCGACAAAAACAGGGACAAGCTTCGACAAAAACAGGAAAACGGAACAAGAGACGAGACAATTTTTTGTAAAAACAGCGGAACCATTCCGCTATGGGCGGAACGGAAGGCATGTCTGTCCAGCCAAAAGATGCATACAACAAATGTCCAGCCAAAAGATGCATACAACAAAAGTCCAGCCAAAAGAAGCATACAACAAATGTCCAGCCAAAAGATGCATACAACAAAAGTCCAGCCAAAAGATGCATACAACAAATGTCCAGCCAAAAGATGCATACAACAAATGTCCAGCCAAAAGATGCATACAACAAATGTCCAGCCAAAAGATGCATACAACAAATGTCCAGCCAAAAGATGCATACAACAAAAGTCCAGCCAAAAGATGCATACAACAAATGTCCAGCCAAAAGATGCATACAACAAATGTCCAGCCAAAAGATGCATACAACAAATGTCCAGCCAAAAGATGCATACAACAAATGTCCAGCCAAAAGATGCATACAACAAATGTCCAGCCAAAAGATGCATACAACAAATGTCCAGCCAAAAGATGCATACAAGTCTAGCCAAAAGATGCATACAACAAATGTAAAGCCAAAAGATGCATACAAAAAATGTCCAGCCAAAAGATGCATACAACTAATGTCCAGCCAAAAGATGCATACAACAAATGTCCAGCCAAAAGATGCATACAACAAATGTCCAGCCAAAAGATGCATACAACAAATGTAAAGCCAAAAGATGCATACAAAAAATGTCCAGCCAAAAGATGCATACAACAAAAGTCCAGCCAAAAGATGCATACAACAAATGTCCAGCCAAAAGATGCATACAACAAATGTCCAGCCAAAAGATGCATACAACAAATGTCCAGCCAAAAGATGCATACAACAAATGTCCAGCCAAAAGATGCATACAACAAATGTCCAGCCAAAAGATGCATACAACAAATGTCCAGCCAAAAGATGCATACAACAAATGTCCAGCCAAAAGATGCATACAAGTCTAGCCAAAAGATGCATACAACAAATGTAAAGCCAAAAGATGCATACAAAAAATGTCCAGCCAAAAGATGCATACAACAAATGTCCAGCCAAAAGATGCATACAAGTCTAGCCAAAAGATGCATACAACAAATGTAAAGCCAAAAGATGCATACAAAAAATGTCCAGCCAAAAGATGCATACAACAAATGTCCAGCCAAAAGATGCATACAAGTCTAGCCAAAAGATGCATACAACAAATGTAAAGCCAAAAGATGCATACAACAAATGTCCAGCCAAAAGATGCATACAACAAATGTAAAGCCAAAAGATGCATACAACAAATGTCCAGCCAAAAGATGCATACAACAAATGTCCAGCCAAAAGATGCATACAACAAAAGTCCAGCCAAAAGATGCATACAACAAATGTCCAGCCAAAAGATGCATACAACAAATGTCCAGCCAAAAGATGCATACAACAAATGTCCAGCCAAAAGATGCATACAACAAAAGTCCAGCCAAAAGATGCATACAACAAATGTCCAGCCAAAAGATGCATACAACAAATGTCCAGCCAAAAGATGCATACAACAAATGTCCAGCCAAAAGATGCATACAACAAATGTCCAGCCAAAAGATGCATACAACAAAAGTCCAGCCAAAAGATGCATACAACAAATGTCCAGCCAAAAGATGCATACAACAAATGTCCAGCCAAAAGATGCATACAACAAAAGTCCAGCCAAAAGATGCATACAACAAATGTCCAGCCAAAAGATGCATACAACAAATGTCCAGCCAAAAGATGCATACAACAAATGTCCAGCCAAAAGATGCATACAACAAATGTCCAGCCAAAAGATGCATACAACAAATGTCCAGCCAAAAGATGCATACAACAAATGTCCAGCCAAAAGATGAATACAACAAATGTCCAGCCAAAAGATGCATACAACAAAAGTCCAGCCAAAAGATGCATACAACAAATGTCCAGCCAAAAGATGCATACAACAAATGTCCAGCCAAAAGATGCATACAACAAATGTCCAGCCAAAAGATGCATACAACAAATGTCCAGCCAAAAGATGCATACAACAAATGTCCAGCCAAAAGATGCATACAACAAATGTCCAGCCAAAAGATGCATACAACAAATGTAAAGCCAAAAGATGCATACAACAAATGTCCAGCCAAAAGATGCATACAACAAATGTCCAGCCAAAAGATGCATACAACAAATGTCCAGCCAAAAGATGCATACAACAAATGTCCAGCCAAAAGATGCATACAACAAATGTCCAGCCAAAAGATGAATACAACAAATGTCCAGCCAAAAGATGCATACAACAAATGTCCAGCCAAAAGATGCATACAACAAATGTCCAGCCAAAAGATGCATACAACAAATGTCCAGCCAAAAGATGCATACAACAAATGTCCAGCCAAAAGATGCATACAACAAAAGTCCAGCCAAAAGATGCATACAACAAATGTCCAGCCAAAAGATGCATACAACAAATGTCCAGCCAAAAGATGAATACAACAAATGTCCAGCCAAAAGATGCATACAACAAAAGTCCAGCCAAAAGATGCATACAACAAATGTCCAGCCAAAAGATGCATACAACAAATGTCCAGCCAAAAGATGCATACAACAAATGTCCAGCCAAAAGATGCATACAACAAATGTCCAGCCAAAAGATGCATACAACAAAAGTCCAGCCAAAAGATGCATACAACAAATGTCCAGCCAAAAGATGCATACAACAAATGTCCAGCCAAAAGATGAATACAACAAATGTCCAGCCAAAAGATGCATACAACAAAAGTCCAGCCAAAAGATGCATACAACAAATGTCCAGCCAAAAGATGCATACAACAAATGTCCAGCCAAAAGATGCATACAACAAATGTCCAGCCAAAAGATGCATACAACAAATGTCTGACCTGCCAGTGTTGTGTCATGGAGTGCCAGACCCCCACCTTGCCAGTACGACTCAGCGCAACCAGCTGGCTGCCAATAAAGAACAGGTTGTCTACAGACACATGGAGGTCAAACACACCTGAAACATGGAGGTCAAACACACCTGAAACATGGAGGTCAAACACACCTGAAACATGGAGGTCAAACACACCTGAAACATGGAGGTCAAACACACCTGAGAAAATATTTGACCAGACCAACAAAATGCAGGGATGTGACCAGACCATCAAAGTTTTTTGGGTTTGTGTTGTTGTTTTTTTTGCGGAAACTGATGAGAATACTCCTGGGGAAGTTCCTTTGAAAAACCGACAGGGTGCAATTTGGTGCCCCAGGTTATTCCTTAAGCGCTATGGCCCATACATTAGTTTTAAAGAGTGTGATAAATATGGATAAGAAGTAGTACTATAGTCGTTCACAATATACTAAATCAGGCGCGCCCAGTGCAGGGTGCAATATGGCGCCCTAGACTATCCCGTCAGCGCTATGGCGCCTATATTCATTTCAAAAAGGTTGATAGACAATGTATGACCTAAAACCTGATAATGTATGACCTAAACCCTGGTAATGTATGACCTAAACACTGATAATGTATGACCTATCTGTCTGCTGTCTCCATCGTCCCATACGGCCCAGAGCCAGACCGTGGAGCCAGCTGAGGCGGCCACCATCTTGCTGTTGTCCTGGCTGGAGGTGACCACTTTAGCATTGAGGGCCACCCTCTCCACCTGGCTCTCCATGTGCTGGCTCGTCCACAGCAGGTGCCAGCCGGTGGAATCCTTCATCCTACAGGTACACACACAGCAGTTAGCCACAGCTCAAACATTTAACCACATAGCCACAGCTCAAACATTTAACCACATAGCCACAGCTCAAATATTTAACCACATAGCCACAGTTCAAACATTTAACCACAGCTCAAACATTTAACCACATAGCCACAGCTCAAACATTTAACCACATAGCCACAGCTCAAACATTTAACCACATAGCCACAGCTCAAACATTTAACCACATAGCCACAGCTCAAACATTTAACCACATAGCCACAGCTCAAACATTTAACCACATAGCCACAGCTCAAACATTTAACCACATAGCCACAGCTCAAACATTTAACCACATAGCCACAGCTCAAACATTTAACCACATAGCCACATGACATCTACGCACAACCTGCAGCAATAGAGCACTGACCTGAAGCAGGAGATGAAGTGGGGGTAGGCAGCACAGATCCAGTTTTGGTGGCCTCTCAACATTGTTACACTTAAGGCAGTCCTATCTGAGAGAATATCAACAACATTGTTACACTTAAGGCAGTCCTATCTGAGAGAATATCAACAACATTGTTACACTTAAGGCAGTCCTATATGAGAGAATATCAACAACATTGTTACACTTAAGGCAGTCCTATCTGAGAGAATATCAACAACATTGTTACACTTAAGGCAGTCCTATCTGAGAGAATATCAACAACATTGTTACACTTAAGGCAGTCCTATCTGAGAGAATATCAACAACATTGTTACACTTAAGGCAGTCCTATATGAGAGAATATCAACAACATTGTTACACTTAAGGCAGTCCTATCTGAGAGAATATCAACAACATTGTTACACTTAAGGCAGTCCTATATGAGAGAATATCAACAACATTGTTACACTTAAGGCAGTCCTAGCTGAGAGAATATCAACAACATTGTTACACTTAAGGCAGTCCTATCTGAGAGAATATCAACAACATTGTTACACTTAAGTCAGTCCTAGCTGAGAGAATATCAACAACATTGTTACACTTAAGGCCTAGCTGAGAGAATATCAACAACATTGTTACACTTAAGGCAGTCCTAGCTGAGAGAATATCAACAACATTGTTACACTTAAGGCAGTCCTATCTGAGAGAATATCAACAACATTGTTACACTTAAGGCAGTCCTATATGAGAGAATATCAACAACATTGTTACACTTAAGGCAGTCCTATCTGAGAGAATATCAACAACATTGTTACACTTAAGGCAGTCCTATATGAGAGAATATCAACAACATTGTTACACTTAAGGCAGTCCTAGCTGAGAGAATATCAACAACATTGTTACACTTAAGGCAGTCCTATCTGAGAGAATATCAACAACATTGTTACACTTAAGGCCTAGCTGAGAGAATATCAACAACATTGTTACACTTAAGGCAGTCCTAGCTGAGAGAATATCAACAACATTGTTACACTTAAGGCAGTCCTATCTGAGAGAATATCAACAACATTGTTACACTTAAGGCAGTCCTATATGAGAGAATATCAACAACATTGTTACACTTAAGGCAGTCCTAGCTGAGAGAATATCAACAACATTGTTACACTTAAGGCAGTCCTAGCTGAGAGAATATCAACAACATTGTTACACTTAAGGCAGTCCTAGCTGAGAGAATATCAACAACATTGTTACACTTAAGGCAGTCCTATCTGAGAGAATATCAACAACATTGTTACACTTAAGGCAGTCCAAGCTATAGACTGAGCTGGACATTCTAGGGTTAGGGTTAGCAATGTTTACCTTGTTTGTGTAGGCTGGTATAGACTGAAGTGGACATTCTAACAATGTTTACCTTGTTTGTGTAGGCTGGTATAGACTGAAGTGGACATTCTAGCAATGTTTACCTTGTTTGTGTAGGCTGGTATAGACTGAAGTGGACTTGATACCAGGTGATGACAATCTGAAGTGGAGGCATCAACAAGTTGGTTGAAGGTATTTTCACATTGTACCCGCTGGGTCATATGGATGGATGACATGGATGGGTGAGATGGATGGGTCATTTGGATGGATGACATGGATGGGTGAGATGGATGGATGACATGGATGGGTGAGATGGATGGATGACATGGATGGGTGAGATGGATGGATGACATGGATGGGTCATTTGGATGGATGACATGGATGGGTGAGATGGATGGGTCATTTGGATGGATGACATGGATGGGTGAGATGGATGGATGACATGGATGGGTGAGATGGATGGATGACATGGATGGGTGAGATGGATGGATGACATGGATGGGTCATTTGGATGGATGACATGGATGGGTGAGATGGATGGGTCATTTGGATGGATGACATGGATGGGTGAGATGGATGGGTGAGATGGATGGGTCATTTGGATGGATGACATGGATGGGTGAGATGGATGGGTGAGATGGATGGGTCATTTGGATGGATGACATGGATGGGTGAGATGGATGGGTCATTTGGATGGATGACATGGATGGGTGAGATGGATGGGTCATTTGGATGGATGACATGGATGGGTGAGATGGATGGGTCATTTGGATGGATGACATGGATGGGTGAGATGGATGGGTCATTTGGATGGATGACATGGATGGGTGAGATGGATGGGTCATTTGGATGGATGACATGGATGGATGACATGGATGGGTCATTTGGATGGATGAGATGGATGGGTGAGATGGATGGGTGAGATGGATGGGTCATTTGGATGGATGACATGGATGGGTGAGATGGATGGGTCATTTGGATGGATGACATGGATGGATGACATGGATGGGTGAGATGGATGGGTCATTTGGATGGATGACATGGATGGGTGAGATGGATGGGTCATTTGGATGGATGACATGGATGGATGACATGGATGGATGACATGGATGGGTGAGATGGATGGGTCATTTGGATGGATGACATGGATGGGTGAGATGGATGGGTCATTTGGATGGATGACATGGATGGGTGACATGGATGGATGACATGGATGGGTGACATGGATGGATGACATGGATGGATGACATGGATGGATGACATGGATGGATGACATGGATGGATGACATGGATGGATGACATGGATGGATGACATGGATGGGTGAGATGGATGGGTGAGATGGGTGGGTGAGATGGGTGGCTAGGCTAAAAGATGCTGCAAACACCCACCTGCCCTGAGGATGTGGATGACTTGACCTTTGACCCTCACCACTCTCCACACTGACCACAGAGAGCCTGGAGGAGTTAGGCAGAGGTGGAGCTGGCCATGAGAAACATGCAATCAATCAGCATGTGCTTACATCAGCATGTGCTTACAGCAACATGTGCTTACATCTTCTAGCTATTTTGTGTTACAGGGGCTTCACTTACACACGTGGGCTTTCAGTTTTTTTTTTACATTGGATAAATGGGACACACACTTGTCCTGCCACACACACACGTCCTGCCACACACACACACACACCCTGCCACACACAAACCAGTTAAAAATGTACTCACCAGGAGGATGAAAGTAGCCATGAAATAGAACATCACCGCAAGAAGAATGATCTAAATCTTCACACAAGGAAAGACGCCGCACTGAAAGTAGACATGACTGCACATCAACCACACAAAGAGAGGGAGACATCAACCACAGAGAGGGAGACATAAATCTTACATAAAGAGGAGAGGGAGGAGTTAGAAACCTACCTAAAGCATTAGAGAGGGAGGAGTTAGAAACCTACCTAAAGCATTAGAGAGGGAGGAGTTAGAAACCTACCTAAAGCATTAGAGAGGGAGGAGTTAGAAACCTACCTAAAGCATTAGAGAGGGAGGAGTTAGAAACCTACCTAAAGCATTAGAGAGGGAGGAGTTAGAAACCTACCTAAAGCATTAGAGAGGGAGGAGTTAGAAACCTACCTAAAGCATTAGAGAGGGAGGAGTTAGAAACCTACCTAAAGCATTAGAGAGGGAGGAGTTAGAAACCTACCTAAAGCATTAGAGAGGGAGGAGTTAGAAACCTACCTAAAGCATTAGAGAGGGAGGAGTTAGAAACCTACCTAAAGCATTAGAGAGGGAGGAGTTAGAAACCTACCTAAAGCATTAGAGAGGGAGGAGTTAGAAACCTACCTAAAGCATTAGAGAGGGAGGAGTTAGAAACCTACCTAAAGCATTAGAGAGGGAGGAGTTAGAAACCTACCTAAAGCATTAGAGAGGGAGGAGTTAGAAACCTACCTAAAGCATTAGAGAGGGAGGAGTTAGAAACCTACCTAAAGCATTAGAGAGGGAGGAGTTAGAAACCTACCTAAAGCATTAGAGAGGGAGGAGTTAGAAACCTACCTAAAGCATTAGAGAGGGAGGAGTTAGAAACCTACCTAAAGCATTAGAGAGGGAGGAGTTAGAAACCTACCTAAAGCATTAGAGAGGGAGGAGTTAGAAACCTACCTAAAGCATTAGAGAGGGAGGAGTTAGAAACCTACCTAAAGCATTAGAGAGGGAGGAGTTAGAAACCTACCTAAAGCATTAGAGAGGGAGGAGTTAGAAACCTACCTAAAGCATTAGAGAGGGAGGAGTTAGAAACCTACCTAAAGCATTAGAGAGGGAGGAGTTAGAAACCTACCTAAAGCATTAGAGAGGGAGGAGTTAGAAACCTACCTAAAGCATTAGAGAGGGAGGAGTTAGAAACCTACCTAAAGCATTAGAGAGGGAGGAGTTAGAAACCTACCTAAAGCATTAGAGAGGGAGGAGTTAGAAACCTACCTAAAGCATTAGAGAGGGAGGAGTTAGAAACCTACCTAAAGCATTAGAGAGGGAGGAGTTAGAAACCTACCTAAAGCATTAGAGAGGGAGGAGTTAGAAACCTACCTAAAGCATTAGAGAGGGAGGAGTTAGAAACCTACCTAAAGCATTAGAGAGGGAGGAGTTAGAAACCTACCTAAAGCATTAGAGAGGGAGGAGTTAGAAACCTACCTAAAGCATTAGAGAGGGAGGAGTTAGAAACCTACCTAAAGCATTAGAGAGGGAGGAGTTAGAAACCTACCTAAAGCATTAGAGAGGGAGGAGTTAGAAACCTACCTAAAGCATTAATCCCGTAGAACTCTGCCTCGTGCCTCAGTGCAGATATGTCAACATTTCTGGAGGAACATTTTCATTTTAGCATGGATGTGTCAAGTGATGCAGATTATAGAGTGTAGCTGATGTGTAGCGTGTGACAGATGTATAGAGTGTAGGTGATGTGTAGCGTGTGACAGATGTATAGAGTGTAGGTGACGTGTAGCGTGTGACAGATGTATAGAGTGTAGGTAATGTGTAGCGTGTGACAGATGTATAGAGTGTAGGTGACATGTATAGTGTAGCTGACGTGTAGCGTGTGACAGATGTATGGAGTGTGGGTGACGTGTAGCGTGTGACAGATGTATAGAGTGTAGGTGATGTGTATAGTGTAGCTGACGTGTAGCAGACGTGTAGCAGATTATAGACTGCAGCGGCACCAACATAAGACAGTACATCTCACCTTAAGCTGATCTCTTTTGTACGCAAGAAGTTCAACAACACAGCAAATAGTTTGGGATCACGTGTAGCGTGTGACAGATGTATGGAGTGTGGGTGACGTGTAGCGTGTGACAGATGTATAGAGTGTAGGTGATGTGTATAGTGTAGCTGACGTGTAGCAGACGTGTAGCAGATTATAGACTGCAGCGGCACCAACATAAGACAGTACATCTCACCTTAAGCTGATCTCTTTTGTACGCAAGAAGTTCAACAACACAGCAAATAGTTTGGGATCGCGATCAATAAAAATCTAATCAACATGATAGATAAAAACCTAATTAACAGTAATAAGGGAAAGTAATAGTCAAAACCAAATCATTAAAAAGGTTAAGCAAATTATTTGGTTGTTGACCTTAAAATAAGACTAAACATTGAAACTTTTTAAAAATGAAAATAAACACAGAAAAAACAGCAGATCTATTTAAAATAGCTATTATAAGTGGATCTGATAAGCTTGTGATTTAGACATAGCTGCATTTAGTTTTCAGTAAACCCAACACGTCAGTGGAAGTTGTAAAATTTACTTTAAAAGAAAAAGTAATTTAAACTAATTGTTTCATGTTACATCACATTACACTGTCATCGGATCTTTAACCAGTGGCTAATTTGAAACTAATAGGTTTGGTGAAAATTTGTTCCCAAGTTACACACATTTAGTAGCAATCATGGGGATAAAAGGATCAAGTAAAAGAGTAAAACATCCACTAAATTATTTCAAGAAACAAATGTCAACTGATGAGCTGACAAACTTAGAGTACCAAGAACAATAATGGAGTGCTGTCACGCTTACCGCTCCAGTTTGGTCCCTGTCTGATGAAATTCTTCCACTGAGCAAGCTGGGAGCAAATCAAAAGTATGGCCATCAACACATTTCAGCTTCATTTTAAAAATACAATCATTATACTGAGAAACAGTTGCAGACGTGAAAGGAATAATACTGAAAAACAGTTGCAGACATGAATGAGAAACAGTTGCAGATGTGAATGGAATAATACTGAAAAACAGTTGCAGACATGAATGAGAAACAGTTGCAGATGTGAATGAAATAATACTGAGAAATAGTTGCAGAGGTGAATGGAATAATTATGAGAAACAGTTGCAGACGTGAATGAGAAACAGTTGCAGATGTGAATGAGAAACAGTTGCAGATGTGAATGGAATAATTATGAGAAACAGTTGCAGACGTGAATGAGAAACAGTTGCAGATGTGAATGGAATAATACTGAGAAACAGTTGCAGACGTGAATGAGAAACAGTTGCAGATGTGAATGGAATAATACTGAGAAACAGTTGCAGACGTGAATGAAGAACAGTTGCAGATGTGAATGGAATAATACTGAGAAACAGTTGCAGACGTGAATGAGAAACAGTTGCAGATGTGAATGGAATAATTATGAGAAACAGTTGCAGACATGAATGAGAAACAGTTGCAGATGTGAATGGAATAATACTGAGAAACAGTTGCAGACGTGAATGAGAAACAGTTGCAGATGTGAATGGAATAATACTGAGAAACAGTTGCAGACGTGAATGAGAAACAGTTGCAGATGTGAATGGAATAACACTGAGAAACAGTTGCAGACGTGAATGAGAAACAGTTGCAGATGTGAATGGAATAATACTGAGAAACAGTTGCAGACGTGAATGAGAAACAGTTGCAGATGTGAATGGAATAATACTGAGAAACAGTTGCAGACGTGAAAGAGAAACAGTTGCAGATGTGAATGGAATAATACTGAGAAACAGTTGCAGACATGAATGAGAAACAGTTGCAGATGTGAATGGAATAATACTGAGAGAAAAATTGCAGACGTGAATGAAAGACACACAAACCTGGTGAAAAATGTGTCAGGGTTCCAAGTCAATGTTTGTCTGGAGGTGGAAAATCTGCAAAAATAACAAGGGTATCAATTATTGCCTTGACACGCTGTTAGTGTCATGACACCACTCTATTAGTGCCATGACACCACACACTGTTAGTGCCATGACACCACACTCAGTGCCATGACACCACACACTGTTAGTGCCATGACATCACACGCTGTTAGTGCCATGACATCACACGCTGTTAGTGCCATGACATCACACGCTGTTTGTGCCATGACACCACACACTGTTAGTGCCATGACATCACACACTGTTAGTGCCATGACATCACACTCTGTTAGTGCCATGACACCACACTCTGTTAGTGCCATGACACCACACACTGTTAGTGCCATGACACCACACACTGTTAGTGCCATGACACCACACTGTAAGTGCCATGACACCACACTCTGTTAGTGCCATGACACCACACACTGTTAGTGCCATGACACCACTCTGTTAGTGCCATGACACCACACTTAGTGCCATGACACCACACTCTGTTAGTGCCATGACATCACAAGCTGTTAGTGCCATGACACCACACTTAGTGCCATGACACCACTCTGTTAGTGCCATGACACCACACTCTGTTAGTGCCATGACACCACACTCTGTTAGTGCCATGACACCACACTGTAAGTGCCATGACACCACAGACTGTTAGTGCCATGACACCACAGACTGTTAGTGCCATGACACCACACTCTGTTAGTGCCATGACATCACAAGCTGTTAGTGCCATGACACCACACTTAGTGCCATGACACCACTCTGTTTGTGCCATGACACCACACTCTGTTAGTGCCATGACACCACACACTGTTAGTGCCATGACACCACAGACTGTTAGTGCCATGACACCACACTGTAAGTGCCATGACACCACACTCTGTTAGTGCCATGACACCACACACTGTTAGTGCCATGACACCACACTGTAAGTGCCATGACACCACAGACTGTTAGTGCCATGACACCACAGACTGTTAGTGCCATGACACCACACACTGTTAGTGCCATGACACCACACTCTGTTAGTGCCATGACACCACACTCTGTTAGTGCCATGACACCACACTCTGTTAGTGCCATGACACCACAGACTGTTAGTGCCATGACACCACACTCAGTGCCATGACACCACTCTGTTAGTGCCATGACACCACACACTATTAGTGCCATGACACCACTCTGTTAGTGCCATGACACCACCCACTATTAGTGCCATGACACCACACTCAGTGTCATGACACCACACTGTAAGTGCCATGACACCACACTGTTAGTGTCATGACACCACACACTAGGCCTAGTATTAGTTAGTTAGGCCTAATTATATAATAGTTTAAATAAAGTTAGGCCTAGCCTTAGGCCTATTTATATATTTATTAAAAATTATTAGGCCTAGTACAAATTTATTAGGGATAGAAATAAAAAAAAATAGCTGATAGCAGTGAGTGAGATAGGCCCTAGCTACTTTTAGCTACTGCTAGATCTAATTTTACAGTATTTTAGTAAATTAGTAGTCTAGATCTAGACTAGAGTCTGACTAGACTGTCACTAGATCTAGTAGACTTAGACTCACTAGAATCTAGATCAAGTAGTACTAGATCAAGATCTGGTAGTACTAGATCTAGTAGTACTAGTTTGTAGAACAGTGGCTTACTAGATCTATTAGTACTAGTGTATTTAGTATTTAACTATTTACTATTAGAATCTACTAAGCTTAGTAGTTAGTAGGCTTAGGGCTTAGTTAGGGGCTTAGGTAGATTCTACCTTGTTCCGCCAACATTGAGATGTACAATTTCACTTGACGTAGTAGTAGTGCTTGTCATTATTTTATTTATTAGATTGTACGCTGTTGATTATTATTAATAGTATATTTATAATAGTATAGATCTGTTGTTACATCATTACTAGTAACAAAATTATATCTAATCTAGATCTAGATCTACTTAATAAATAGATCTACTTAGATAATGATTTAATGGATCATAATGCCTTGTAAAATTAGAGATGTACTATTTACCCGACAGTGACGAATATTGAAGAAAAACAAACTATGCTTACTATAAAATTCAATCAGGCTACATCTGTGATGTTTAAGAATTTATTTATAGCGTCTTCTTAAAATTTAAATAATTATAAAGAGGAAGAAAGGTAATAGCAAGGGGTCGTCCATATATCACGTCACACTCGTAGGGGGGACGGTCCGTAATTTTGTGACGATGTGTGATGAGGGGGAGGGGGGTCAGATGGTGTGACGTCACATTTTTGCATTATAAAAAAGCTGAGTTAGAAAACAAGTTTTAGCCGTTATTTCGCGTTTTAGAAAACGGTTTTAATATATGCATTAATACAAACATGATCCAATCACCAAGAAACACTGTGAGGCCGTTTAGAATAATTCAGACAAACCTCTACTGACCGTGAAATTTCCTACCACAACCCCCCTCACGAGGAGCAGTGCCTCCCCCCCCCCCCTCGAAGAGAGGCCAGAAAGCAACTTTGACTCCTGTAAAGTTTTCTACCATTAAATTTTTTTATACGTTTGGAGAGCGGTTCCTTAACATTACGGCGGTTCGGTTTGCCACCCAGATTTCCCCAAAAGCTTTCTTAATGCCGGGGGTCAGGATTACTGCTAAATTCAAAGGTCAAACGGCACTGGCGTATCAGCCGTTGCCCCGGGCTCCCCCTGTGAGTACTACGGCCCATACACTTATTTTAATGAGCGCCATGTCCTAGGGATACGGAGAAAAAAAATAAAGGGTGTCCTCGGCAGTAGTATACGATTAGGCTTCCCGAGTCTCTCCATTATTATGATGTTATGAAACAAGTTGTAGATATGTCCTTTAGGTCAGTAACTTGGCCACCCTAAGGATCGATCATACAGAAGCAACTAAAATGGACTTCAAGGAACATATTATTATTAATCATTTTGCAAACTTATAAGAAAAGAAAAAAAAAATTTAAATAAATCACGAGCAACTTTTTAAAATTTGTATTTGGTTAGTGGCGTCAAAGGGTTCGATATCACCCCGTCCAACAATTTTGCATTTCCAGTGGAGTGTTACCTCCTCTCCTTAATATATTATTATTTTAACTGAATTAAACATAGGTTTGACAGTTTTCGTCATGGTGTCACGCCTAAATTGTGAGGCCCCTGCCCTGTGATGCTACTGTGTTAGGTTACTTAAATGTTACAGGCTTACAGTTAATTTGTTAGTTGGTTTTTACATAAAAATGATATAAAATCAAAGGTATTTTACGTTACGGGTACTAGATCTACATAATAATACCGTATAAATACACAATTAGGACGTATAAAATACACAATTTACAGATTGACGTAGGGGCCCAATTATAATTTTTGCATAGGGGCCCGAAAATCCTAGCTATGCCACTGAAGGTATCCAATAGATAATAATTAATATAGTGACCCACGCTTTACTTTATAGTTATTTAAATAGTACATTATTATTATACATTTAAACAAAATCATTTATATTCTCCTTTATTGCATTTTTACATAAAAGCTTGTTATTAAAAGGTTGGGTTTTTTTTCATGCTTTTTTAAAATACTGATCTGGCTTACGATCATAGATCTAGATCTCCTTCTAGTAGATCTAGTAAGGTAGTTCAAGTTCTGTAACAACAATTTCCGCTTTCTACTAGATCTTGATCTATTAGACTGCTATCTAGAATCTAGATCTAGAAATCTAGATCTAGTATCTAACAGCCTCTACGATTAAAAATCTATAATATAATATTATACCCTATAGGCCTATAGATTTAGATCTAGAATCTAGATTTAGTTTTAAAGATTTATGAACAACAAACATGTAGACTAGAGTCTAGACTAGACTGATCTAGATTAGATAATTAATTAATAATTAATCTAAAAGAAAAAAATTAAATGGATGAAAAGCAAAGCGAAAAACACAGATCTATTGTTGTAAGGCGAAGGCTTGACCGAACACCAGACAAATTGTCCAGAAAGCTTAAAGATAAAGAGAAAAGTACCATAACTACGCTTAGAACGGCTTTGGAAGAAGCAAAACTCCGTTCAGAAAAGTTAAAAGACGAAAATGAATTAAAGTAGGCATATTGATTTATTATAGATAGATAGGCCTATAGTATAATTTTAATATAGTCTAGATCTAGGTCTATTTTTTTAAATAGTCTATAAATTTATATATTAGGAAGTCTTGGTCGGCAACCTGCGGCTCGCGAGCCACATGCGGCTCTTTTGGTGTCACGGTGTGGCTCTCCAGCTCCTTGCACAAATATTAATAGTTAGGCCTAAGCCTATATTATTTAATTTTCAAAACTCATAACAAAAATTATGCTGTAAGGATACACAATACACAAGTTTACACAGGATAAAAACACTCAGCCCTTTGACAACAATTTGCTGGCCACTGCCCAAGTGCTGACTTTTTCGAATATCGTTAATTTGGGAATGATAATTTAGAATGCATTTCCCTATCTGTCAGTAATCATTAATTTGACGTCAGTGGCGTAGTTATTATTAGCTTCCTACTGTTGAGCCAGGTACAGGACGGTGGGGTACGAGTTTTCCCTGGGGTCTGTGGGATGGAAGATAGGCCTGTGGAGAACCAAATGACAGAAGTGAGAGATACACGCTAATCAAGCCAATATCCATGCCAGTTAGTCGGAGTTTGCCGTGTTTAGGCCTGCCTGGCTAATGAGAGACACCTTCTGAGCCGGTGTTATCCGTAAAAAAAAAATTTAAGTAACAGCTTCTAAAGTGGATTGGGATATTCCTATATTTTAATTTTTTTATTACTAATTTCATTCTTCTGGCGAAACAAGTATATGTTTTTATATGAATAAATATTATTTCATATTTAAAGCTATGTATTTTAAATAACAAATCAAATGTATTTACCCAATCCTAATCAAATAATAAAATATTGAAATAAAATGTCAGTGGCTCTTTAAAAACTGGGAAATTGTCAAAATTTTAACTTTTGGCTCTTCCGTCTCAAAAGGTTGCCGACCCCTGGTCTATTCTATAGTATAATATATTATATAATATTATATAATAATATAATAGTATTAAAAATTATTAGAGCATTAGGCACTATTTTAGTGTATTACTTCTATTGGGCCTATACTATAGATCTGGCCTATACTATAGGCATAGGCCCTAATTAATAATTAGGCCTATTTATTATTTTTATTAGTATTTTCATTTTGTATGACATGAGTTGTGAACTTTTGAGTACGATGAACTATTTTACTATAGGCCAGGCCTAACATCTATATATAAATCTCTTCTTGGAGACCCTAGAAAACACCAAGCTGTAAGCGTGCCTAGCCGCACCCTCTCCTCCTCCATCCCCATATGGTCTGGTGAGCTGTGGTTCACGCTGTTTACAATCGTAGAGCCGGGTTTAGTGACGGCTAATAGGGGCAGATAATTTAGTTTGAAACGATTTTAAACTTAGGGGAGGTAACTAAGAGGAGGCTGCTTTCACGAGGGGTGTGGTTGGGGGAAAAGAGGGTTTTAGTGTTTTAAAGCAAATATTTTCAGTAGCAGCATTGGTACTGTCAAATTTATGAATTACTGAAAAGTAGAAAATAAAACTAAATAGCGGCGTATGATACGCTGCGGGTCGGCTCGTATTTAATATTAGGCCTATAAAATATTTATAGGCTTAAGTGGCTTAAAGTAAAAAAAAATTATAAAGGTCTATAGACTATAGTCCTTTATTCTATACTAGATCTATCTATATAGTTTTAAACATAATATATAGTTTAACATAAGCTTAAGCTAGTACTCAAGTGGGAGTTCTGGGCGTACCAGGCACTTGACTGCCGGGGCCTGATTCAATTGAGTCAACTGAGGCAGTTTGACCTTTGAATCGAGTAGAACCCCTGACCCCTGTGCAGAATGACTTTTATTTTTATAAGCTTTTATTTAGTTCACAATGTCTGTTTGTCTGTTTACTTTTTGTGGGTTTGTGGCAAATCTTGTAACTCAAATTTGACCAACTTCTAATGCACCAATTTAATTTACATCTCAGAAACATTTGTCTTTGATAACAATGTAAGAATATGCTTTTTTAATCTAATTAGACATTAGATTAGTCATTAAAATTTAATTCAAATATTACTAAATTAAATAATAAAAGGGGAGATAACTAGCGATCATTCTATCAGTTGGCTGTCGATGGTGAACTTTTTCTCAGAGTTGAGTGATTTGAGCATCAACCACCAACAGCATCTGTAGAGATTGCAAGCTACTCTTCTAGTTTTAATGTATATATTTTTTTAGTCGTAGCCTAAGAGGGGTCAACTGAAAAGTGGAAATAACATAAATTATAGAAAACTTTTTTAATAAGTATTTAAATGCACTGAAAATAAAACTAACAAGCCGACCCGCAGCATTGCATACACCATTATTTAATTGTTTTATTTTCTACTTTTCAGTAATTCACAATTAATCCGACATTACCCCCCAAGGCCGCCAAAGCAGCCGTCAGTGACGACAGTTTACAGGCAACAATGAAAATATCAAGCAGAAATTGTTACTTCACCATAGTCTCAAATCGTTTAAATACTAAATGATCTGCCCCTAGTAGCCGTGACTAATCCAACCCATCTCTACAGGGTGGCAGTCGTTAAAATGTATTAGAGATCTCATGAGCTGCCAAAGCTTTGATTAAAGAAAGAAAATTAGTTTAACATGACATCTTTGTTATAATATTTTTACAGAGATAGTTTCATTGAGGAAGAAAAACAGCTTCGAATAAAGGCTGAGAGCAGACTTGAAGCTTTACTTGTTGATTTGTATAAGAACCCACAGGTCAATTGGGAGCTGCGACAACGATTGCCTCGAGCCAATAAAATGGATCCAATGGAAACCAAACCCAGGACTTTTTCAATGTATGCTAATATATATATATATGTATAGTTTTTGTATATTATAAAAAAGTATATATATATATGCTGATAGTATATGCTAATATCAAATTGCTCTCTTTTTTAGTATAGTAATATTCAGTTTGACAAAAAAGGTCGGTGTAGTTGGGTCATAGTTACTAAAATAAAAAGTCCTGACCCACAGGTAGGTGAGGCTTCATATCTGGGGGCAGCAACCCATCTAGGGGGCAGCAACCCATCTAGGGGGCAGCAACCCATCTAGGGGACAGCAACCCATCTAGGGGACAGCAACCCATCTAGGGGGCAGCAACCCATCTAGGGGGCAGCAACCCATCTAGGGGGCAGCAACCCATCTAGGGGACAGCAACCCATCTAGGGGACAGCAACCCATCTAGGGGGCAGCAACCCATCTAGGGGAGACGACTGATATCTGGGGGCAGCAACCCATCTAGGTGACAGCAACCCACCTAGGGGACAGCAACCCACCTAGGGGACAGCAACCCACCTAGGGGACAGCAACCCATCTAGGGGACAGCAACCCATCTAGGGGGCAGCAACCCATCTAGGGGAGACGACTGATATCTGGGGGCAGCAACCCATCTAGGTGACAGCAACCCACCTAGGGGACAGCAACCCACCTAGGGGGCAGCAACCCATCTAGGGGACAGCAACCCATCTAGGGGGCAGCAACCCACCTAGGGGAGACGACTGATATCTGGGGGCAGCAACCCATCTAGGGGAGACGACTGATATCTGGGGGCAGCAACCCATCTAGGGGAGACGACTGATATCTGGGGGCAGCAACCCACCTAGGGGAGACAACTCACAAATCAAACATTTGCTGCCTTGTGGTTTTGGCATTGTTAAACAAAGACTTTGTTAACAATTCCTAAAAGTTAAGTAGGTCACATAACAGGTTGTCAATATGGTCCTGCAGGACACCCAGTGATGTCATGCAGGACACCCAGTGATGTCATGCAGGACACCCAGTGATGTCATGCAGGACACCCAGTGATGTCATGCAGGACACCCAGTGATGTCATGCAGGACACCCAGTGATGTCATGCAGGACACCCAGTGATGTCATGCAGGACACCCAGTGATGTCATGCAGGACACCCAGTGATGTCATGCAGGACACCCAGTGATGTCATGCAGGACACCCAGTGATGTCATGCAGGACACCCAGTGATGTCATGTATGACACCCAGTGATGTCATGCAGGACACCCAGTGATGTCATGCAGGACACCCAGTGATGTCATGCAGGACACCCAGTGATGTCATGCAGGACACCCAGTGATGTCATGCAGGACACCCAGTGATGTCATGCAGGACACCCAGTGATGTCATGCAGGACACCTGATGATGTCATGCAGGACACCCAATGATGTCATGTATGACACCCAGTGATGTCATGCAGGACACCCAGTGATGTCATGCAGGACACCCAGTGATGTCATGCAGGACACCCAGTGATGTCATGCAGGACACCCAGTGATGTCATGCAGGACACCCAGTGATGTCATGTATGACACCCAGTGATGTCATGCAGGACACCCAATGATGTCATGCAGGACACCTGATGATGTCATGCAGGACACCCAATGATGTCATTTATGACACCCAGTGATGTCATGCAGGACACCCAGTGATGTCATGCAGGACACCCAGTGATGTCATGCAGGACACCCAGTGATGTCATGCAGGACACCTGATGATGTCATGCAGGACACCCAATGATGTCATGTATGACACCCAGTGATGTCATGCAGGACACCCAGTGATGTCATGCAGGACACCCAGTGATGTCATGCAGGACACCCAGTGATGTCATGCAGGACACCCAGTGATGTCATGCAGGACACCCAGTGATGTCATGTATGACACCCAGTGATGTCATGCAGGACACCCAGTGATGTCATGCAGGACACCTGATGATGTCATGCAGGACACCCAATGATGTCATGCAGGACACCCAATGATGTCATGCAGGACACCCAGTGATGTCATGCAGGACACCTGATGATGTCATGCAGGACACCCAATGATGTCATGCGGGACACCCAATGATGTCATGCAGGACACCCAATGATGTCATGCAGGACACCCAGTGATGTCATGCAGGACACCTGATGATGTCATGCAGGACACCCAATGATGTCATGCAGGACACCTGATGATGTCATGCAGGACACCTGATGATGTCATGCAGGACACCCAGTGATGTCATGCAGGACACCTGATGATGTCATGCAGGACACCCAGTGATGTCATGCAGGACACCCAATGATGTCATGCAGGACACCCAGTGATGTCATGCAGGACACCCAAAGATGTCATGCAGGACACCCAGTGATGTCATGCAGGACACCTGATGATGTCATGCAGGACACCCAATGATGTCATGTATGACACCCAGTGATGTCATGCAGGACACCCAGTGATGTCATGCAGGACACCTGATGATGTCATGCAGGACACCCAGTGATGTCATGCAGGACACCCAGTGATGTCATGCAGGACACCCAGTGATGTCATGCAGGACACCCAGTGATGTCATGCAGGACACCCAGTGATGTCATGCAGGACACCCAGTGATGTCATGCAGGACACCCAGTGATGTCATGCAGGACACCCAGTGATGTCATGCAGGACACCCAGTGATGTCATGCAGGACACCCAGTGATGTCATGCAGGACACCCAGTGATGTCATGCAGGACACCCAGTGATGTCATGCAGGACACCTGATGATGTCATGCAGGACACCCAGTGATGTCATGCAGGACACCCAGTGATGTCATGCAGGACACCCAGTGATGTCATGTATGACACCCAGTGATGTCATGCAGGACACCCAGTGATGTCATGCAGGACACCCAATGAACCAATCCCAAGGATTTATAGTCAAACTTGCACCCAAAATTAATAAGAGTTGAAGTTTTGTTTTGTTTTTTGTTTTTGTTTGCTTTTGTTTATTTTAATTAGTTTATTTGTATTACTCTTCTTCTGTGTTCTTAATTTTATGGTGGAAGGGATCCCCTCCAACATAATTAAGTATACGTGTCAACTGGTTATGCACCATTGACTCCGATTTCAGCCTGCTTTTCTTATTGGATTTGCTTCCATTGCCTTTGTCAAACCAAGAACAAACTACAAGGCAGCAGTTGTTTGATTTTGGAGTTATCTCTTCTAGAAGAGTGGCTGTCCCCAGTTAACGAGCCTCATCTGCCTAAGGGTTTGAACTCGAGACTTTTGGGTGTAGCAACCATGAGCTTTACTGACTTGACCACACAGACAGAAAAAGGCTGGGATTCTTCAGGCTATTAACAATCAGGAAGTAAAATTAGTAATATAGTATAAGCTCTTGTGTGAATATAGTGTAATATAAGCATACACCAGTGTGAATATAGTGTAATAAAAAGCTAGTGTGAATATAGTGTAATATAAAGCTAGTGTGAATATAGTGTAATATAAAGCTATTGAAACAACTCTGTTTGCATGCTGGCTGGCCACAGTACAACACATGACATCATCTGGGAACCATTTTCTGGTTAGTCATGCCATTCTCTTAGAATATAGTCACAGCATACAATCCTTAACTTTCATAAAATCCTCTCATAAAATCCTCTCATAGAATCCTTACACAGAATCCTTCTTTCATAGAATCCTTTCATAGAATCTCTATCTTTCATAGAATCCTTTCATATATTCATTTCATAGAATCTTTTCATAAAATCCTTTCATAGAATCCTTATCTTTCATAGAATCCTTATCTTTCATAGAATCCTTATCGTTCATAGAATCCTTATCTTTCATAGAATCCTTATCTTTCATAGAATCCTTATCTTTCATAGAATCCTTATCTTTCATAGAATCCTTATCTTTCATAGAATCCTTATCTTTCATAGAATCCTTATCTTTCATAGAATCCTTATCTTTCATAGAATCCTTATCTTTCATAGAATCCTTATCTTTCATAGAATCCTTATCTTTCATAGAATCCTTGTGATTTTGTTAAAGCATTAGAGTTGATAAAACAAATCTTGACACTTCAGATGCTGACCAGTCTCATCAGGAAGGTCCCCTGACATCCCACAGTGCCACCAGCATCGACTCGTATCAGTCACTGCCCTCAGTCAACCAGACAACTGACTCGTATCAGTCACCACATGCAGGCACCCGCATGACTGACTCGTATCAGTCACTGCCCTCAGTCAACCAGACAACTGACTCGTATCAGTCACCACATGCAGGCACTCGTATGACTGACTCGTATCAGTCACTGCCCTCAGTTAGCCAAGGTGAAAATTGTTAAAAAATTAGTAAACAAAAGTTCTGTAAAAATACTTGGGGATAAACCATCCTCATTAATTCTTATACATATGCTATTTTCTTGGTGCCCAAATGGGACAAGTGCCCAAATGGACAAGTGCCCAAATGGGACAAGTGCCCAAATGAGACAAGTGCCCAAATGGGACAAGTGCCCAAATGGGACAAGTGCCCAAATGGGACAAGTGCCCAAATGGGACAAGTGCCCAAATGGGACAAGTGCCCAAATGGGACAAGTGCCCAAATGAGACAAGTGCCCAAATGGGACAAGTGCCCAAATGGGACAAGTGCCCAAATGGGACAAGTGCCCAAATGGGTCAAGTGCCCAAATGAGACAAGTGCCCAAATGGGACAAGTGCCCAAATGGGACAAGTGCCCAAATGGGACAAGTGCCCAAATGGACTAAAGTCCAATAGGACATTTGCTAGAAATCCACTTGCACAATAGCCCAAAAATATTTTGAGGATCAAAACTGATGTGTACATCATTTTACAATGATATAAATTGTGATGTATGTAAACCATGTGATATAAATTGTGATGTATGTAAACCATGTGATATAAATTGTGATGTAAGTAAACCATGTGATATAAATTTCCATTTGTCCATTAGATAATGTGTGGCAGTCAACAAGACCTGGATACTTCCTACCAGAAACCTTGAGACACACAGCTGTCCATGATACAGCTGTCCACGATACAGCTGTCCACTATACAGCGGTCCACAATACAGCTGTCCACGATACAGCTATCCACGCTGACCTTCAGGATAGACAATTTCATCCCCACCCCCCTAAGTCATCAGTGAGCCACCCCCCTAAGTCATCAGTGAGCCACCCCCCTAAGTCATCAGTGAGCCACCCCCCTAAGTCATCAGTGAGCCACCCCCCTAAGTCATCAGTGAGCCACCCCCCTAAGTCATCAGAGAGCCACCCCCCTAAGTCATCAGAGAGCCACCCCCCTAAGTCATCAGTGAGCCACCCCCCTAAGTCATCAGAGAGCCACCCCCCTAAGTCATCAGTGAGCCACCCCCTTAACTATAAATTTTCTGAGAGCTCACACCTCCACTCAGCACAGAGAGATTCGACGAGCCTAGTCAGTCAAGTCCCCCCTGATAGCCTAGTCAGTCAAGTCCCCTCTGATAGCCTAGTCAGTCAAGTCCCCTCTGATAGCCTAGTCAGTCAAGTCCCGTCTGATAGCCTAGTCAGTCAAGTCCCGTCTGATAGCCTAGTCAGTCAAGTCACCTCTGATGTGAGTCATATCTCCAGAGTTTTAGCTGAGCTAGCCATGGTCAAAAAAGAAAACCAAACAGTAAGTCATCTATCACCACAGTCTGTCATCTATCACCACAGTCTGTCATCTATCACCACAGTCTGTCATCTATCACCAGTCTGTCATCTATCACCACAGTCTGTCATCTATCACCACAGTCTGTCATCTATCACCACAGTCTGTCATCTATCACCACAGTCTGTCATCTATCACCACAGTCTGTCATCTATCACCACAGTCTGTCATGTATCATCATATCATATTGTGTGTCACCATCCAACCAACCAATGAAAGAATCTGTTCTAGCTGAAAGAGGAGCTTAAATCTGCCCAATTGGAGATTCAAAAATTGAAAACAAAACAAGAAAATTCTTTGGAAAATATTGGAGGTATACCTGCTTTATTCAGGTGTGGGGGTAGATATGGTCAGGTGGGGAGGTATATTTTGTGTAGAGGGGGAGATTTGGACAGGGTCCAGGGAGATTTGTCAGATGAGACTTAAATGTTTGGACAGGTTTTAGGGAGATTTGTCAGATGAGACTTGGAGAGGTTTTAGGGAGATTTGTCAGATGAGACTTAAATGTTTGGACAGGTTTTAGGGAGATTTGTCAGATGAGACTTAAATGTTTGGACAGGTTTTAGGGAGATTTGTCAGATGAGACTTGGAGAGGTTTTAGGGAGATTTGTCAGATGAGACTTAAATGTTTGGACAGGTTTTAGGGAGATTTGTCAGATGAGACTTAAATGTTTGGACAGGTTTTAGGGAGATTTGTCAGATGATACTTAAATGTTTGGACAGGTTTTAGGGAGATTTGTCAGATGAGACTTGGAGAGGTTTTAGGGAGATTTGTCAGATGAGACTTAAATGTTTGGACAGGTTTTAGGGAGATTTGTCAGATTAGACTTAAATGTTTGGACAGGTTTTAGGGAGATTTGTCAGATGAGACTTGGAGAGGTTTTAGGGAGATTTGTCAGATGAGACTTAAATGTTTGGACAGGTTTTAGGGAGATTTGTCAGATGAGACTTAAATGTTTGGACAGGTTTTAGGGAGATTTGTCAGATGAGACTTAAATGTTTGGACAGATTTTAGGGAGATTTGTCAGATGAGACTTGGAGAGGTTTTAGGGAGATTTGTCAGAAGAGACTTAAATGTTTGGACAGGTTTTAGGGAGATTTGTCAGATGAGACTTGGAGAGGTTTTAGGGAGATTTGTCAGAAGAGACTTAAATGTTTGGACAGGTTTTAGGGAGATTAGTCAGATGAGACTTAAATGTTTGGACAGGTTTTAGGGAGATTTGTGAGATGAGACTAAAATGTTTGGACAGGTTTTAGGGAGATTTGTGAGATGAGACTAAAATGTTTGGACAGGTTTTAGGGAGATTTGTCAGATGAGACTTGGAGAGGTTTTAGGGAGATTAGTCAGATGAGACTTGAATGTTTGGACAGGTTTTAGGGAGATTTGTCAGATGAGACTTAAATGTTTGGACAGGTTTTAGGGAGATTTGTCAGATGAGACTTGGAGAGGTTTTAGGGAGATTTGTCAGATGAGACTTAAATGTTTGGACAGGTTTTAGGGAGATTTGTCAGATGATACTTAAATGTTTGGACAGGTTTTAGGGAGATTTGTCAGATGAGACTTGGAGAGCTTTTAGAGAGATTTGTCAGATGAGACTTAAATGTTTGGACAGGTTTTAGGGAGATTTGTCAGATGAGACTTGGAGAGGTTTTAGGGAGATTAGTCTGATGAGACTTAAATGTTTGGACAGGTTTTAGGGAGATTTGTCAGATGAGACTTTGGACAGGTTTTAGGGAGATTTGTCAGATGAGACTTAAATGTTTGGACAGGTTTTAGGGAGATTTGTCAGATGAGACTTAAATGTTTGGACAGGTTTTAGGGAGATTTGTCAGATGAGACTTGGAGAGGTTTTAGGGAGATTTGTCAGATGAGACTTAAATGTTTGGACAGGTTTTAGGGAGATTTGTCAGATGAGACTTAAATGTTTGGACAGGTTTTAGGGAGATTTGTCAGATGAGACTTGGAGAGGTTTTAGGGAGATTTGTCAAATGAGACTTAAATGTTTGGACAGGTTTTAGGGAGATTTGTGAGATGAGACTAAAATGTTTGGACAGGTTTTAGGGAGATTTGTCAGATGAGACTTAAATGTTTGGACAGGTTTTAGGGAGATTTGTCAGATGAGACTTGGAGAGGTTTTAGGGAGATTTGTCAGATGAGACTTAAATGTTTGGACAGGTTTTAGGGAGATTTGTCAGATGAGACTTAAATGTTTGGACAGGTTTTAGGGAGATTTGTCAGATGAGACTTGGAGAGGTTTTAGGGAGATTTGTGAGATGAGATTAAAATGTTTGGACAGGTTTTAGGGAGATTTGTCAGATGAGACTAAAATGTTTGTACAGGTTTTAGGGAGATTTGTCAGATGAGACTTAAATGTTTGGACAGGTTTTAGGGAGATTTGTCAGATGAGACTTGGAGAGGTTTTAGGGAGATTTGTCAGATGAGACTTGAATGTTTGGACAGGTTTTAGGGAGATTTGTCAGATGAGACTAAAATGTTTGTACAGGTTTTAGGGAGATTTGTCAGATGAGACTTAAATGTTTGCACAGGTTTTAGGGAGATTTGTCAGATGAGACTTAAATGTTTGGACAGGTTTTAGGGAGATTTGTCAGATGAGACTTGGAGAGGTTTTAGGGAGATTTGTCAGATGAGACTTAAATGTTTGGACAGGTTTTAGGGAGATTTGTCAGATGATACTTAAATGTTTGGACAGGTTTTAGGAAGATTTGTCAGATGAGACTTGGAGAGCTTTTAGGGAGATTTGTCAGATGAGACTTAAATGTTTGGACAGGTTTTAGGGAGATTTGTCAGATGAGACTTGGAGAGGTTTTAGGGAGATTAGTCAGATGAGACTTAAATGTTTGGACAGGTTTTATGGAGATTTGTCAGATGAGACTTTGGACAGGTTTTAGGGAGATTTGTGAGATGAGACTAAAATGTTTGGACAGGTTTTAGGGAGATTTGTCAGATGAGACTTAAATGTTTGGACAGGTTTTAGGGAGATTTGTCAGATGAGACTTGGAGAGGTTTTAGGGAGATTTGTCAGATGAGACTTAAATGTTTGGACAGGTTTTAGGGAGATTTGTCAGATGAGACTTAAATGTTTGGACAGGTTTTAGGGAGATTTGTCAGATGAGACTTGGAGAGGTTTTAGGGAGATTTGTCAGATGAGACTTAAATGTTTGGACAGGTTTTAGGGAGATTTGTCAGATGAGACTTAAATGTTTGGACAGGTTTTAGGGAGATTTGTCAGATGAGACTAAAATGTTTGTACAGGTTTTAGGGAGATTTGTCAGATGAGACTTAAATGTTTGCACAGGTTTTAGGGAGATTTGTCAGATGAGACTTGGAGAGGTTTTAGGGAGATTTGTCAGATGAGACTTGAATGTTTGGACAGGTTTTAGGGAGATTTGTCAGATGAGACTAAAATGTTTGTACAGGTTTTAGGGAGATTTGTCAGATGAGACTTTGGACAGGTTTTAGGGAGATTTGTGAGATGAGACTAAAATGTTTGGACAGGTTTTAGGGAGATTTGTCAGATGAGACTTAAATGTTTGGACAGGTTTTAGGGAGATTTGTCAGATGAGACTTGGAGAGGTTTTAGGGAGATTTGTCAGATGAGACTTAAATGTTTGGACAGGTTTTAGGGAGATTTGTCAGATGAGACTTAAATGTTTGGACAGGTTTTAGGGAGATTTGTCAGATGAGACTTGGAGAGGTTTTAGGGAGATTTGTCAGATGAGACTTAAATGTTTGGACAGGTTTTAGGGAGATTTGTGAGATGAGACTAAAATGTTTGGACAGGTTTTAGGGAGATTTGTCAGATGAGACTTAAATGTTTGGACAGGTTTTAGGGAGATTTGTCAGATGAGACTTGGAGAGGTTTTAGGGAGATTTGTCAGATGAGACTTAAATGTTTGGACAGGTTTTAGGGAGATTTGTCAGATGAGACTTAAATGTTTGGACAGGTTTTAGGGAGATTTGTCAGATGAGACTAAAATGTTTGTACAGGTTTTAGGGAGATTTGTCAGATGAGACTTAAATGTTTGGACAGGTTTTAGGGAGATTTGTCAGATGAGACTTGGAGAGGTTTTAGGGAGATTTGTCAGATGAGACTTGAATGTTTGGACAGGTTTTAGGGAGATTTGTCAGATGAGACTAAAATGTTTGTACAGGTTTTAGGGAGATTTGTCAGATGAGACTTAAATGTTTGCACAGGTTTTAGGGAGATTTGTCAGATGAGACTTAAATGTTTGGACAGGTTTTAGGGAGATTTGTCAGATGAGACTTGGAGAGGTTTTAGGGAGATTTGTCAGATGAGACTTAAATGTTTGGACAGGTTTTAGGGAGATTTGTCAGATGATACTTAAATGTTTGGACAGGTTTTAGGAAGATTTGTCAGATGAGACTTGGAGAGCTTTTAGGGAGATTTGTCAGATGAGACTTAAATGTTTGGACAGGTTTTAGGGAGATTTGTCAGATGAGACTTGGAGAGGTTTTAGGGAGATTAGTCAGATGAGACTTAAATGTTTGGACAGGTTTTATGGAGATTTGTCAGATGAGACTTTGGACAGGTTTTAGGGAGATTTGTGAGATGAGACTAAAATGTTTGGACAGGTTTTAGGGAGATTTGTCAGATGAGACTTAAATGTTTGGACAGGTTTTAGGGAGATTTGTCAGATGAGACTTGGAGAGGTTTTAGGGAGATTTGTCAGATGAGACTTAAATGTTTGGACAGGTTTTAGGGAGATTTGTCAGATGAGACTTAAATGTTTGGACAGGTTTTAGGGAGATTTGTCAGATGAGACTTGGAGAGGTTTTAGGGAGATTTGTCAGATGAGACTTAAATGTTTGGACAGGTTTTAGGGAGATTTGTCAGATGAGACTTAAATGTTTGGACAGGTTTTAGGGAGATTTGTCAGATGAGACTTGGAGAGGTTTTAGGGAGATTAGTCAGATGAGACTTAAATGTTTGGACAGGTTTTAGGGAGATTTGTGAGATGAGACTAAAATGTTTGGACAGGTTTTAGGGAGATTTGTCAGATGAGACTTAAATGTTTGGACAGGTTTTAGGGAGATTTGTCAGATGAGACTTGGAGAGGTTTTAGGGAGATTTGTCAGATGAGACTTAAATGTTTGGACAGGTTTTAGGGAGATTTGTCAGATGAGACTTAAATGTTTGGACAGGTTTTAGGGAGATTTGTCAGATGAGACTTGGAGAGGTTTTAGGGAGATTTGTGAGATGAGACTAAAATGTTTGGACAGGTTTTAGGGAGATTTGTCAGATGAGACTAAAATGTTTGTACAGGTTTTAG